ATAGTATCAACACTCCTTCCGTTGGCTAAGGCAAGGCTGCATACGGCAGATGATGGGAGAGGTACATATGACAGATGACAACGAGTATGACGCACATGTACGGAGTAGGGTCACAGAGTTTCAAAAGAGTAGTATTCGCAGCAGGAAACAATACGATACATGATGATGCGTACTGATTGGTTCTAGGATTCCGATGATAGTCGTATCTGTAGTAGTCATCGACACCCCCCACCCCTTCTTCTTTGCATGCGTTGGTATTATATGGAAACAGACTTAGATATTTGGGGGGGGGGGGGGGGGGGGGTAGAGGTGAGGGGAGAGAACATGATGGTGATAGCGTAGACAGTGACAGCAGTACTTACTACTAGTGGTACTTGTACATTGTTCAACAATCGTGTAGGCCAAAGGGACACGCTCTCTTTGATATGGAAGAACGGAACCGCATCAGGTATTGCATTATCGTGACATACGTTGTGGGCTTTGCGTACGTGCGTACATGTGTGTAATGCATTTGATGTGATATCTAATTTATGCTTACCTTGCTACGTCAACTTTGCTGTGCCGCTTCACCTGCCAACTGTCTGACCGAATTGGTACGATGGCTAATCATAACAAGAAAGTATTTCATTTTTTTTTTTTTTTGCCCCATAAAGGTACCCGATATATTGTCTCTGAGTGTGACTGTGTCGAGCCTTCCTTACAGGTTTAAAAAACACGTGTGTGAAGGCTGAGGGTCAGCAAGTGCACGCTGACGATTTAACCGTGAGTCTTGAATGTCGCAAACATGATCATGTCCCAATGAGAAGGAACTAATGAGGTAAGGTAAGGGGGAAGGAGGGAGGGGAGGGGGAAGGAGAGGTCAATAAATAACATGATGCCATGGAAAAGAGAATTGAGGCACAGCTTTGACATTACTGATACAGAGTAACACCCTGTGATGCCTTTTCTAAGTTGTAATATATACATACATATCCAGGCCTGTCCATATCCAGCCTTTTCTATTCTTCTTCGATAACACGCCTCTCCTTCCCTCCGGTTCACGCTTTCGATCCGGCTCCCAATATTTTGCTCATCAGGCTTTTTCTCCCCTCCCACCCATCTAGCTCCAGGACGGGTAGCCTTCCCCGAAGGACCAGCATGGGACCAGCATGAGATGTGATGGGAACGCGGCTGAGAAGACACGAGCAGCTTGTGGCGAAGTAGCAACAGCGTATTATTACGAAGAGGTTTACAGGCAGCCAAGGGATGGGAGGTGGGGAAGGATGCAGTTAAGCGCCCGTCTTCTCTCTCTCTTCCCAATGAGTTGACACGGCAGACATTCCAAGAGGCGAGTCGTCTGACCTTCATCTCTCTCGGCCTGCAATTCAACGTAGCACAGAGTAGAGGAGAGAAGATAATGCCAAGAGGAGAGGGGGTTGGGGTTGGGGTTTCTAGGTTACGTTAGTCAGAGGCTAGAAAAGGAAACAAACCGGGGATTGCACACACCACGACTACTACATGATAATACTACGTGTAACCTGCTAGTGCATGTGCCAGTACTACGAAGAATAGCTTCGATTGTCGGTGTTGGTTCATGAGGTGTTTGGGGTCTAGCCTCTCTCTACATGTAGTTTCACGATGTCACCCCTTTCCCAGCAGTGGCGGAGAGGGGGTCGGGGAAGCCAGGCGGACCGGAAACGTGACGGCTGTTATTCGAGGATGGAAAAAAAGAAAAGAAAAGAAAAGAAAAAGGGGGGGGAGAGGGTTTTGGAGTTTTGAAGCCCAATCAGTTTGTACAGACTTTTATCGGACAACTGGCGGCTTAAAGGGTCCGGAAGTCGCGGTGCCGTCACTTCATTGTACGGAGTAGATTTGAAGCATTCCGCGGCACCAGTTATATGTAGGTATGGACGTGAATCGATTTGCGGCAACAGAAGAAGAGGAGGGGGAAAAAAAGAAGGGTGTAGCTTTCCATTGCCAAGGTAAATTCAGTGCATTTCTCTCTCAATAGTATCCTGCTCCGTGTGCTGGTAATATTGCCTGCCAGCTTGCCTGCCAGCTTGCCAAAATATTATTCGTCATATCGATTGTGACGAGAAGACGCTGGTGACTGCCTGGTTAGCCATTCCTGTTTACCCCAGAATCATCTCCCGGAGCTGACCGCCCCTCTCCCTCTCTGTCTCTCTCTCTTTCTCTCTCCTCCCGATCTTTGCTAATAACAAGATTACATGCATGCTTTTCGTTCTAGCCGTACTCGTCGTGTCTGTACAGAAAGACGTCGGGAGTCGGGTCACGCTTCAATGTACAGATTACATATTCTCGTACTAAGTACCTCCTACTCCCCTTACCCTGGTCCTACTCTGCTCCTACCTCCCTTTCTCTCCACCGACTTGCCTAGGTCGGAGGTGAGCTGGGTCGATGCAGAAGGAAGAGGGAAAAAGAGACCGACTCCGATGCATATTACGGGTACGTGGACTTGACGTGCGACGTATACGTATGCGGCAGTATTCCAGCGTGGCAGGGCAGGGGTGGTAAGTCCTACAGGGTTGAACAGGGGGGTGCGGAGATGGCTCATGGTCCTATTTTCAGAAGGACTAGATATCTACAAGGGGTCTGTTGGTCCGTTCAGCTCTGTCCATTTCAGGGTTCTTGCTTTGATGCTTGCCTGCTGTGCTTGCTTGCCTGCTTGCCTGTCTGTCACTCTGTGCAGCGCTCAACTGATACAACATAAGAAGTTGCATCACGGATACTCTGCGCATGAGACATGAGAGCGTGATAGTGACATCTACAACAGGGTAGGTAACATTTGATATCTGAAGACGGAGAAGAAAGAGAGAAAGAAAAGAAAGAAAGAAAAAAAAGCTCCCTCAGACACATGATAAGAGTCAATGTGACTGCGCGAGCTTGAGTAATAATATTTCATTGTTCTGCAAACAGGGTGCGCAATGTAGTATTACTGCTACGAGTGATACTCGGCAAGCTACATACGACGCATTACAAGATAACATCATCACTATATGCGGCGATGACAACGTACATGTATTACAAGTAGCATTACGGAGCAATGCTGCATACATAGTAGCACCTACAGGCTATTCGAACACTAGCCCTCTCATCCTGCAGGACCAGCAGATATAAATGATATCAAAACATGCCGACCGGCCATGTGACATATTGAAGGCGTGTTCCGTGTAACGACCGACAAGATCATTATTTTTCATGTATTTTTATAATTTTTTGGCACATACATGGAATGTTATCACCACCTGCTACTACTACCACTACTAAATATATCTAGTACGAGTAGTAGTCCTGAGCTATGCATTACATTATTACATGTAACTAACTGTCTGCACTCCATAGCTGTACGCTCATCACTGACAGACCCTCTTTCTTACGGAGTGCAGAGTCAAGACGTAACGTGAATCAAGACCAGCCAGTTTAGGTTGGGCGCATATAGACGCCTTGCCTGCCTGCCTACCTGCCTGCCTGTCTGCCTGGCCGACCTGCTGAGCTGTCCACACCCATCCGTCCATCCTTCTCTCTCTCTCTCTCTCTCTCTTTTGGGCCCCTCCTCCGTCTCTCAACCTTGGGAGGTACTTATGCGCTGTCATCGGTCAATGACCACAGTTACGACATACGGCATCATGACAAAACCACGCCCCCCCCCCCCTTCTCCGCTGCGGCTGTCGCTAAGCTTTGTTGAATATTGACTCATAAATCGCTTTTTCTTCTCCGCCACTTGGGCCAAAGACAAATGAAGAAAAGAAAAGAAAAACAGCCGGGTAGTTGAAAGGGTCCGGGAGAGGAAGAGGGGAAAAAAAAAAAGAGGTAAGGATCATACAGCACACCTAGTCGTAAAGCAGACAAGACCTACAAAGACCGGGGGGGAACACGACGTGACGGCACCTTTTGGCTGCTTCTCCTGGGAAAAACCCCCCTGTCGAAGAAGAAGAATCGTTTACCGCTTCTTGCCGTTGTTGCGTGGCTCGTCTGACACACAGACACTTATTGCACGGGTATTATATATGGAGTACAGGAAAGGGCTCCGGTACTGAAAAAGGCTTTCCCTCCTGGAACCCTCCGTTTGAAGTACTTAGATCGAAGATGGGGGGGGAGGGGGGGGCATTTTAGTGCTAAAACCCTCATCTCTCTCACCTGTTACAGGAACCAGCTGGTATTAGGGCTAAATTAAGTAATACCGTCGGGGTTCAAGAAGAGGATAGAAATCGATTGAGTCTCGAGTTAGATGCCATCTATTATGAGCATTACTGGGTCCCTATAAAAAAAAACCGTCATCAGGCAATACGGAGTATTATTACTTTCATCATCTGGAGTATTACCTGCATACGAGTAGTACGGAGTAGCACTGAGATGGAGAGGAATAGAGAGACGGAGAGAAATAGAGAGATGGAGACAAATAGAGAGACGGAGAGAGAGATGGAGAGGGAGAGGGAGAGGGAGAGGGAGAGGGTAGTACGGAGAAGGGAAAAAAAAAAAAAGAAAAAAAGGTACGCAGTTGATAATACCGTATAGGCACAGATAAATGACGGGTCACTGCATTAAGAGGCAATAAATGGAGCAACAGCCTTCTCCGTACTTCGGACAACGGCAGACGTCGGTCGGTCAGTCAGGAAGATGGGCAAAAGGGAGGAAAAAAACAACAACCTTGAAACTTCCCCTCACCTTCCCTCCATCAACAACCACATCATCAAGCAAGGGTTTGTTTTCAGCACAACAAAGTTCTTCGAAAAGCCCACACACACCCCCGGGGTTCTCGTCCTCCTTTCTCCTCAACACACCTCTACACACGCCCTCCCTCTTTTTCTCTCTTCTCTACGCGAGGGGAGTATTATTATTATCGTCATTTGTCTTATCCTCTCTCTATTTACCCCTCCCCCCACCAACCCCCCCCCCCGGTCGAAATCACCACGCGACCCCCTCGATCCACCACCCCTGCAATCCTTTTTGCTTTGCTTTGCTTGGGATAATAATTACATCGTCGATCAAACACGAGAATCATGGCTGGCAAAAAGGGCACGGAGAACACCAAGAAGGTGGCCGGCAATGCAAAGAAGGCCGAGGCAGCCGCCCAAAAGGCTGCAGCCGAGAACGCGAAGCGCGAAGCTGCCGAGTCGGAGCAGTGGTCAAAGGGAGCCAAGAGCAATGCGAAAAAGTGAGGTTTCCCTTCTTTGTTGTCTGTTGGCTACGAGGTGAGCTGGGCTGTAGTGCTGCAACTCTCTCTCTCTCTCTCTCACCGACAGAATGTTTTTACCAACAAGACCTGTTCCTTCTTCTTTCGGAAGTCTTTGTCTCGTCTCCGAGGGACAAGAGAGGGACGAGAGAATACCTCTGGGTGATGGATGTCATTTCCCGTGTACGAGTACCACTAACGTCAAATACGTGAGATAAGGGAAGCTGAAGCTGCCAAGAAGGCCGAGGCGGCCAAGAAGAAGGCCGAAAAGGACGCCCTGATGAAGGAGGAGGAGGCCAGCCTTCCGTCGCGGAACGAGCCCAAGAAGAGCAAGGCGCCCGTCAAGAAGTCGCGTGGCCTGGACCTGTCGCAGCTGGACGGCGACGACCCCTCGTCCAAGTCGGCCACGACCCTCAACGCCTCGGGCATCGACAATGCCCTCGACGCACTCACCCTCGCCAGCGGCTCCAACGACGCCAAGGTCGACAAGCATCCCGAGAGACGGTACCCCGCCGCCTTCGCCAAGTACGAGGAGCGCCGACTCGCCGAGATGAAGGCCGACGGCAGCGGAACCGGTCTCCGCCTCGACCAGCGCAAGCAGCGCATCCGCAAGGAGTTCGAGAAGCACCCCGACAACCCGTTCAACCAGGTCACCGCCGCATACAACTCTTCCAGGGACGAAATCGAGCAGATCAAGAAGGCTGAGCTGGACAAGATTGAAAAGCGTCTTGGGAAATGATCCCCTCATCCCCCCCCTCATCTTCTCTTTTCTTCTTCCTCTTAAAATTCCCTCTCTATGTCGACATGGGAAGAAACAAGAACGAAGAAAAAAAAGAAAACTTCGACACGTTTTGTGCTACGTGACTGATGATTATATGACGATGAAAAACAAGGCCGTAACGAAAAAAAAAAAATAAACAAACAATATCAATAATTTCATGGCCGTGGCATCCCCGTTTATGCCATCTACTCCTGGAGGGGGGAAATACGTCATTGACAAGGGCGTATATACAAAGCGACAACAACAACGACAACAACAACACAGTTTTAACGGCTTCTGGGATTTACAAGAATCGAGCACTTGGGAAATTCTATCACGCCGAGTCCGTTTTCCGCAGTGGAGTTTAATACAGTACATGGCCCAACACTGGAAAATGTCGCGCTGAACTTTCACGTCCCTGTTTTCGATTCTCCAGTCTCTAGGACTCTTACATGAGAATGTCAAGATATGCAGCTTCATCAGTAACACAGACCGTATGCCTGGTGGCCTGGCTCTGACTGGTCGGCTTTGGCGTATGTCCGATTTCATAGTCTTTCGAGGGAGGCCGGAACAATGGATGAGAACCTCCTCTGCCATCAGAGCTGGTTGAGACGAGTGTGCGAGCGGGCACAGCAACAACCACGGAGGAGGGCCAGGCACACACCTGCCTCTAGGTCTACTGCTCTATCTACATGCCGAGAGCCTACTAGAAACGGGGGTTATGACAGACAGTGGTGTAAGTTCTCATCCATTGTTCCAGGGCACAGAGGGACTCTGATGATGTGTGAATTCACGAGCATGGAAATTCTTCATGGAAAATGCTGTCGCTTGCGACGTTCGACCAGGCAGACTCGGATATTACTGTCAGGGACGGGGAAAGATGGGACAAGCGAGACAACCCAACGTATCTGACAAACATACTAGTAGCTTATCATATCACTACAAGAGGAGCCATTTCGAAGAGAATGTGGATCGGGCAAGACATTACTCCCTCAGGTTGTCTCCACTCAAGACGTTGAGGCGTACTGTGTGGAATTAAAGTGAATACTACGTGGTCGGTCGCTATATCGTTGACTAAACCGTCCGAGACACCCGACAGCCTCATCAACAGAGGGACGTGGCATCTATCCCCGGCAACGACGAAGCAATACAGCCAATAGAGGCAGTCGAGTAGCTGATCCAGCGTCGCGAGGACAAAGGGCACATCACTGTTGGCCGTGTCCGTCTCTGCGGTGTTATTGTTCGGCACGTCCTTCTCTGTCATGTTTTCGGGCATGTTTCCTTTAGCAAGACACTGTCGAACATGGCTCTCCCCTCTGACATATTGAGGCACATTTCGGAATACTATCCTTCTCTGATGCTTCTGCAGACCAACTGATGTTAATGTTAGGACCCCCTCTTTTCTTTCTTCTTTCTTTCAAAACCTGTTGATTGATTGAGAAAGAGAGGGAGAGGACGAAGGAAAGATGGACCGCATGGCCGCCAAGGTTGAAGACGGGGTTATACCGTATCATCACCTGCTCACGTGCTGCCCTACCGCCACATACGACATATGCCGTACCCGCCACGTTTCCGTGGCGCACAGTCACAAAACGAGAAGGAAGAATGATATGACGTAGGAGGGGCCAGAGTGGTACGCATTGAGGTACCGTCACGGCAGGTTGTGACCGATTTATGGGCTGCTTCTGATAGAGTGGTACAGCAAGACATGAACAGAGTGGCGTTTTATCTGATCCGAGCTGGGGGCGGGACGACGGGATGGGTGGGACCTACACGGCGCCGATCTCGGGAAATGGTGGTGGTCTTGGTGGGTGATCTGGAAGAGGATTCGAATTGGTGAGAAGATGTCCATATCCAGAAATGGATGCACGTTCAATCCCTCGCGAAGAAGAATAGAAGATGATCTCGCTACCTGAGGGCCAGGAAGAGAGTGACTCGAATATTCGCCTGTATTGGGGAAGGAATTGTACGGAATAGAGATCCTATGACCAACAACAAGCTGGATTATGTGGCTCAGCAGTAGCTGGGAAAACCACATGTACAGCCGGGCTGTTACAGCCCAAGATGGGGGCTCGACTAGCCTGCTATGCGACCAGAGCTCCCTCGTGGTGATCTGGTGATGCTGCTGAATGAATATCTAGACGGGATCATCATCTCACGGTAATGTATCTACCCATTACCGGAATGCGTCTTCGCTGTAGTCCAGTAATCCTTAAACTCTTAGTGGGGAGGTCCCCGAATAAGCGCAGCTGCTATAGCTGGTTAGTTAATTCTTTCTACCTTGTGCTTTTGATGGCAAATACCATCGGTAGTCAAAACGTACACATGCTGCTAGTAGGCACGTTTGTCAGAATGATAGAAAGGGGAGCCATGATACATCATCATACGTATTCATGGCAACAAAGAGAAAGACACACGACTGTTTCGATGCCACACTCTGGTTCACCCGTTTTCTGCTATGACCAGACCCCGCCATATCTCCTCGCTGCCCCTCTCTCGGTTGCAGCCCCGTCATTTTGGCCCGGCAGAAATTCCCGACCGCTTTTCTTCACCGCCTACCACAGCTCCAGGGGAGGCAGGAACGCATCATCCAAGCAATGAACAATCGTCCGTACGTTATCGCCATTCTCAACTCCCTAGCGTCTTGTCTCTTGGCGTCTTATGTGGAGCGGTACTGCATTTCAATCGACTTAATGTTGAGAAGAAGAACAAAGGAGGGAGAAAGAAAACGATGCCACAGTCAATCCTGGCCAGTCTGCCATCGGTGCGGAGACAGCACCTCGTATCAGAATTGTGAGAGCCGTGACATATCGTCATCGCCCCTTCAAGCCGGGACTGACATGCCATCCCTTAGTGCTGGACTCAAACAGACTTGTCCGGGGGGCGTCTTTGTTAGCCTGACACCCGGAGATCCCACTCTGTGGTCTGCCGTATTGTTTGTGCGCAACGGTATGCATGGACTATACGCTTCGATGTTTTCTGACTGCCCATCTGACGCGTCCCTCCAGGACCATATTCCCCCGCCGTTCTACGATTCCACATCCAGTTCCCTCACAAGTATCCGGCGCTGCCGCCCGTCGTCACCTTCGACACCGACATGTTCCACCCACTCATCACTCCCCTGACCACCTTCATGTACACGACCGACATCCAGAACAACGGTACCGTGAGCGCCACCGATGGCGAGCGCCTGCCCCCCGGCAGCTTCAGCCTCCGCCATGGCTTTCCCCAGTGGTTTGGACGTGGTAGTAGGGGCGTAAAGGCTACCGTACCGCGCGACTCCCCCAACCCTGCCCAGCTGACGGGCCAGGCGAGGATGATTACGCCTGAGCCCTCTGCGGCCTCGGGCGCCGCCGCCAGCTACTCCACAACCGACACTGTCGACACTTCGGCATACGACATACTCAGATACATCAAGAGTGCCTTTGGGGACGAAGCCGTCCTCGATTCGATACCTATCGATGCCGCGGGCAACCCGGGCGCGTGGCATGCTTGGAGGACACACAGGCGGAAGCATGGTAAGATGTTTGACGAGGACAAGGAGCTGCCGCCGCCACCACCGCCACCCAAGGCCGGCGACGAGGAGGAGAGCACCGATTCCCAAGAAGAGAAACATTTGCCTCGTCTTCCTCCCATCCCTCAGGCGTCAGTGACTGGTGGTCGGCGACCGGACGAGTGGGATTGGGAAGGTGTCTGGGAGGATCGAGTCAAGAAGGGCATCAACGCGAGCCTGTCGGAGCCAGCTCTATATGGAGGCACCGCGGCTCTACCCGATGATTTGGTAAGGCTGTGCAATCTGTTCATATCATATTCACCAACATGGCTGACCTTTCTGTCGCAACGCAGATTCACTTCCTACCCCTCGAACAAGGGGAGGTGGAGTCGGTCAAGGAGAATATTCGCAGGTCTCTTGGGGAAGCTGCCATCTGAGGTGGCCTGGGCCTCCCACAAAAGGGGAGTTACGTTGCGAATTACCACTCACCCTTCCGCCGCCTGATTTTTGTCAGTCTTGAGATTACATAGCAGGAACATCCTTGATACCCCCAAACCACCCGCCGTTCTTACGTCAATGCCACTGTTGTTTTCACCTCCCCCCTCCCAAGTAAAAAACTCTTGCTCTACTACTTTCCACATCTGCTTTCCCCCGTCGCCGTCCGCCCCTACGTACTTTCACCTATGGTAGGAATATTCTTCATCACCCAAACATGACACCGCACGCCGTACGCGCTACTGGCGATATCTCAATTGGACCAGCCTTATATCTACCTCCTATCGCGTTTGTTATCGTAGTCTCCATCCTTGCTGTTGTCTGCCTGCGGAGAAGGCGGAGACGATTGCTTCGCAACAGGATCAGACCGCCGAGGAGGAGACAGACGTGGTCCCTACGTGGTCGACCAACTCTGCCCTGGACGCAGGTGCTGGCTCTCCCATCCTACATCGGTGGCAACAACCAGAACAACAGCAACATCGACAATAACAATCATCTACCCTCCGATCCCTGGGCCAACTTCGAAGACCCTATCTCGGTTGACAACCGTAGTCTCTCCTCCGCCCCCGTTGACAAGGGTTCGACACCACCGCCAACAGCAGCAGCAGAAGCAGCCGGCAACGGCGACGGCATCGAGGCCCCGGAGGCGTCATGGCATCCTTCGCGCGACAACTGTCTAGAGCGGAGTTTCGAGAACAACAGCGTTCAGAGCGAGAAGACCAAACCCAATCCCAGCACCAACCACGACCACTCCAAGTCTCTGGAAAGCACAGAGACGCCCGTGAAAGCTCCGGAACCTGGCAAGGGGTCGCCCGAACCGACGACAGGAGCAGCCCAGAGCTAGATGGTGACTATCTCACGGTGACGAAAAAGAGAGGGGCAGAAGGAGAGCGTGCGGGTTCGTCGCTGGACGGTGAATTCCATATGAGGGAGTCATCGGCAACCCAGGGCCATCGTCATATCCAGGGTCCAATTCTCAACAAACTGACGGGTCTAGGATGGCGGCTGTCTCGCCGCATCTCATCCTCATCTCGGGGTCCCTCAGAACATGTGCAACCGTTGGCGGGAGGTGGTCATAACAGAAATAAGTCTTGGTCGAAACGTCGGTCTGGCTCTGCGGATTCAAAGCCCCTCGCGACACAATATTCGAGCGGATGTCCGAGCCCGGGGACAATATTTCACCAACGCTCATCTATAATTTCCCCACATGTCACGGTAGCAGCTGAATATGCCGCCATCGAGATGCGACAGAAGGAGTTTTGGGTAGCTGTCAACGTATCTGGGAGGCTGTTCAAGAGTCACATAGACAAGGGGGGGGACTTCGGAGGTGCTGGCTCAAACGGTAAGGTGCTCGCCCCGAGCTTCGGTGGTCATTGCTAAAATGTGCGAGTGACAGAGGCCACTCCGTGTAATGGCTTCCTGAAAAACGTCGTGATTGATGTTCTGCCTACTCAAGGGGCGACGATCAAACAAGTGGTGACAGAGCATACGTTTCCTACGTGGGTATATGTACTTATATATTTACCTTTGGAGCTCCCACGACTAACTGCTTTCCAAGCATTATATATCCTGGATCAAGTGTCACCTTGCTTGTGCGGGTCCAGGTCGACACGACGAGAAGCGACAGTGCAGAGGAACGGCTCCCGTCGAAAATGAATACAGCCGGCCTAATCAGGCAGCTGGAAGTGCAGCTTGGGGCCGCATACATAACCTATATGCAAGTCGAGATCTCATACATGTGCTCTGAACTCCCCGTGGATCGTGACAATGTCGGCATGGTGGAACTGGTAAACACAGCAAGCAGTGTCAAGACTATTTATACGGCGCGGATCCGATGCTACAGCGACGCGTCCTCCTGGTCAAAATCGCCGGTGCCAAAATTCAACCCTCTATTCTCGACGATGATGCATAGAATGAACGAACCAACGGGGCAGCATATATATCTGCCTGACTCTGGAGACTCCACGGATTCGGAGATAAATGACAAAGTTGTTGAAGCATGGATCGTTTGGTATGCTCAAGGGAAAATGTGGGAATAGCCATTCGTTCCTACCGGACGACATCTAGATGGAAGAGGTGTTGTATGATGATCCCTTGAAGACTCAACGGAGGTATAGCTGGTAGCCGTTGTATACGTATGGGGGAAAACGGAAGTCGCAGTTCTCAGACAAGGAGACCAAAGTAGATAATACCCTTCCTATTATCGTGAATGGCGGTTGCTCCGAGAAAGAAATGTTATATAATATTCCTGTTTCTCGGCTCATCTCTTGGCTTACAGTTTCTAGTTTAATATCGCATTTTTTTCCGTCTATTGAAGCTCATCCTTCCAGGGAATCGAGACCTGGGCACCCTTCCGGGCGACGGTCTTGGCGGAAGCAGCGTTGGCAGCCCTGACGGCAGCGTCAATGTCAAACTCGGTCTTGTTGAACGACGCGTGGACGACAGACAAGGCGTAGGATCCGACAAACGTATCCCCTGCGGCGGTGGTGTCGACTACGGCGGTCTTCTGGGCGGCAACGAGACCGTACTTGGCGCCGACGCCGGAAGCGTAGTAGACGCCCCTCCCACCGAGGGTGATGATGACATTCTGCACGCCGCGGGCGAGGAAGAGGTCGGCGGTGCGCTTGAGCCCAGCCTCATCGTCGAGTTCTGACTCTGGCTTCCCGGACAGCATGGAGGCCTCGGTCTCGTTGACGACGAGGTGGGCCAGGCCCTTGTAGGCGTCTTCGGGGAGGACCTGCGCGGGGGCGGGGTTGAGCAGGGTAGGAACGCCTGCCTTCTTTGCGGTAGCTAAGGCCTGAACGACGGCGTCGAGGGGGATCTCTAGCTGCATGATGAGAAGGTCCGGAAGGGTGTCGCCGTCGCCGTCGCCGCCGGGCAGGGTGTCGAAGTCGGCGGGCTTCCAAGACCCGTTCGCCTCTGGGGAGATCATGATGCGGTTCTCGCCGGTGGGCTCGTCGACGATGATGACGGCCACGCCCGTCCCACAGTCGGGGCGGGAGGCGACGCCGTCGACGTCGACACCGAACGAGGCCAGGCTGTTGCGAAGGGCCGGGCCGTACGGGTCGCTAGCGCCCACGGCGCCGACCATGCTCACGTGCGCCGTCGGGCGGGACAGGTCCGAAGAGCGGGAGAGCTTGGCGCACGCCACGGCCTGATTGGCACCCTTGCCTCCCGGGGAGGTGGTGAAGCCATTGGACGTCAGGGTTTCTCCGGGAGCGGGGTGGTGAGGCACGTAGGATACCAGATCCATGTTTAGGGAACCTATGGCTGTGATGCGGGGGAGAGACATCGCGGGTGGTGTGGTGGAAGATGGCAAAAGAAGGGGGGGGGAAGGAGAAGAAGAAGAAGAAACAGAAAAGAATATATATATATATATATATGTGTGTGTGTGTGTGTGTGTGAGTTTGGGTATGAATGGAGAAGAGAAACAAAAGGAAAATGAAAAGAAAGCGCCCAAGAGAAGGTAATGTTGAGAGTAAGTGAATGCAGCCGATGGAATTATTTGTACGGGTCTTGTCACTGTCTGCTCAATTAGCTTGCCCCTCCCCCCCGCCCACGGCGCAATTCACACTGTAGGAGTCCACTGAGCCTGTGTGATGTGGGACAGTGTACATACAGTCCTAGCGACGGGGCGTACTGTATCCTCTAAAAAGGGGGCCTCCACCTTCAAATGCGCTTCTAGTTGTCCTGACAGGGGGTCATGCGTTTGTTTGCATCGATATCTATACCTAGGCTTGATAGTTTGTTTATCTTGCAAGGATGAATGAGGTGGGGGGGGGGGGGGGATTTGTTGCGCCAAAGAGGATACCGCGTCAGGTCGCTCACTCGTGAAACGGAGATGGTCAGAGGAAGAGAGAATGCATTTTAAGATATATATACTCGTATATATAGTAGATATATAGTAGGTATTTTGTGTGTATCATTATTGTCCGGACCATATGGGGAAAAAATACTATGAGATCTCATCCCGACCTGAGCCTCCCACACATGACCACGTCCTCCCCAAAGGGATGCCATCGCACGTCACACAGCCTCACAGCAGGCACAGGCACGCCGCGACCATCATGTACCCTATCTGGGGAGACGATGACGCCCCCCTTCCCGAGCCAGGTCGGCGCGACGGTGACGATGACGGAGTCAACGAGGTCGTGGTATCTGGGCGCCAGAAGCGTGTTGATGACCGTGGCCCCGCCTTCGACCATGACGCTGTCCAGGCCCTCGGCCGCTAGGGTGGCGAGCACATCCCTCCAGTCGAAGAGGCCGTCGTCCCTCCCAGCGGCTACGTGGACGTACTTGCCGCCGTGCTCCCCGAGGACGTCGGCCTTTTCCTGCGGCGCCGGGTGCGCCGCCGCCGTGATGACGAGGGGCGCCTTGCCTTGGCCCGCCCGGCAGAGCTGGAGCACCTTGTCTTCGGGGCGGGGCGTCCACCGGAGCCGCGGGTCGATGATTACGGGACGCGGCTGCGACGTCGCCCCCTCGATGCGGCAGTTCAGCCCCGGGTCGTCGGCCAGCATGGTGGACACCCCCACCAGGATGGCCGAGTGGCGCGACCGGAGGTAGTGCGTCATGGCCTTGGAGTCGGGTCCCGAGAGACGCGTGCGCACGCCGGGTGCCAGGGAGAGCGACGAGTCCAACGATGTGGCGAATGTCAGGGTGACGAATGGCCGCTTCGGCTGACGCTCTGCTGTTGCTGGCGCTGCTGGTGCTGCGGGCATGTAGGCCTCCAGCTGGGCGGCTGACGTTGCCGCAAACGTCAATCTATCCGACATTGTGGGCCACTGCAAGGCTAACTATCCCTCGGATACGGCAATGGGTTGTTGACATGTGGTGGTTGGGTGTGCAAAGGCCCAAGGGAGAGAGAAGATGCGTGCCCGCACTGCTATAAAAACCAGGGTGGGGCAACTGCATGCGATTCACAGGTACATGATGGACTGATGCCAACTCTTGAGTGTAACACGTACGTACATACGTGTCTTATAAGCAGGTAGGCGCATCATTTACAGGTTTACATGTACATATATGTGTATATGTGTTGTGTGTGTGAGATATTACCGGACATATATAAAGATAACCTAAGCTGATTCTACCAAACCCTTGGGGTTTCCATCATCGTCAAACTCAGCCCACCTAAAGAATGTACAACCGTCTCTCCCAGGCACATTGCCAGCATAGCACATCCAGAAATATCTTCCGAAATTCTCTCTTTTGCGCTGGACCACGCGCAGGACGCAGGGTACCCCGCAAGTACACCGGGGCGTGAGGCGCGGATGCATGCTGGGGCGATAGTGGCGGTATGTGACGTTGATGCGCCTGTTGCCTGAGATGGGGTGCGGGTCGATGGACGGAGCGCGCGACAGCGTGTGCTTCCACTCCTCCTGCATCTCGGCGTGCATGACGAGGAGCGAATTATGTGGAAGGTGGATCGATATCTGGCCCTCGGCGTCGGCGTCAGCACCGTCCCTCACCTCGTCCTTGGGTAGGACACGGCGGACACGGAACTCGCGGGCCACGCCGAGAGACACCGAGCCTATGACGGCCCGGGGACCCAGGTATGTGATCTGGTCACTGTGCCAACCGACGCTCTCGGTCGGCCCGGCATAGCAGTTGACAAAGGCCATGTTGGGGCACCAGGTGTCGGGAGACTGGTACCTCAGCTTGCGGCCGTCAGGGTAGCGGGCCGCAATGCGTTTCTGTATCTCCCTGTTTACGGCTTCCTGGACCAAAGGCTTGGCCTTGACGAGCTGGGGTGTGATCCTCCGAACGTCCTGTCGGGGGTCTCTATTAGACTTGATTCCAACACTCTCTTTATTCATATTCAATGTACTCACCGTCACTCGCGTCCCATTGTAGTGGTACTCCGTCTTTTGCCTCTGTATCTCGTCATAGCTTTCGACATAGAAGCTCGAGGTATGAGGGCTTGAGACGACATTGTCGAATAGCTTGAAGGTATCCTGCTCAAAAGTCTTGGACTCATCTAGTAGTTCCCGCAGCAACGCGTCCGCCACGTCAGCCGGCAGAAAGTTGTGGATAATGGTGCACGGCGTGTGTTCTGACACGTCGGCAGGGTCAAAGAGATGCAGCGTCTCACCCCGTTTCGTCATGGATCTGAGCTTCTTCCTGGAAGGAACATCTGTGGAGATCGTGATAAATTGTTTCAACGAGCTTTGATAGCCGACTGCTTGACTTGCCACTTCCTTGGTGGGGCGTCCCGTCAGGGACGTTGACGCACGCGATACTACGCCGTCGTGGGCAAGAAGAACGTCCATGAGCGCTTCATCATCAACGTGTGGATGAAGGGACGACAGGATCGCTAGCTTAACCTCGGTGGATTCATCTTCATTGCCATTTATCACTACCACCTCTTCCTCGATTTTGGCAACTTCGTCTTCAGCACTCGACTTGCGTTTCTTGCGCGTAAGGAAGGACTGCATGCTGTTGACACATTGGCGCGCGTCAGTCTGGCAGTGGCATCGGCCACTTCACTACTGAACGTGACAGGGGGAAGCCTGTATATCCTAGTGCACGCCCTCTTAAAAATCCCCTCTCGATGCGTGTCGTGTTGCTTTCGATGTGCGTGTCCTATGAAGGCGGGGGGGGGAGGAGGAGGGGCGGAACTGACGCGAGGTCACATGACTGGGGGGAACTTAAAGAGCCTCCGATAGTAGCATGGGAACCTGGGGGAGATGCAAATAAACGATCTGCCCACTTGTGACGTCGGTGCAGCTTGCCGAGGCACATGCAATCGAGCTCTCTGCTCTGCTTGGAGGGGACGTCTCGAACTGCCGACACACATATGCACATACGTACACAACCCCACGCGCAACGTACAAGCCTACGGCATTGCGCATGCGCATACTGTAACGTTTTCCCGCCCTCTGATCTCTCTCCTCTACAGCACTCTTGTTCCGATGCCTTGTGTACTAGAGCGCTGAGAGACTTCCACCCCCCGGCCGCTGCCCGCCACCACAATGGCTGCCCCCATGCTCGAGTTCCGCACACAAGGCTACAACCCGTACGCAGTCAAATACTCACCCTACTACGACTCGCGCATCGCCGTAGCATCCTCTGCCAACTATGGAATCGTGGGAAATGGTCGGCTATTCGCACTTGGTCTCTCGGCCCAAGGAATCCAGATCGAGAAAACGTGAGTGGACCTTCCTTGGCTTTCTGCCATCGCGTGCGCATGTGCGGAGAACGCATATCTCCCCAGGAAACCCGGCAAGTATTGACGTTGGGCTATGGGAGGTAGCTTCGATACGAACGATGCACTATACGACCTGGCATGGTCCGAGATTAACGAGAACCAGCTCGTGACGGCCTGCGGCGACGGGTCGTTGAAGCTGTTCGACCTGGGGGTCAAGGACTTCCCCGTCATGAACTTTCATGAGCACAAGCGCGAGGCCTTCTCGGTGTGTTGGAATCCCATCACAAAGGACTCCTTTGTCTCGAGTTCATGGGATGGCACCGTCAAAATAGTGCGTATACTTTACTGACCACCTTTTTCTTTTCCTCTTTTTTTTTTTGGGGGGGGGGGGCTTAATTTCATTGTATATACCAGCTGCTGATCCGAGAGAAACAGTGGTCCCCCACGCGCAACTTCTCCGTCAAGACCCTCCCGGTCGGAAACTGCACATACAGCACGTCATTCTGCCCATCCAACTCGGCGCTGATATCGGCCGTCTCGTCTGACTCCCACCTCCGGATCTATGACCTCCGCACCCCCTCGTCGGCAAAATACCACCTCGTCTCGGCCATACCTGTGCACGGGCTCCCGGTCGGGGGCCAGCCCTCGGAGATTCTCACCCACGACTGGAACAAGTACAACACCAACGTCGTCGCTACGGGCGGCGTAGACCGCATCCTGCGCACCTTTGACATTCGCTCGTCCGGCGGGCCCCTGGCCGTCATGCCGGGTCACGACTACGCCGTGCGTCGCCTCGCCTGGAGCCCACACTCCAGCGACATGCTCCTCAGCGCTAGCTACGACATGACGGTCCGTCTGTGGAACGACGGGTCCTCGTCCGCCGCCGCCGTCCAGCAGCCGCCCAACCCGGCCGCGGAGCCCACGCCCGGCGTACAGATGGGTGTCATGAATCGCCACACAGAGTTTGCCACCGGTATCGACTGGTGCCTCTTTGGCATGGGCGGATGGGTCGCCTCGGTAGGATGGGATGAGCGCGTCCTCTTGTGGGATTCTAAGATGCTCATGGGGAGACGGTAGGAGCGTCGTCTTTAAAAATAATACACAACTTCATTCTCCTATTTCTGGACAGCAAAAAAAAGCCCATTTGTCCAAACCCAACCTCCGCCCCCCCCTCTCCGGCAGAAAATAGGGAGAGAGGCAGTTGGCGTTCGTTCCGGTGGGGTTTCACTTCTTGTTTATTCTTCTTAGCATAAGTAGTAAATTTGAATATATATAAAATATACCATTATTCCATGCTCCAACTTGTTGTTGTAACCCAAGAAGAATAAGAAAATCCTCTCATGAGTAATATTATTCGCTCGAACGAGTCTGCAAAGGGAGAAGATGAAGAGAGACAGGCTTGCATTATATTGATACATGTCTATTGGTTCGTGGAGATGGTAAAATTATGTGTCAAAACAAAGTGAGGCCAACAGACAGATAGAAAGCCCACATAATGCCCGCGCCGTTTTAAATTTTAGTAGTACAAAAAAGAACAATGATTCCCTTCCATATGCCGTCCATATCTGTCCCTTCTCTTCGTTTTCTTCTTTCTCGGTAGTACACTTTCTTCTCTTTCTTTCGTTTTGGTCCTTCTTCTTACGTAAATTCTTCGCCATGTAAAGGCAAAGGGGGGGGGAAGGTCGTTAAGGGGGGAAGGGGTAATAATACAGGATGAAATGGTGTGAATGAGAAACGTTTGAGGAGAATATACATCGTCTAACTTCCCTTGGCATTCTTGACAAGAAGAGGTAGAGGGGGTGGTCGGTGGTTGCCGCTCTTCGTTTACCAGCTGGGCTCATCACGTCCACGGTCGCCGCGCCTGTTGCCGCCGCTGAATCCGCGACCGCCGCCACGGCCACCGCGACCGCCGAATCCGCGATCTCCGCGGCCCCCACGGGGAGGGTCGTCAGACCTGACGTTGCGGCGCATGGCGTTGAATGGGTCGCCGTCGTCCCTGGAGCTGCGGCCACCGCCACGAGAAGAGAATCCACGGTCGTCGCGGCCGCCACGGTCAAAGCCCCTGGAACGAGAGCGAGGGCCGTCATCAAAGTGAGACCCCTCCTGGACGTTGAGGAACTCGGAGCGGATGTCGAGGCCCGTGTTGCGGACGAAGCGGGAGTCGACGGCGGGGGGCTCGGTCCATCCCCAACCGCGGGTGACCCACGTGTGGAGATCCTCGGCTAGCGCGTCAGACTGTGTGGTCTGGCCAAACATCGACTTGTAGGCCGAGGCCAGGATGCGCTTGTCGGTGGTGCTGACGCAGCCGCGCATCTCATCGTGGTACTGGGGCATATCGGCACCGTCTTCGGCCAGGTCCACCTCGGCGCTGGCGATGGACTTGTCCTGCTTCAGGGGGAGGCCTCGGAGCATCTTCCTGGCGAAGTTGACCGACTGGGGAGGGAGAAGCAGCCAGCCTTCACCGTACTTGTCCTGTCGACCAGTACGGCCGAGCCTGTGGATGTACGACTCGCGCTCGCGGGGCACGTCGACCTGGATGACGTGGGTGACATTGGGGAAGTCCATGCCGCGGGCCGTAACGTCGGACGAGAACAGGATACCCGACGTGGCGCGGCGGAACGAGTCGGCGGCGCGGGTGCGCTGCTGCTGTGTGAGCTTGGAGTGGATGGCGTACGAGGGGAGCGTGCTCATGCGCTCACGGCGGCGGCGGAAACCAATCTCGCCAGAGAGCTCGACCAGGGCCGTCGTGTTGAAGTAGACGATGGCCTTGAGGGGGGGGGAGTCCGGGTTCTCGCTGGCCTTGACGGCCTCGCGCTCCAGTAGCTCCAGAAGACTGGGGAACATGTTGGTCCACGAAGAGACAGAGACGACGTGCTGGGGCACCTTGTCGTGCGTGAGGGTCTCGTTCTCGGAGATGGTCTGGACAAACTCAAAGTCGTTGGCGCGCACCATGGACCGGGCCAGGCGGATCACGTTGTCGGGGATCGTCGCCGACACCAGCATCGTCTGGCGCACCTTGTCCTGGACGCTGGGCAGCATCTCCAGGATGCTGTCCAGCTCCTTCTCGAAGCCGACGTCAAGCATGCGGTCGGCCTCGTCCAGCACCATCGCAGCCAGGTTAGGCGCCTCGATGCCAGAGTCGGCGTCGCTCAGGAGGTCATTGAGGCGGCCGGGCGTGGCCACCAGTAGGTGGCAGCCCTGGCGGCGGGTCTGCTGCAGCATCTGCCTCTTGTTTGTTCCACCAACGGCCGTCTGAATGACAAGGCCTGTGTTTTTGGCAAGAGCACGGGCCTCGGCGGCAATCTGCTCGGCAAGTTCGCGGGTAGGAGACAAGACGATGCCTCTAACGTCATCGCTTCTGGCGTCACGAGATGCGCTCTTGGAGGCCAGCGACGGATCCTCGGCGAGCATCCTCTGGAGGAGCGGGAGAAGGAAGGCAATCGTCTTACCAGTTCCAGTCTTGGCTTGGGCCACACTAGAAAAAAGAAAGGAGGGGAGCACATGTCAGACAAAGTATTGAGAACTCTGCTTATTCTTGAGGGGGTCTTACATGTCAGTTCCCTTGAGGGCAGGGTTGATGGTCTTGGCCTGAACGGGCGTCATGTTCTCGTATCCGAGGCCCTGGGTGATGGACTCGATGAGCTTTGGGTGAACACCGATGCTCTCGAGGTTCTTGAACTCCATGACCATACCGCCGGCCTTGGGAGGAGTTGCGGCGTCATCGGTGGGAGAGGTCGCCTCGGCTGCAGAGGTCTCGGTGCTGTATGCCCTGCTATAGATGGCAGAAAGCCTGGACATGGGAATTACGGACCGCACCGATGCCGTGGCAGCGTTGGACTGTGCAAAAGCCACGGCGCGAGGGCGTGCCATGGACACGGCGGAGCTGATGGAGCTGGCCGGCCTGGCACAGCGCCTTAGTCCCTGCCTGAACATGATGGGGACTGTATTGATGGATGTAACTTGTGAAGGAGAGATGAAGAACCGAGTGCGAAGAGGAAGAAAGAAAGAGTAAGGAATAGAAGGTGATGAGAGGAGAAGAGTTGTGACAGGTTGATGAAAAAAGTCGTCGGGACGCGCCCCGAAGTTTTTCTCCAAATGATAGGGGTCCCTTTGGCCTTGTTCCAGACGCAGTCTAGCGTTTGTTCTGCCGTATGGAGACGGCGGCGAGGAACGCTTTCACGTGACACGACGGCAAAGTCTCGTTTCTGTCGATGCCACTTCTGGTCTAGGGTATCTACGATATCTGGCACAAGGTGTGCCGCCCAGATGTACCAACCACATCGCCAATGGGCTTTGGACATCCATTTCCTGCCTTCCAATCATACCTATCAGGTGTGAAAGAAGATATGCGAAACGTGCATTCTAGGCAGTGTCTGGCTTACAACTAACATAAAGAACATTGAGTGAATTCGCTCTGACCCCAAGATCGACGAACTCTGTTCTTTGCCATGTCTAATCCCTAGTCCCCAAGGCCCAATTCTGCTTTCCCTCTACTGATAGGAAGCAAAGAAGGAGAAGAAGCTAATCTAGAAAATACACAGGGTCACCAATGATGCTGCTACAAATCTCTTGGAAGTCGATGATGGACTGTAATATTAGTTACATGGCAACGGTCTCTCACGACTAGGCCCATAGCATCTACGACTCCCCTTTGATGATCGGATCAGCAATCTTCTCCGCCAGGGCATACACAGTGTATCGTAATCGTAGGTGTTCAGGAGGCAGGAGGGGAAAGGCACTGCTATCGACAGCCCGTAAGCCTCGGACACCAAAAAGGGAGCGACCATAGCACCGAGAACGGTAGCGTGCTGCTTGCCACCAAGCGGCTTCTGCAAGACAGGAAAGGCGAGATCCCCAATTAAGCCGTTACCTGAGATGTTCTCTACCTCTGGCCAGTCGTCGGGGGACCAGGACAGGGCCTGCCGCGTTGAATCTGTCCAGCCTGCCCTGTACTTCTCCAGTAGCTTCTCCCAGCCAAGGAACTCGACAACATTCGAAGACAGAGGACCCTGTGATTTGAGGCTGTAGCGGAGAATAGCGTCTGGCAAGGCTACCGGATCATGCAGCGTCTTGTCCAGGGTCTGGATTGACTTGATAGGGGTCCAGACATGATGTGATCCCACATATTCTGACCGACCCCTAGAAGATGACCGACTTAGTAAAACTGTGCTTGGTGACGTCTCGGGGATCGATGGTACCGTTCACGTCATCTCCGTCGATTGTAACCCTCATGGCCGGAGCCTGGGTAACAATATCGAGTCTCTTTCGTAGGTGCGTTTGCCCTATAGATGTACTCCACCGAGGAGCTTCGGGTCTGATCAGAGGATCGGATTGTTGCTTGGGAGCAGTGATATCCAAGAAGGTCCCCCGTAGTGAAGCCTGCTGTCAAGTTCAGGCCAGCTGCTTGGAGTCCCCTCTCGAGCCAGGTCGCCCAAGGCGAGACCCAATTCATATACCCAGCCTGTACAGAGCCGCCTGGAAAGTCAAGAGCGCGTCGAGGTCATAGAGGGTGGTGGCGTTGTGGAGGCGGACGTCGCTTGGCTTCGTGAAGTTCATACTTTTCCGAAAATATGGCAAGAACCGATCTGGCCTAGAAGATGCACACGCTCAGGACATGAAGCGGAAAAGGAGGGGATGGCGTGCACTGGCCTATAACCGTCGTCGCCTACCAAGTCTGCCCGTTCCTGATGGGATCCTGTGCTCCCGCGATATAAGTGAAAACTGAGAGTAGAGACGAGCTCAGATGCGTTTTTATTACTGATGGAGGCACCGAATAAATGGCAGGTACATGTATACCGATCGTGGGCCCTCTTCATCGATGGAATCGGAGTCAGTGACTATTCGTGTGGTTCGTTCGCCCCATTTCCGTGCAATTCCCCAAATGGGTCCTGAGTCCTGACATCCCGGCACGCCCCGGCACATCCCGGCACACCCCGGGCCCGAGGAACTGCGACTGATAATAATGTCATACCTTGGTGATTTTGCTTTTCCTCCGATGAACCGGCTGCTAACCAATCAAGAATCGAGATGACCATATGGCTAACGGTGTGGGGCATGTCACAAGATAAAGAGACTGAATGGTGTTTGTGGGGGGGGGGATACACATCACAGCATCCATCGTGGTTGACGTGATGTTACGTGACTCGTGCTTTAGATAGGACGCAGCGGGTACAGGGAACGGCAATCTGTATCTTCAAAAAGATTTGTTGGTATCGCTCTCACGCGCGCACGTAGGTGTTGTAGTGAATACGGATGCGTTGGCCCCTTCAAAGGAAGGGCCGCTAGGAGGAGGATGAGGCCGTGCATATACCTGATCTGATGATGATATTTGCCTAGGGGCCTTAGACTCAGAGACCCGTACCGGAATAGCAGATATGCGGAGTTTGTTGGTGCTCGTACAAACAAATATTATATATGATAATATAGTAGTAGTAGTATTATTGCGACGTAGGCCGGGGCCGAGGCGAGGGCTGTCAACCATCCCCACATATATATATCTACATATCCACTTTGCAGACAATCCGTAGTCACTTCTTCTTTCCCCTTTCCTCCCAGTGATGATGTTGCATGGTGCTTTGCATCCTGGGCTTCTGCCGTACCTCTTCTTGTCACAGGCTGGTGGCCTTGATGTCTGTGATGATCGTTGTTGCCGTCATTTCCGGAGCACCCTGCTCCCCTAGCGTATAATACCCGTCGATAAGAAGTGGACGCGCCGACGATATTGACTTATTACTACAATGATGTTAAACGGATGTGACTCTCTTCTCTTTTTCCAACACATGCAAACCCAACCCCATTGTTCGTGGCCGGTGTCTGTAGTAGCATTGGACTCGACCCTCAGCTCTCCCCCGCCTCTCGGTGCTCTCTGCGCCGCCGCCGCCATGAGACAAACTAGGTCTTTCCCCCGTGTGGTGTAGACCTCTATCCATATCCACCCACGATAGTTTAAAATAGGTCTCCTTTTAAGGCTTTTTTTTTTCTTTGTAGAAACCAAGACTCTTTCTTTCATAACACGGGTTCTATGCTCGCAGATCACTGCTTCATTTCTCATCTCTCTCCTCTTTTCTCTACCTATACAGATAAGTGTATATTTTATCAACGGGGAGATGTTTCAGGGGGGGGGGAAAGGTTGTTTCACTATTCAGAATCCATTCATTAGATTTAGTCGAGATTTCTTGTGTCTGCATCTTTCCGTCGTAATCGTCATCATCTCTCATCAACGTGGCCGTCACGAGATTCTCTTGTCTCTCAGTCTGGTTATCAACAGCCCCTCTCCCAGACCATCCGACACGCCCCTGGTGATCTCCTCGACCGTCCAGACAAACGTACTGGACACGCCGTGGCTGGGCGTAGTGGTGAGGACCGCCTCTGCGGCACGCGCGCACTGTCGTCCGGCGACGTGAAAGGCAGACATGCTGTGTCCGATGATGGTCTCGGACATTCTGTAGCGGCGTTCGACGCTCATGGCGGCCTTTACCAGCAGCGCCACGTATGGGAGCACGAGGTGGACGACGAGGATCATGTTGAGCACCAGGGCATGGACGACGCGGTGCACTGTCGAGTTTCGCCGGCGGCCGTCCCCCCCGCCTCGATGGCTACGCCCACCACCGGACGGATACATGTAGTATGGGCGCAGGGCGTTGGATTGCTCCAAGTCTCCCCCCGCTCCCCTCTGCGAGACCTGCACCGGAAGGGCTGCCCGTACCTGCTCTGCCTCGTAGCCGTTGAGGTCCGCGGGGAGACTCTTGAGAAGGTATGTCAGGCCATCAATGTAGGCTTTCCTGCTCAGTGCTGCGTCGTCGCCGTCGCTTGCGTCGGCGGCGATGCCAACAAGGCTGGTACCTAGGTTGGCTGTCAGCACTCTCCATGCTCTCCTTCCATCATGCATGGGCGGGTGCCATCCGCCTACCTTGATCGACGAGTCGCCAGTTGATTCCAGTTTGCTGCTGCTGCTGCTTCCTGTCGTTTGCACGCACCCCTGTCTCGGGAATCACAATCCTATCCAGCGCAGCCGAGACCTCCGTACTGGACGGCGACGAGGACTCCATCATGCTCCAAGACGATCGTTTGGCCGCCTGCTCAGGAGCAGAAACCGGTCTCGGGGGTGTCGGTGGTGATGATTTTGGGACTAGCTGTTGCTGCTGCTGCTGCTCCTGTTGTTGTATCTCGGCCGTGGCCCGTATGCTCCCTAAACTCGACGTCCTTCTAAACTGGCCTCCGAATGATCCTATACGCGGCTGCAATGATGCGGGTAGCAGTCTGATGACTGTCGATATCCTGCTCTCTGTCGTGCGTTCCCACTTGACCTGCTCGAGCATGGGGATCAGAGGAGGTGGCGACGATGACTGCTTCTTGTCCAGCTGGTGCGTCATTTTACCCCTTCCTTCTTGGTTGCGAACCTTTTTTTTTTTCCTTCTGCCCCCTCAAGTCCTTCCAGAAAGGTGACACTGACCCTATCTGTTTCTCGTCTTCAACGTGTCCCGGTGATCGTTGGTAAGATGGGTGGCAGGCGGGGCGGGGGGTGGTGGTACTGATACGTGACTTTTGGGGGGGGATTGGCCGGTCACATGGAACACATGTAAAAGAGTGTTACCACGGTTGTCGCAGCTCTTTCATCAGCACATGATAATGACAAGTATCCTGTCTTTTCTATCCAGCACGACCGAAAGGGAGCGAGGAAGAAAGAGAGGGGGGAAGGAGGAGAAGGAGGAAGAAGAAGAAGCAGAAGTAGGACACCCAAACAAGTAAGCAATCTTGGTGTTCGTGCTGTTGATCTTGGCTTTTAACATGTGAAAGTCCCACCCCGATCCCCTTTGGTCTCTTTCTTTTTTCTTCCTATTCTCCGCCCGCCCCACGTGAAAGTGGCGAACGCTACTGCGAACGCTACGGCGCTTAACCGTTAGTCCCCATCTTCTGCATTGATTATCTTGTCCTCTCCGATATCCTCCGCATAATCATCACAAGCGACGGTCGAGAGGCAGTCTCCCATCAATGCAAAGGTTCCTGATGTTTATCCTGAGTCTTCTCCTTCTAACGCTTCCGTGAACCCGAGAGCCCGTGTTATGCCTATACCCGTGATGACGCCTTGTCCAAATCAATAGCACAAAAAAACATGCAGTAATAATACCCAGCTCCCTTCCGGTAGTAGTTCGTACGACGGGAGCTTACCCAAACAGCTACTTTCCCCAACTAGTTTCAACTTCAAATACAGTCCGTTTCATCCCCGTGTCGGCCTCATAGGTCCTTGCTCAGTTCAAACGACCAGCCGCCCTCGCGACGCATCTTGTCGCGCGCCGCCATATCCTTCTGGATGTCCTCCTCCGTCAAGCGGTCAAAGCCACTCCAGTTGGCACTGGATGTGCGAGCACGGAACTTGTGCCACCTGTCCTTATTTTTGCTAAAGACCTCTTCCATGTTGAGCGGCCGAGGAGGTCCAAAGATGTCCGTGGGATCGAGAGTCTCCTGCCTGAGAAGAGCCATGCGCAGCTCGGGAGACTCGACCCACGGTGCCACCATGCCACGGCCACCGCCGTCCTCGTCGTCCTCGTCGTCCGTGTCAATCTCAGGCAGCTCGATAGACTCGCCGTTCTGGAACCGGGGAGATGACCTCTGCGCAGACTTGGCTGTCGATTTGGAGCCGTGAGCCGCCGGCGGCCTGGCTGGCGTCTTGTATGAGGATGATCCGTGGTGGTTTGCGTTGGCGGGCGCAAACGGGATAGCACCCTTGGAGATCTGCGCCATGTCGAGTGGAGACTTGTGTTGGTTGTTGTACTGCGACGTGACCGTAGCCTTGAATAGGTCGCGCGTCGCGCTGGGAGGCGCATTCGTGTATCCGTTCTGGAATAGTGACTTCTTGGGCAGCTCCTGTGTAGGACGTTAGACAGCCGATCGCTTTCCGTAGCTCGGTAGGGGGTTGTGATTACCTTCTTGAAAGCCGCCGAGGGGCGGACGGGGGGACCCTTGATGTTGGGCGGGTTGTCCACCTCGGTCTCGCCCGCCTCGCTAGTTCGGCGTCGCTTGGCATCCTTGGCCTGGTACGACGGTCCGCCACGAGATGGCTGCCTCTTGGCATTGTAGTCGTCATTGGCTTCCTGAGCCGGATTCCGCTTCATGCCAGCCTTGGATGCCTGGGTGGGGTGGCCGCTGTCCATCCGAGAAGGAGGCCGGGATGGCTGTGCCTCTCGAGTCGAGCTGCCAAAGTCGGGTGGCCCGTTCTGGTGGGACCTGGTCGCTGGTGGCGGAGCCTTGGTCTGCTTTGCCTTCTCGAGCATCGCCTGCCTTTGGGCACTCTGGGAAGTCTGCTTCGCTTCCGCATGAGCAGCCGCCTGTTCGCGGTCGCGCTGCTTCTGGCGCTCGGCTTCCTGCCGACGTTGCTCTTGTCTCCGCTGCTCCTCTTGGGCTGCAGCTCGTTTCCGCTCCATCTCCGCCTTTGCCTCGCGTCGCCGTTGGGCTTCCCTCTCCTCCTGCTCTCGCTTCTGCGAAGCCGAGTCCGGAACCTTTGCTCGCCCATTCGAGGAAGTGCTGGCCTTCAAGCTCTGCGTTGACGGCTTGGACTGCAGTGCGGCCTTGCTGGCCTTGCTCGCCTTAGCCGGGGCTGCCGGCTGGGATTGAGGGGCCGTTGAGGGTGCTACGCTCTCGGGCGCGTTGGCTGTTATAGTGCTTGCTGTCGAGTGGTATTGCGAGTGCTGCGATCCCGTGTTGACTCTGATGACTGTAGGGGCCTGCTTCGCCTTGGCCTGTGCCTCCCTCGTAGGCCTCGTGGGCCTCTTGATCTCCTTCGGCCTGGCCACTTGGCTGGCTGTTGCAGGCCGATGTGCTGACGGGGGTGCCAGGGGCGGGGCATCGGCCATGTCAACGCTACGATCCACAATATTCGTAACCGTCTCCGGCTGACGCTGGATCTTGCCAGTGCTGCTCTTAGTGGGCTCGGGTGTTTCCAGAACGGGTGCGCGCTCCCCATCCTTGGACATCTGCTTCTCCATAGCTGCAATGCGCTCCTGCTCCTTGCTGAACACACGGGCCTTCTCTCGTTCCTTCTCCCTGGCCTTTTCGAGCTTATCTGTCTGCTGCTCCTGGAGCCTGGCTTCAGCCTGGCGGCGTTTCTCCTCCTTTTCCCGTTCAAGAGAGGCTCTGGTTCGTCGCGCGACTGGTAACGTCTTGTCATCATCCTTGTCGGCAGCCACATTGTTGCCAAACGCCCTTGTAGCAAGGGACTCTGTCGAGGCTGTTACGTGAAATCCCATGCGCGTTGTAGATGGCGAGAGAAGAGACGACTTCCCCTCCGCACTGACGGCGGCGCTGCTGGCGAGAAGACCCTTGGAGCTTTTCAGGATCGAAGACAGTTTGTTCTTAACCTGTTTCAAAGGGCTATCCCGGAACGAGCGAGACGACGAATGCGAAGGCGTCTGTGCACCGTCTCCGTCCAGCATGGAAGAAAGCGGGATCGAGAAAGCCTTTGTGAGCGGAAGAGTCTGATCTGTGACAGCCCGAGGAAGCAGTGGAACGGTCGGCACCGAGACAGATTTTGCGTGCCCCGGTGTGTTCAAGGCGGTCTGGTGAGTAGGAGCTCGTTGGGGGGAGACAGACTGACCACCGCGCTCGTGTGTAGGCGGCTCAAAGTTGACGTCGCTGATGCGATCGTTCTCGTGGATGCCTTCCATGACATCCGCGGAATGACTCTTCGGCAATGGCGGGGAAATTGGACTTTGTGGCTTCGTAAAGGTGGGGGACGCAACCGGGGGATCAATCCAGTCATCGTCATCCTCGGGGAACGCTCCGGGGGTCGTTGTGGTCGCTTCCGCGGGTTTGGGACTCGGGGACTTGGACACCTCGGTAGGCTGTGAGGGGGCCGCAGCCTGCTGTAGGGAGGCGAGGTTGTGCGTCGACTTCGAGGGCCTGCTGCCGCTTGGCTTTGACTTGCCCAGTAGGTTGATCTGATCTTGAAGCCTCTGCGTGTAAGTTTTGTTGTGGTTCAAGGCCGGGTTGACCTCGGCCGGTCGAGCTATTTCCTCGTTCTTCAATTCTTCTCTGTCTTCCTCCTCGGCGTCATCTGTATCTTGAGTAGGCTTTCCCGGTGTTTTCCCTCCAGCAGCCCAGTTGTACTGGCTCTTCCTGTTGGTATCGAAGTAGCTGGTACGGGAAGCTCGAGTACCAAGGCTCTTTCCAGCAGTGAGCGGTTCCCTTGCAGGGAGCGAGGCAAAGTTTAGGCTGCTTTTGCGGACCAGCGGGCGAATTGGGCTGGAAGCGTCTAAATTTGATCGCGCATCATCCAATGCACTTTCCACAGAATGCGCCGGGGATGCGACAGGGTCAGAAGATGCTTCTAGGGCTGTTTTTGCCTCAGAGGTCAGAACCGGCTGTTCCGAGTCAGGAACATCGTCTTCTTCCATGACAACGTCCTTTACATCCTCGACCTCACTGGCTTCATCATCCTGCTCCATTTCTACAAGCGCATCGGACGAGACAACTTCCTTGGCTTGGTACTCCTCGGATGAGTCCGTGCGGATGAGGGTGTCGCTCATGTATACACCGGTCGCGGTAGGCTCACCAGCAGGAGTTTGCTGAGAATAAAGGAGTTCTTCTTCATCGCGCGCATGGCTAGAGTGAACATCCTGGCTCCCAAAATATCCAGAGTCCTGGTATGCCCCTCCAGGCCCAGCCATCTCGGCACCCGGTGCGTTCTGCTTGCGAGCTACCGGTTTCGATGGCGAGGAAGATGACTTGGCGGCGATCGTTTGGGTTTTTGGCGAGTTTACTCGATTGAGTTTCTGGGCGAATCGGTTTGTTGAACCATTGGGGGTGGCGGCGAACACGTCCGATAGAGGCTAGAAGACGTCAGCTTTGGCTAAACACGGTCAAGACGATGAACCCTTACTGCTCGCGATTCGGAGGCGTTCGATTTGAGAGCCGTTCGAGGAGTCTTTCCACGAAGCTTTCCAGGAGTCTTGAAGGTCTCAGCGAAATTCCTGTCGCGTTGTTAGCATATATGGTTCCTAGGGACGGGGCGTTGACGCGTACGTCTCGTTCTCATCAAATATGCCAGCCATGTGCTCGTTCAGCCATTCAAGTTCATTCCTCGCAGAGAAGGAAAACTCTTCGACTTCGGCCTGGGCAATCTGGAGGGCGCTGGAGCGTTCTTCGGCCACCCAGGCGGCAGAGCCAACCTGAAGGCGCGGTCCCCGCATGGCCATGGTAGATGGGGTAGGCTGTCGAGAGCAAGGTCGCGTGATGTCGGCTTCTAGAACTAGCCAGGGACGTCATGTATCGGTTCTCACGGAGACATGAGGGATCTTGAGTGAGTTAATGGTAAGGAAATGGAGTTCAAGGGTGGGTGGAAACCGGGGAAGGGTTGGCAACGACTGCGCAGAAGATCAAGACTGGAACGACTTGTTGTTTTGATCAATCCCAAACTGGGTTAGCGCAATTAGAGGTCTGACAGCCCACTTTACCGCGTCAGGGAGGGGAAGGCGGAAAGTGCGTGCTTTGAGTGCTTTTTTGTTCACGTGATGATAAGAGCGGTAAAGCACCTATCAGATAGTAAACACGACATCCCTACTTTGTGTTTACTCCCCGGTGAGGCGCGCCTCTGCTTGCGACATCAAGCAACCCGCAAGACAACGCCCCGATTAGGGATATTCGCGGCAGAGATACCGCCCGGGTCACCATCATGAGGGTGATTGAAGTTATCATTGACGTATGGCCTTTTGCTCTCCCCGCTTCCTCTACCTAAAATACTAAACTCCAAAACAGGGTTTCAAGTCGTATCAAACGCGGACTGTCATTTCGGGATGGTGAGACCCCTTCCCCGCCGACCATGATACCCAACTTGCCAGCGTTCTAACACCAGAAAGGGATGAGAGTTTTAACTCCATCACTGGCCTTAATGGCAGTGGTAAATCCAACATTCTCGATGCCATCTGTTTTGTTCTGGGTATTACCAACATGTCCACCGTCCGAGCTCAGAATCTCCAAGTACGACCCCTCGGCCTAGAGCGCAGGGATGCAGGATTCGTTTGACTGATTGTGAACTCTTCAGGATCTTATATACAAGCGCGGTCAGGCCGGTGTTCAAAAGGCCAGTGTCACAATCGTTTTCGACAACCGAGATACCAAAAAGTCGCCGATTGGTTTTGAAGAGTACGCATCGATCAGTGTTACCCGTCAGATTGTCCTTAATGGTTCAAACAAGTACCTCATCAACGGCCACCGGGCGCAGCAGCAAACCGTCCAGAACCTATTTCAGTCTGTACAGCTCAACATCAACAACCCCAACTTCCTCATCATGCAGGGTCGCATCACAAAGGTCCTCAACATGAAGGCCGTGGAGATCCTCGCCATGATTGAGGAAGCCGCTGGGACACGAATGTTCGAAGACCGAAGGGACAAAGCGCTGAAGACCATGGCCAAGAAGGAAATGAAACTGCAGGAGCTCCGTGAGCTTTTGAAGGAGGAAATTGAGCCGAAGCTGGAGAAGCTGCGCACAGAGAAGAGAGCATTCCTGGACTTTCAGCAGACCCAGAATGATCTGGAGCGCCTTACGCGCATCGTAGTAGCCTATGACTACCTCAAGTGCCAAGAGAAGCTAAAGCAGTCTGCGGCCGATCTCGAGTCAAAGAAGCAGCGCCAGCAGGTCTTGGAGGACTCCACATCGCGCATGAAGAGCGAGATTGCCCACCTGGAGGAGGATCTAAAAAGGGTGCGCGCCCAGCGTGACAAGGAGCTCAAGAAGGGTGGCAAGGCACAGGCTCTTGAACAGGCGGCCAAGAAACACTCAAGCGAGCTAGTACGCCTCGCCACCGTCATGGATTTGAAGAATTCGAGTTTGGTGGAAGAACAGGAGAAGAAGTCTGCCGTGGAGAAATCTGTAGCGGAGCTCAAGACTGCGCTGCAAGAAAAGAACGAGGCCTTTGAGCACGTCAAGGCCAGATACGACGAGGCCAAAAACGAGTTCGCAAAGCAGTCGAAAGAGGCCGATGCAAAGGAAGAATTGCTGCAGACGCTCCAGACGGGTGTTGCCTCAAAGGATGGCCAGGAGAATGGCTATCAGGGCCAGCTACAGGATGCCAGAAACCGTGCAACCGCTGCTGCGACAGAACAAGAGCAAGCCAAGATTAAAATTGCCCATTTGCAAGGCCGAATCAAGGAGGAGGAGCCACGAGCCAAGAAGGCCAAGGATCAAAATGCCGGGCTCCTCCGCGACCTCGACGTCTTGAAGTCGCATGCCCAAAAGCTCAAGGGGGAGCTAAGTCAGATTGGTTTTGAGCCTGGCCACGAGGAGGCCATGTACAAGCAGGAGTCTTCACTCCAGCAATCTATCAGGAACCTAAGGCAAGAGTCGGACAAGCTCAAGCGCCAGGTCGCTAACATCGACTTCAACTATGCCGACCCAACACCAAACTTTGATCGATCCAAGGTTAAGGGTCTAGTGGCCCAGCTCTTCACCCTCGATAAGGAGCACACCCGTGCAGGCACCGCACTGGAAATTTGTGCCGGTGGCCGCCTGTACAACGTTGTGGTCGACTCCGAGGTGACTGGCACGCAGCTTCTCCAGAAGGGCAAGCTGAGGAAGCGCGTGACAATCATACCCCTGAACAAGATTGCTACGTTCAAGGCTTCTGCTCAGGCCATCGCTACAGCCCAAAGCCTGGCACCAGGAAAGGTTGACCTTGCGTTAACCCTGGTCGGATATGATGAACAGGTTTCTGCCGCCATGGACTACGTCTTTGGAAACACTCTTATCTGCGCCGATGCCGAGACAGCCAAGCGCGTTACCTTTGACCCCAATGTGCGGATGCGCAGCATCACCCTCCAAGGAGATGCCTACGACCCGTCTGGAACGCTCTCTGGAGGCAGCGCTCCCAACTCGAGTGGCGTGCTGGTAACGCTTCAGAAGCTCAACAACTTAACCCGGCAGCTCGCCCAGGCCGAGGAGTCGCTGAAGAAGCTCCAGTTTGATATGGCCAGGGATAAGTCCAAGCTCGACAGGGCCCGCCAGATCAAGCAGGATCTTGACCTCAAGTCTCACGAGATTAGCCTTGCGGAAGGGCAGATCAACGGCAACTCTTCGTCGTCCATCATCCAGGAGGTTGAGACCATGAAGGTTACAGTCTCGGAGCTCCAGCAAAGCATCGCCGAGGCCAAGACGCGCCAGGCAGAGGCCAGCGCCGATGTGAAGAGGATCGAAAAGGATATGAAGGACTTCGACAACAATAAGGACGCCAAGCTGGTGGAGCTCCAGAAGTCGGTAGACAAGCTGCGGGCAGGTCTGGATAAGAACTCGTCGGCCATGAAGGCGCTTCAGAAGCAGCTCCAGAATGCACAGCTGGATCTCGAGCAGGTGGGAAGCGATCTCTCAGCAAGCCAGGAGCAGCTCCAGGAGGTGGAGGCTGGTATCAAGGGCCAGCAGCAAGACATTGAGGGGCTCGCCAAGCAACAGGCCGAGCTCACCGAGACGTCGCGGGAGGTGGAGGCGCAGCTGGACGACGAGCGGGCCAAGCTGCACTCGTATGATACCGAGCTCCGCGCGCTAGAGGATGCAACGTCATCCAAGAACTCGCGCATCACAGAGCAAAGCCTGGAGCTGCAAAAGCTGGGCCACCAGCTAGAGCGCTTCAACAAGGAGCAGCAGAGTGCCGCGGAGAACGTGACGCGCCTGGAGGCAGAACACGAGTGGATCGAGGATGAAAAGGACAAGTTTGGCCGGAGCGGAACGCCGTACGACTTCCAGGGCCAAAACATTGGCGAGTGCAAGTCGACGCTGCGCAACCTGACGGAGCGGTTCCAGGGCATGAAGAAGAAGATCAACCCCAAGGTGATGAACATGATTGACAGCGTAGAGAAGAAGGAGGTGTCCCTCAAGAATATGATCAAGACAGTCATCCGCGACAAGCGCAAGATTGAGGAGACCATCATCAGCCTCGACGACTACAAGAAGAAGGCCCTACGGGAGACGTGGGAGAAGGTGAACGGCGACTTTGGTCAGATCTTCTCGGAGCTCCTCCCCGGCGGCAGCTTTGCCAAGCTCGACCCCCCCGAGGGCAAGACTATCAGCGAAGGTCTCGAGGTCAAGGTGTGCCTCGGCAAGGTCTGGAAGCAGAGTCTCACCGAGCTCAGTGGCGGCCAGCGCTCCCTCGTCGCCCTGTCCCTCATCATGGCCCTGCTCCAGTTCAAGCCCGCGCCTATGTACATCCTGGACGAGGTCGATGCCGCCCTCGACCTGTCGCACACCCAGAACATTGGCCGCCTCATCAAGACGCGTTTCAAAGGTTCCCAGTTCATCGTCGTCAGCCTCAAGGATGGCATGTTCCAGAATGCCAACCGCATCTTCCGCACCCGCTTCAGCGAGGGTACCAGTCATGTCCAGGCTCTTACCCCCGCCGATATGAAATGAAACACTACTACTACCACTCCATCAACTCTACTAAACGGCTTAATACGAGGCAATGAATGGTTTTTATGAACTTATGTCTATTTTGTTTGTTTGTTTGTTTACTCTTGGGTCGGAGCGATGATTGGTTGTTCCAATTTCCTTTCTAACCTTTGTTCTTTACATATATATATATATATATATCAGGTTCCTTTCATCCGAGAACAATATACATGAGTTTTATGCTTTTTTATCATCCGTTGATTATTTGTCGATATGCAATCACTTTAGAGATATCAATGTAGGTAATCGCATTCGGAAAGTAATGTTGAATGTTAATAAAAGATATGTTCTAGGAAAGCAACAGCGCTATTGATGCCAGCAACTGGACACTTGTCCATGAGATATAGGGATGCCACGTGTCCTGCTCCTACGCCACATAATGTATGCCCTTCCATCCCAGGAAACCTGGGGCCATGATCCCCTAGAGCAGCTAGCACGATAACTCCTTCACTGGGGAATGTATAGGTGCGACCCTGTCTCCAAGACAGATATCTTCATGCCCACCTCCAGCACAGACTGCCGGCTGTTCTCGTCGGCAGCGTTGGCGAACAGCGGACAAAGCTGCATCCCCATGCACCCCCATCGGGGTGCGCCTTGGTCCACGTCTCGGAATCTTCGGAGGGAGCGGTCGGGTTCGAACTTGTGCCGGACTCCAGTTTCTTGATCAACGTTGAGCATCTTACATCTAGTATGGTAAGGAAAGGTCCATCAGTCCTTAATATTCGTGCGTGTGGTCTCCCTTTAGTTCAATTCAACTTGCCTGACGGTGCGACAGGAGACGTCAAACAGACTCTTCTCGTCGCCAGTGAAATCATGTGAGAAGCTGATCTTCCGCCAGGTTTCCTCGTCGTAGGCCTCAGCTCGAGAAACTGACGGGGCAAGAGGTTAGGATTGCACGCTAGAGGTCGGGAAAAGTAGCGCCTTGTGGTGTGCTTACTGATCATGTTGGATCGGAAACGGCGCACGTCCAAAGGATTCACCGTGTCATCCTTGAGCATCATTGACTCAAAATCCCACATGCTGTTGAGGCTCATGAGATGAAGAGGGTACTGCCAAGCAAGCTGTCAGCAAACCATCCATTAGTCGGTTCCGTCCCGAGGGGAGGGCTTTCTCACAGCATCGTGGAAGTCGATAACAGGCTGGTAGCCGGCAGTCTCCTTAGTAGGTGCACAGCGGAAAACCTCTCTTTGTCTCGATGGGTCCATACGGAATAGGCCTAGGGGTCGATCAGGCTGCATGCCTAGGTATGACTTGATCTCAAGAGGCACCTCGCTAGACAAGTTGAGTGCCAGCGTGGTCTCCTTCCAGATCCTGACGGTTTCGTACTCGTAGCCGTTGGTCTTTATGGTTTCTTCTGAGGGGAAGTTGACAGGCAACATGAACTTCTTCTTGGGGTGGGCACTGTAACCTCTGGTGAGCTTGGTGATGGCCCATTGGACCAGCCCGGTAAGTCCGGTGTGTGCCCATGGGAATTGGACGACGATGATACCACCCTTATCTTCCGCACCTTCGCCAATCTCAGCCCCGTTCCCCGTTACCCGTGGCACTGGAAGCCAAAGTTCCACCTCAACGTTGGCTAGGAGAGGAAGTTGTCTCTGGGTCAAGAACTCCCAAGTACGGGTCGATGGGTCTTGGCCTTCACCCGCCGTCTCTCGCTGCTGGGCAAATGTGTAAAGCCTGTCAAATTCCAGACCAGTAGGGAGTACACGGCTGCGGGTGAGTTCAATTCCTCGACATGACTTGAGCGGATAGATGAAGAGGCTCTGGAGCTCAGGGGGCTGCCCAGGACGAGGTTTGTGGGCCGTCCGATTCAGGTTGATGGCATTAGTCCTAGACTGCGATACACCAATCTTGCGATATCCATTGCCAGGTTCATCTGCCTCCTCGGGTCTGACGACTGTGACACGTGTAATTAAAAGAAAGAAGAAGAATGGTACAATGATGCCTGCCGTTAGGAGGACGGCCGCGGCACCTGCCGCAGAAGTGCTCATCTTATAGCTAGATGCCGCAACGTTGAAAAGCCGATCAAGGTAGACAGTATAGATGCGGATGTGTATGTTTGTGTCTAGGATTTATTGCCGGTAGAAAAAAAAAGGAGAGAAAAAGACGGGGTTATCTGCGTTCTAATTTTCATGGAAAGTAGGTAGTAATGGTAATAGTAGTACGTGAATTGTTTCAATATGGGTTGCACCTTCCTTGGTACTAAATGAGGATAGACTGGTCCTGAGTAACCTGAATGACGCAATATACTGAGGAAAAAAAACCGACCGCATCATCACTAACAGTAATTCACTGACGTTTTTTCCTCTCCAATCTCATTGCCTGTTCAAGATTGAATGCCATCGTCATGAAGGCCATTTGTAGGCATTTATCAAATCACGGTGCATACATAGGGTAAACCTGGTGAGGGAGAACATGAAGGATGTAGTCAAGTAACAGCCACGTGAACGTTATATTGTTTTGAGCACACAGAACTAGGAATGAATGCCTGAAAGCTAAGGCGCGTATGAGTACACTGATGGAGCGGAGAAGGTGGTGATGGCTTTTCTGGTAGTAGTAGTAATACGTAGTGTATAAACTAAACTGTCGACAGTAAAAAGAAGCGAAATGGGCATCAGTATAACAGCCCGTAGATGCTGAGGTCTTTGTGATGGCCCTGATGGCCCATAGGTGCATCGTCCCGACCACTGTGAAGACGTAGTGTGACAGGGTTTATATTGTTTGACGGGCAAGGATGAAAGACTTATTGGTAGTAATTATTGTAGTATTATTATTAGTCGTACACTGTCCCCTTTCTTGGGCTTTGGCTTTTTGGGCTTTGGGGTTGACTAATGTAACAAGCAACGCGGATCCTGGCCAATGCCCAGGTTCAAGCCGCTACATGTAACATGGGGTCAAAGTAACTAGCGGCCATGGCATCGCCCAACGACAGAGCCTCATTACCGCATAATGAAGCGCCGATGACCTAGGATTTCAATGGTTGACTGGGCTGGATGGGTTGTTGCTGTTGGTGCAAAGAAAGGAATTGCGATCATGCATGACACACAGATGTGCACTCTGTATTGATGCTAAGCCTGGCTGATACCAGACTATCAGTGCGGACAGTTATGGTGTTAACATTGGCTGCAATGTAGAGTGCTGTATATTACTGCGAGCATATATTACTGCAAGCTGCATGGATCATTGAGCGTACTAGAACGTGCATCTGGTTCCTCAGTGACCATGCCATGTTGTCCTAGTAGTATTGCCAACTAGGATCACTGCCTATATTGGCAGATACCAATAAAGGCGAGGAATGAATGGTACCAGCCATTGTCATCCCGTTGGTGGGATAACCGGATCCCTACTATTGGCATTTAAACAGCCGTAGTGAAGCATATAATTATTTTACTTGAGCTTTACTGCCCCAGTCCTGTTATGATATGTTATTACTACTACTACCAGTAATATACGTAATATCTAGTATTACTAATGGTCAGTAGTATTATGTCATGGATTCTCTAGTAGTGTGCCGCTCATCGTATACCACAGCTATTACTACTACCAACAGACTATGGAGAGCCACTCGCAACAATTACTGTGAATGGCAGCTGCTATAGGCAAGACGCTCCTATTGCAGCACATCTGGCGTCGGGATCCAGAACAATAATGGCAAGTAGTATCACAGCGTAAAAGCCAAAGGAGCTTCGTGCCAGTCAGGCAGGTACCAAGCTCGGCAGCACCTTCCCACCGTACTATTACAGCGTACAGTGGTGCGAGAGCGTATTTCTATACAGTAACATAGCGACCCCTCCAACACTCCCCTCCTCCACTTGCCATCCTCCCCCCTCGACAGCCTTCTCCCTTGGAAGCTTCTCCGCGCTTATGAGGTATCTGGGGATATCAGCAATGGCAAATAGCATTGAACAACCTGCTGATACTTGAAACATTCAATACTCTTCCGCCCTCTCCTCTTAGTCTCCCTGCGTCTCGTGAAACGGATTCTCTATCGCTCTTCAGCAGTCACCCCGCTTCCACCAATCGACACTCTCTCCGACTCTTCAATTCGGCCTTTCTCATGCTCGCCATCGTCACCGCCAAGCTTCAGACTCTTTTCAACGTCCATTGGCACTGGCCCGCCGACCGCCACATCTTACATTGTACATTCTTCGTAAATATTACTTTCGACGCCCTTAGTTGGCTGTCCCGACGCCGGTTCTTGCGCTATCCCTCCCCGCTCATTCTAGACCCAGGCTTCGTTTGCCCGACTGCCCTCTCTGGCTCTAGTCTAGATGGCAGGCCTACAGGCTATACTCTACCACCTTGCCTGGAAGAACTCATCAACTCACCTTCTCCTAGATGAGCCCATATCCCTACCACAGAGTCATATGACTTCCGCTTGCACCAATGTCAATTCACTCGACAGAGAAGTTGTGGGGGGCCTGTTAAAACGCAGGTGTCATCTGTGTAATGGGAGACCTGTCACAACTCTCTTCCGCATTTTAATCGATGAACTGTTGACTTTTCAGCAGGCAGGTAGGCAAGCACGTCTGTGGACCGGCCAACCAATGGGTCTCTGTGTGTCGTGCGTGAGACGAGTCTACTCATATGAGGTGCATAATACGAGTATTGCGTTGTATCTGTTTGTACCAGTGCGGGTACCTGTCCCTCGTTCATCTCTCCCCCAGACCACCCTCTTTCCGACCGAGTCACCGCTAGCTTGGCCTGGCAGTGGTACTGGGCAGAGGGGGGCACCCTTGTCGATCGCCCCGGGAACTGCCCTTGGTAATCGCAGCAATTTTTTGCTCAAGTGCTGTTGGCGGTTGTGGGTAACTTTTGCTTGTACGACCAGCGACGCTCCAAGCAGAAGAGAGAGAAATGCCACTGAGCGCGACAACCCGGACAACCCGCTGCCACACGTATTGGTGTTGCAGAAGGCTTGCAATTCTACTCTAGAATATCTGCGTTGCGCTACATGAAAGTCCATGTCCAATCAGTCCCCTTGAGACCTCTGGGCTTGACTTCAACTAAACCAAAGGTGCCGGTGACAGCAGCAACACCCACCCACCCGCTCTGTTGGCTACAATCTCCTCCGAATCGCCAAATACCACGCCACCAGGCAGCCGATTATTAGTAACCCTGACGTATCCTCCCGGCCGCCGTTTCAACCGTGTCGCTCGCCTGCCCTTGTGCCGTTGTCGCCGTTGGCGCATTCATACTTCCACGCGCTGTTGGATTGACTGTATCCTTCGCGACAGCAGTGTGTACTATCCGCCTGGGCCGCATTGTCCACGGTCGGACGGTGCCGTCGAATCGGCTGTAGGCACCTTACCGTCCAGATCTGGGTTGCTAAAGTGGTTGAAAGGACTGTCGATTACCTCAATTCGGCCACAGTGAAAATCCCCACGTCCTTCTGTCGAGCCCCGGGGTCTATTCATTCAAGCGGTGCCTACTTCTGGGGGCCCCGTGCGGATACGTCGCAGAGATCCCCATGCCGACTATTCGTGCGTGTTCCTCACGCCCTTGAGGACCTACCTTTCTGCGTACAGCGAACAGCATAGCCCTAGAAGCACTCGTCTGATCGGTTACGCTGCGCACCATGTCTGATCCCTACCAGCACTTCCTCTCTTCCATGTCCGCGGCGGGGCCGCAACAAGTCGTCAAATCCCAGGAAATGCGGCCACTAACTCCCCAGGGAGCCTACACACCTGCTGAAGGACCTTTGCTGGACGAGTTGAACCCCCAGCCTTCTGTCTACTTCCAAGATGCCAAGCCCGGCGACTCGAAAACAACAGCAAGCCGGAAAAAGCCAAGTCTGACCAACCCTGCCGTGGACGCTGTCAAACACCGGCGCACTCGTTCTGGTTGTTTCACGTGCAGAGGTCGGCGTGTCAAGGTATGTATCGTATCGTATCATTGCAACCTCGTCAATGCTGACGTCAAGAGCTGACCAACGCAGTGTGATGAGAAGAGGCCCGTGTGCGACCGTAGGCGCCCTCTCCCCCAAGACCGAAGAAGCCCTTCCCCATGGAGAAACACTGACGAAATCGACGAGGTAAACAGGATGCCAGAAGGGTAACCGAGACTGCGTATACCCCGACCCTCCAGCAAAAAAACCGATCACATCGCGCACATCAAGGCAGAAGGAATCAACTGTCAAGTGGGAAAAAACCAGCTCCTTGTCATCTGGCGGAGACTATGAAGAACAGCAGGATGAGCAACCTACGCAGGGATTATACGGTTCCTCCGAATCGAGATCTGATGCAAACGGAGGAAGCGCACCCAACGGTCGAGCCTCGACCTGTACAGTCACGCCAAGCAACCAAATTTCCACTCCCGGCATTGGGCCCCAGGCATTATCGCAAGATGACAATCGCTCTTCACCCTCAAGCTCGACAGGGACCTCAACTATATTCGCCACGGTCCCGTATGACCCACTGGAGTTTCCAACAGCAGCCGATGGAAAACCAGACTTCAGTCATCTCCCACCAGACTACCAAAGGCACCTGGCTTGGTACGATGAGAATGTGACATATCACCATTACGGTCTACCCCATGATCTAGAAGGCTTCTTCTCCATCATCCTTCCTAGGATGGCGCTGCAAAACGAAGCACTCCTCAACGCCGTGGTTGGATTCTCCGCATATCAAACGACAGTGCAAAATCCAAATGGGAAGCTCCAAGACTTCTTGACCTACTATAACAAGGCAGTTCAGATCCTCCTCGAGATTCTGAGGAAAAGGGAGAAGCATGGGGTCACTACCCTGGTGGCAATTCTTCAGATCGCCCAAATCGAGGTACAGTGCAAACAATGCCCCGGATGTGGCTAGTTGCAAATGATACTAATCGTGGGATCTATAGGAGTATCTAGGCGATTGGGTAAATATCATGGGCCATCAAAGAGCGGCTCATGAGATGTTTACGAGTTTATTTACCCCGGAGAACTCCATGGAGACACCGGTTGGGCGGATGTGTCTCAGCTGGTACGCTCGGTTCGATGCCTACATTTGCTTCAGGGCCTCGTTCCCCAGCGGCCTATGCGCCGAGTACTTTGAGGCCATGGGGGCCTATTATCGGAAGCAATTAAAGCTGTGGCCGGGTGATCTTGGTCTGCTGATAGCGGACAGAAATGCAAGTTTGCGCTGGATTTCGAGATCGCAGACAGTTCTCTACGCTCGGCGAAATCGTGGCCAGATCTCGCAGGAAGACTTCATCAAGGAACATGAGCGGCACACGCAACTTCTCCAACATAGCCGGGATAATTGGGACTCACGCCTCAGCGATCCGGCGTATCTCGTGACGGATTTCGAGGGCAGGCAACCCGACCCCGACGATATTGGAAACCCCTACGAACCAGGCATTGTATTCAAGCCGCCTTTGTTCACCACGACCTTGGCAGTCTCCGAGTGGCACGCAGTTATGATAATGCATCTGGTCTACATGCTGCCGATAAGACCACGGGAAACACTTGCGCAGATATCGGGACATGCCCAGGTTGTGTGCCGGTACTTTAGCGCGATGAAACGCTGGCCACATTGCCCAAAGGGATACCTGCTACAGCAGCATGCAGTCATGCAGGCGGCAGCTCCTTTCTTACCCAAAGATGAGAAGCACTCAATGTGGATTCGCAGGCAGTCGGCATTCTGCGAGAGCAAGGGGTAAGTCCGTTTCTCTTTTCCTCTTTCTCCTAACGATCCTCGGGTATTCATAGACGGAATATATGCTGACACTTGGTTTTTTTCTTTTGTGTGTGTGGGGGGGGACAGATTCATACGGCCTTATACACAGCGTGTAAAGATGGCCGGATTCCTCCGGGACCCGTCTTGCGTCAAGTGGTGGCTCCCGAACGAGGAAGGATTCACGCCGATTCTCCGACGTCTCCGCGAATTTTCCGAAGAGCGCAATGCCATCGCGCTGACGGCCCAGCAGGAGAGCGTCAAAGAAGTCCCCCACTTCTCTGATGAAGTGGCCAAGCTGTCACTTGAGGACTAGGCCCATTCAGAGGGAGTTAAAGAGAGAAGGAAAGAGATATCAAGAAATATACACATGTAAAAAAGAGAGGATATTGGCATTGGTATTGGCATCACCACCCTATCTGGGCGTTGCGGAGTTATAATGCCTATAGACAGGGCTGACGACGGTATGTAGCCATGTTGGATCTCTTTCCTATTAGGACATATACTACTACATATGCACACAGCATCTCTTGGTACCGCAGACGTGGTATCGTCAGATACAAACGACATGATGTTGATGATACAATACATGGGATGGCTTCACTGCAGCAGACCCGGTGTAATATATAGTTTCACTACTAATAATACGCATAATGTATGCTTCCATCTGGCCAACATTGCGGTATACAACGTTGCGCCCGAGAAGAAAAGAACAAAGAAGAAGCAAGAGGTGGAAAAAAAAAGCGCAACGAATGGTTCTGTCCCCAGTCATGTCCAGCCGTTAACCATCACTCTTATCCGTAGTCTCATCCGTAGCATCTGCCAATTTCGACGCAGACTCATCAGTATCGGCATCGAGCTTGACTGTCGTCGATGATTCGGGTAATGACACTGCGGTCGAGTCCTTGTCACCGTCTTTCTCATCCCCCTTTTCCTGGCTGGGTGTCTCTTTCGATTCTGGAAATGTTGATGCCGCAGCTTCTTCAGTCTCAGCCTTGCTGGAATCTTCTTCTTCTTCTTCCTCAGACTCCGAAGCAGCAACAACGGTCTCGGTCTCGGCATCGGTCTCGGCATCGCCATGTGCGTCGTTGACATTGTTATCCTCGGCAGGCGGGGAAGGAGCCTGAGTGGAAGACTCGGGGGCCAGGGCAGTCGTGGTGCTGCTACTGCTGTTGTTTTCGTTGCTGCTGTCCTCCTCCACCATCATGGGCACCTCTGCGACCTCGGGACCCCCTTCTTCCTCTTCTTCCTCTTCATTGGGTGCCGTGATGCGCAGCTCGCGGACGCGCTGGGTTACGCCGTCTGTCTCTTCCTCCTCTGCCTCTATGACAGTTGTGACGGCGCTGCCGGTGGATGGGCTGCTGCGGATGTGGCGCTTTGTGTTTGTGTTTGCTGCGGAGCGGGGATGCATGCTGTCGTTTTCGTCTTGACCCGCCGTGTCATTCTGCTGGCTGGGGGGCTTGAGAATGGTAGGTGTGGGACGGGAGCTGTAGGCGTCAGGCTGGGTCTGCTGCTGCCGCTGCTGCGGTTCCTCGATGCCCTCCGCCTCAGGAGGCAGTTTGTAGTTTTCAGCGGGGAGGAGCTCGTATAGGTCGCAGACCATCTTGAAGAAGACGTACAGGCCCGACTGGGACTCCACGGACCAAAAGACTTTGCGGTGCTGGAACCAGGCGTGGGCAAAGATGCGGTGGAGACGACGGAAGACGTTGACGAGGCTCTTGACGCTGGCGTTCTTACTGCTGGTGCCGGTAGTGCTGTGGGCTGCTGACGAAGAGTCGAGAGCGACAAAGCGGCTGGGGAAGAGCTTCTGATCCGTGACGACATTGGCGGCCCAGTCGAGCGTGTGGCAGCAGTAGTCTATGGCGCAGCAGCTCTTGGGCTGCTCGTGCACGGCACACAGAAACTGCCACTCGGACGCGCGCATCTCAGGACATGTGCTCGCGCTGCAAGGGGGGGCATCGAACAGGAAGCCAACGATGAGCGTGTTACACTGCGAGATGAGAAATCGGCACAGCTCATACAGCCACAGGGTGCGGTCGATGCCCGCGGGAGGGTGGGCCAGCTGCATGGCCGTGTCGCGGTCGATGGGCTTGGTGCCACGGTCCGTGTGGTGGTAGTGGAGAGCTGAGAGGTGCTCCTGTAGCTGGAAGGCGGAATCAAGCTGATTTTATTTCAATCAACTCTCTTCGTCAGTCTCTTTTCTTCTTATGCAACACGTGAGAGTTTTTGAGTGTTGGGCATGGAATACCTCGCTCAGAGGTACCAGTGGAGGCCCTGCTGCCATCTCGTATGCCTTGGTACCCGGGTGTATGCGCCTCCTGGAATTCGAATCGACCAGGTTCTGTTCCATCAGCGTAGTGTGAGGATGGACTGCTGGGCCGCCAGACGGAGAGTTGGGGGTTATCTGTATCTCGGCCGGAGGAGGGGGGCTCGGGAGCCGTGGCGAGCTTGGAGCGAGCGCCATGGTCTATTGCTCTGGGTCTTCGGGGGGGGGGGGGGTTATCTGCCCCTTCGTTGGTGATGCTTTGTTGTGGTGGAGGATTCCAGCTCCTACTAACATAACAATATTGTACGAGTAGTAATATCCGTCGCATGCGACGACAAACGCCTAAGAAAACGGCTACAGCTGCTCTGCGCTCAGCGACTAGGGTTGGTGGCGGTTACGGGTGGGTCGGTTAGATGCATAGAGCTGTTTATGTACATAATAGATGATGTACAGGTAGAGGGGCACTTTTGGTATGTAGTGGGCGGTTTACACTCCACACTTTAGACAAGGTGATTTGAAAAAGGGTATATTTGCGTTGCGCCTCAGTTTTTGAACGGATCTACATATCCAAGGGTATAAACTTTTTTTTGTTTTTTTTTTCTTTCCGAGTTTTACTGCAGTTTTCTTTACGTGCGTATGTATGCGCCTGTGTGAAGATCTTCAGGCACCACAACGTCATTCAGAATGGATCTCGACGATGATGATGATGCCCCGCCAGTGCTCGTCAACACAGCCGCCGCGGGGGAGAAAATCGAAGAAGTTACTATCAAGGTCCCCTTGACCATTGTCACAGGTACCGTCCATCTTTTGGCATGTCTGGCTGATATCTTGTGACTGACGGTACGGAACACAGGGTACCTGGGTGCTGGGAAGACGACTCTGCTCAACTACATTCTGACAGCTCAACATGGCAAGAAGATTGCCGTCATCATGAATGGTATGTTTTCCTCGGCGTGGGATTTTTATCATTGCTTATTGCATATACATAAATATGTGTGTGTGTATGTGTATATACAAATGACTAACGTAAGACTAAAGAATTTGGGGATTGTGAGCAAAATATCCTCTTATAGATATCATCTCTCTTATTCTCTAACACTCTGCAGCGCTCGATATAGAAAAGTCTCTCACAGTGAACAAGGGTGGCGAACAAGTCGAGGAATGGCTCGAGGTTGGCAACGGCTGCATTTGCTGCTCCGTCAAGTATGAGTTTCAACAGGAATAGCTAGACGCCCAACATTTGTCAAAACTAACAGACACATAGGGACACGGGCGTCAATGCCATTGAATCTCTCATGGAGAAGAAGGGAGCATTTGACTACATCCTTCTCGAGACGACGGGCCTTGCGGACCCTGGCAACCTCGCCCCGCTGTTCTGGGTGGACGATGGACTGGGGAGCTCCATTTACCTGGACGGCATCGTCACCTTGGTCGATGCCAAGAACATTCTACGAAGCCTCGAAGATCCCAAAGGTGAGGTGGAGAAGAAGGAGGATGACGAGCACGGGGAGCATGGCCATGACGAGGACGACCATGGGCCGCTGATGACGACTGCGCACGTACAAATCTCACATGCCGACGTTATTGTCATCAACAAGGCCGACCTGGTGAGCCAAGAGGAGCTGCGGAATGTGCGCTCAAGAATCGAGTCCATCAACGGACTCGCCAGGATTCACGTCACGGAGAGGAGTGCGGTGCCCCAACTCGAGGGTGTCCTGCTAGATCTGCATGCCTACGATGAGTTTAGTGAGGCTGAAGCTACGGTCAAGGGACACAGCCACCTTGACCCTGTGAGTTTTACTTTCGGGAGATAGAGAGGGAGAGACTGAGGGTGGCTGGAAAGGAGAAGCACCGCTGACCATGATCGCCAACGTAGGCCATCTCGACCGTGTCTATTCCGGTACCGCGGCTACGAACCGACCAACTAGAACAGGTTGACCGGTGGCTCCAGTCTGTGCTGTGGGAATCCAAGCTTCCTGAGGAAGATGTACCTTCTGGGTTTGAAATCCACCGCTCAAAGGGTCGTCTGGTTTTCGAGGACGGAAATATCAAGATGATGCAGGGTGTGCAGGATATTTTCGAGCTCATCGATGCGCCTGTAGGGAATGACGAGACTTCTGCTGCGACACAAGAGGGCAAAGTTATCCTGATTGGCAAGCATGTGGGCAGTGTAGATTTCCTAGGGAGCTTCAGCCGCGCAGTGAAATAGATGACACGCATATGAAGAGACGACCGTATACGGAGCAACAAAGGTATCATTAGTACCTGTAATAAAAAAAATCTGATGATGTAATAAATGGTAAAAGCTCGTCCTTTTACTGTTGATGATGATGGTGGGATGCAGCGCGAGTCATGACAGAACAAGGGCTGGAAGTAGAGTTCGACCGTTATCATTGGCCCACGGGACTTTGTCGGGGCGGGCGCATGTGTGTCCGTTCAGCAAGCCAGCAAGCAGGGATTCGTTTCCCCAGACGTCAAGGATGGTCGCAGTCTTTCTAGTCTGCACACTTTGAAGTCGATTTGGGTCAAAATAACCACCACGCACACATACGCACACACGCATGCCCCTATGGTGTTTGCCTCCATTTCGAACCCTTGAACGCAGACGACGACCCTGCAGCCGCCGACAAGCCAGCTTCTGCTCCCCGACATACGCGCTTCTCTCCCTTGCGACCCGACCAACGCCCCCCCTCCTCCGATCCCGAGAAAATACGTGCGATCGATCCTGCCCGAGGGCGCATCGCTAAAGCTTTGACCACCATGAATCGGCCAGGTAGGAATCTTGCACCTCCCCCTTCGCGTCTATATCATCTCAATGGGGCGTGAAACTGCACGTGCAATGGGTTTTCATGGCTCTCGGACACAGAACTTTCTGCAGTCGTCTGGCTGGTGTCTGGAACTGCTATGGCCCTGCTAGACGTGGATAAGCAGGCAGAGAAAGAAGGAAAAGAGAACAAAAGTTTCCTACTGGCTGAAATATATCGCGTCGCATACATCACAAGGGTGGCCTTGTTCATCGGCAGGGTGCTGTGATTGGATGTCGACCCTCTACCGGAGCTGCTGCTACAAGACAAAAGAGGACAGAGAACATGGTGAACCTTTTCACGGACACGTTGCTGACGAGGGGTGCGCGCGACATTCATCAGGTGCAGTGCCGCAAACGATACGAGGGATGCCCAGTGGATTTGGTGGCCAGCAACAGCAGCAGCAGCAGCCGCAACAATCCAATAGATCCGTCTCGGGTCGTCTACCAAACGGCAAGATGGGTAAGCACTGTCGGTGTCTGGAGGGAGACAAACATTCTGCGGAGAGGACGTGGGCGCACGGTGTGGACTGTCACGGAAAGCTGCCTGCCAACGACTGGAATTCACGCGCAACGATGGGAGGAAGCAGGGACAAGCAAGTACGAACGAATAAATGCTGACGGCTGCGCGCACTTGCGCGATTCGTATAGCAAACAACAACAGCCCTGGCTGGGCGTTCGGTGGCGGGGTACCCATGGGAGGAGGAGCCGGCATCCAAAATCCCAATCGTCAGATGGGAGGGAATGTGAGCTTTGCTCAGAGTCTGAGCGGCTTGCAACCGGGAGCACCCTTGGACCTCTCGTACGTGATACAAACACTTTTTCCTACTACTTATACTCATAAGCTCGTCACCACCTGCACAACCTCATTTTGTTTCGAAATCTCCCCCCTCCCCCACCTATCCCGTGTTCCTTCTCGCCTTGGCCTTGTCCCGCTCAGATTATCACCTCCAGGAACCAGAAAGTCTACAGGCTGTAGGCTATGGCAACTGGAGAAGCCCCTCGTGGCTGGGCAGCCGTCGTGAAGGGGTATTGCTATTACTTTTTTTTTCTGCATGGCCGTCGCCTCCCTTTCCTTCGTCACCGACCGTACCTGACTCTTCTGCAATACTGAACCGGGGTAGTCGCTAACACGTTTTCCGCCGCAGGGAATTCCCTTCACTCTCCAACACGCCGCAAATGGGTAATGCCAACCCAGCGTCAATGTGGTCATCCGGTTCCCGAAATATCAGTGTCCCTGTACAGCGCAACCAGTCGACGCCCCTGTCCTCGCAGGCTGGTCAAGAGGAGCTGTACAGCTCCCCTTCATCTCGCATGGCTACCGCTCAGCAGCAACAGCAGTCGTTTCGCTTCGGTAACCAGCAGCAGCCATCGTCGGCAACCTCCCAGCAGATGCAGCAGACCACAGCCGACGACTTCCCTCCCCTTAGTAGGACGGCGAATGGAGACGTCGGATTTGCGGCAGCTGCTCAGGGCAGCAGGGGAAACGGCCTCCTGAACGCACTCTCTGCTAACAGCCGATCGACCGAGACACGCACGCCCCCGGGCATCGTCCCAGGTAAGCAAAGCAAAGTCGAGGCCGGACAACCTCTACAAGCAAGCGGTGAACCGCTATTGACATACACCTCGACAGGCCCCACGAGAGCTCAAGGAGAGGACGGTGGTATTGGAAACTCTGGATCGCAAGGCGCTGCTGATCAAGCTCCATCCAGGCTTGGCGACGATGGCGACAAGGACTCACAGGCTCCTGAAGGCGTAGATCTCCTTGCCGGAATGCCGGAAAAAGACAAATGGAGTATCAAGGGACTGCGCACCCTGATGAACAACTATCCCGACTTCCACGCGATGAGCGTTGGACTGGATCCCACGACATTGGGTCTCGACGTCACGTCTCCCGAGTAAGTGCTATTTCTCTCTCACACTCTCTTCCACCTGCGAGGGAAAAGAAACTGACAACTGTGTTTTGCCGTACAGACTCCTGTCGACTCAGACCTTCTCGCTCTTCGATGACGCGCCTGCACGGCCAACGGTCAGCGGCAGCAGGTTCCGCTTACCCGACTGCTACAACGTGACCAACGTGCAGCCGATAGAGACCAAGATTCAAAGCTTCAACGAGGAGACTCTGTTCTGGATCTTCTACAGCTGTCCGTACGACATCAAGCAGCAAATGGCAGCCGTTGAGCTGCACTCGCGCAACTGGAGGTGGCACAAGAAGCTCCAGGTGTGGCTTACCAAGGACGAGCAGATGACTCCCCAGATTCTCAGCCCCGTACATGAGAGGGGTTACTACATCGTCTGGGACACCTCGAGTTGGCGAAAGGACCGAGTATGTCTTCTTTTGCCTCCCCTTCCTTGTTCCTCGACGTGATGCTAACTGAAGCGTGATGCAACAGCGCGAGTTCACGTTGTACTACAACGATCTAGATACATCGCTGAGCCAGCCGCCAGTAGTGGCGTAATTATGCTCCCTTTCTTTCTTGATTTGTTAAGGCCTTGGGGAGGAAAAGAGGGTGACGGTTATATATGCATACTATGCTGTGGTCGAACGGCGTTGGAACCCCGGAAGGTATCCAGGGAATTATCAGATCAGTTGCAACATGAAGTTTACATTTTCAAAAACCTCCCCAGACGCAATGGAGGGAATCTGGGTCCGGAGCTGACTGGACTAAACAACGGGTGTTCATCTTTTCGGCGCATGCGGTAGACTTTTGTTGCTAGCCTCTTTTTTCTTCTAACCGGATACACCCTTTCCAATGAGAGAAGTATAGCATAAACAAGAAGTCGGAACTTACTGTTGATTCCACACTACTAGTGGGCATTCCTAATGAGTAATATCATATACTACCAGCAGTTCTCACAATGGAATACTTGCCCTAAACATGGAACATGCCGAGTAATATGATAATATAGGTAGATGATGAATTGGAGAGTTGCTATATATAATACATCATACGACCAAGGTGGCTACTTTCCTCCCTTTGGCCGAGATTCAGCCGCAGCGGCGGCGACATCAACCTTTGGGTGTTGTCTCTTACTGTACGAGTATATGTATCCGCTAAGCCGCTGGCCGCTAGCCCACATGCGTGGCGGGTTCCAGCTCAACTGTATCATCTCGCCGGGGGAAACGGCCATTTTGAATCGCCAAACCTACGGTCCACCCAACCCTCTCTCTCTCTATTTGTCCTCTCCACCCCTCGCCATCAATACATTTGGTTGGGTACTTTCTCTCCTCCCCCCCCTCTGAAGACTGAACCTCTCTCTTCCTCTCCTACGTTTTTAAGATGAGGCGGCCTTGAAAGTTCACAGCAGATACGCCCCTCCCCCAAATAGTTAAACCCGCATACAGCAGTACTGTTCACCTGGGAGACCCGAAGATAGACAGCATTCCGATAGCTTGCTCCCGAAGATCGGAACCGACACTACCTCCATACGGACAAAACAACGACGACACGAGCGCATTACAGAAGACAAAGGAAAGAGAAAAGCGAAGAACGCAACAAGGGAACAGAAGACATGTCAGACGATCAGATTTCCTTGCCATACTTTTTGGCCATTCTGGTCGGTATAGGCCTGCTTGTGCGGTATCTATTCTTCGGCAGCAGCAGTCCATCATCGTCATCGTCGTCATCGAGACGTCCATCATCCGAATCAGTACTCAGAGCGAGAGAGGTGGCTGTCGAGCGTATACAGCAAATGTTCCCGCAGGCGGAGAGGAGGAGCATACTGTGGGATCTGCAGAGGAATGGGATGAATATCCAGAATACGATAGAGAGGATCCTAGCAGGACGATTGGAGACGGTATGAACCACCCCTTCTTGTTTCAATCTCCCGGGAGAATAAGACCAGAGAAGGAGAAGAAACAAGAAGGCCAGAGAGGAGCGAAGAGGAAAGAGAACATAAAAAGAAAGCTGACTTGGATATATATATGTACGAAATGCAGCCACCCATCACTTTCCAACCTCCTCTTCCCCCGGGTCACGCAACGACGTCGACGACAACCACGACCAGACAACAAGCCGATAGACCCGCCCAGCCGGACCTGATTACGCGGTACAACCTGAGCGGGAAGCTGGGGACGGCCGAGGTTGGATCGGGTGCGCACGGGGACGGTGGCGGTGATGACAAAAAGGGCAAAGGGTGGAGCACGAATCGGGATGAGAGGCAGGCTACCCTTCAGAGGAGAAGAGATGAGATGATTCTGGCGGCGAGGAGGAAGATGGAGGCTAGGATGAAGGCGGAGGGGAAGACTGCCTAGATCCGTACTATGAACATCATTGCAAGATATGTGCTAAGCGAAACCTCCCTCTCCACACTTGGGGGCGAGCACTACCCTTTTCATCATTTCTTTTTTTGATAGCGGACGGAAAGGAAGAGTAGTCTATCATCCATCAATTTGGCACATACCTTATTGCCAACTGAGATGCGGCTGTCTGTTGCTCCTCGCGTTCTTCTAGTTCTTGATCGTATTGCGATCTATCCCTAGACACAACAACTCTACCCATCGCTACGCCCATAACCATATCTGACATAATAGCCATATATTCGAACGCCCTGTCTATCGTGACTAGCCCTTGATCTGGCCCTCAAGGTCCTGCCATGATGGTATAAGGCCACGGGTAGTACCTCACGTGATATCGTTTCCTTGGGTTATCGATAAGAGCACCTCCATGTGCATAACAAAGGGGTAAATAGTAATTGTGTTACCAGGTATTAGCGTCCAGTTGAAATAGCATGTAATAATCTGTAGTATTGATTAGTATTATTGATACTCTGTACGGAGTATCACTCTCATTGATACATCCTCGTTCGGAGTACAAGATGCTGATCCTCCATGGCGGGGCTGTGCTGTGCATCCAGCTGGGGTTTCCTGGTCTAAGAAAGCTCCGAACATCAACGTTGAACGTGTCTCTACGGTAATACTGGGTACAGTAAGCCCTGGTTCCGGCAGCGTTCTTCTACTCGATTGATCAAAGAAGAGAGGGGAAAAAAAAAGAAACGATTCACATTTTTCTTTCTTTCTTCTTCTCCTTTTTTTTCTTTTTCTCTATATAAACATGGTGGATGCCGATTCGTGAGAGTATTCGCAGTATACGAGTAGAAACTTGGAAGCAAACGACAAAGACCCTGAAAGAAATGACCTACGGCCTTAAAAAAGAAATTAGTGGAGTTCATGTACAGGCCGCAGATGGTAGGGGGGGGGTGGGGGGGCAACTTTGGGGTCTTGGGCTTATTGAAGGGGCCTGAAAAGCCACAGGCTTGGTTGCTGGGCTGTGCTGCACCAAACATTGGGGTTACGTGCTCAAACACGCACATCACCAACATTGAACCTTACAGCGTCATCATCTTTCGTTCTTACCCCGTCAACACGAATAAAACTGCAGAGTAGACCGTTACACGGCTCCCTTTTGAAGACCGACCTCTTCGTCAAGGGCTGTTTCTTTTTCACCAGCCACATTTCGTCCCATGCCACCCTGGACTTGACGTCATCTTTGGTCACCTGGTACGTACTGATATGATGAGCATTACGATTCTTGTGGCTTAGTTTTTTGCATTGTATCCCACTCTCTCACCTTGGCCTCATTTACGGCCTGCCCTCTGCTTAGCCTCGTCCTATCTCACCTGACATCTTGTTGCTACTCTCAACTATCACATCACAAACATACACCGCCGAACCTGACGAATCTTTGTTTATCCTCGCTCCCCACCTCGAATTACATACTTTTCAATCTCTCGACGTTTACGACAGCAGCTCTCTTGTTGTCGAACCTGCTGAGTACTGACAGCCATTCCATTGTCAAGGTCAATCCGGTCAACTTTTCGGTTTTCTTCAACGATAACCATTGCCGGAACTGCATTCATAATCAGCCAGCGTATCCGTCGACTCGAGCCAACGACTCTGGGACAAACCCTCATACCTCGCGTCGACCTCCTTTCCCTTTTCGCGACAGGCCCTCCATGATATGACAATCGACGCACAAACCCTTGGACATATCACCGTTCAATCCTGACGACTACTTCAGAACGTACGTCCTGTACTAGGCTGCCATGGTGTCCTCGCGGGATTACTATGCAGACCTTGAGCTGCCTCCGACTGCGGAGATTCAAGACATTAGGAAGCAGTATCGCAAACTGGGTACGGACCCTCTTCACGGGAAGCCAGGACTGAACATGGCTGACCTCTGATTCAGCATTGAAATACCATCCGGACCGGAACCCCGGGCGCGAGCATGAAGCCAACGCGCAGTTTCTCGTCATCCAAAAGGCCCACGATGTCCTCACGGACCCCCAACAAAAGGCAGCGTTTGACGCCACTCGAGGCCGCGCAACGGCCAAGAGTCGATACCCCACTGCCTCGGGCGTGAGAGGAAACCCCTGGGCAGATGTTGCCCAGCAATTCCCCACGCCGCCCCGTCGCAACCAGTCCACGCGCACCCCAGGCTCTAGTGCGGCCTCGGGTGCTGAGAGATGGAACACGCGCTTCTCAGCTGGCGTGCCACCTACGGCGAGGCAAAATGCACCGACGAGCTCGGAGACTAGGAAGAACGCGGCCCAAACCTTTGCCAACATGCGGCCGAAACCCCAGGCCAAGGCTGATGCTGGCTCGTCGCGCCCGGTACCGCCAGGTCCCCCTCCACCGACGCCTCCTCGCACCGAATCGGCAAAGCAGCGGCAGCAAGCCTTCTTTGGCGTGCGGCGAACTGGCTGCCAGACTCGCACCACGGCGAACGGTGACGAGCCGCCTGCGGCTAGCAACAACTACTCCAGACGCACCGAGACGCAGAATCCACCGCCTCCACCACCCAGACCGACCCCGCAACCGAGCACCGCGTCGTACAGGATGCCCGATCCATTGAGCGGATTCAGAGAGAAGACGTCATCTGAAAGGCAGAGCTCGCCCTACGCTTCACACCCCGGGGAGAGGACCGACCCCTTCGATTCTAGCGCATCTCCGGAGAAACAGGCTCGCCAGCAACAGACGCAGCAAGATACCCCGCCAACACCCACCGGCCGTCCCAAGGCTGCGTGCAGGCCACGAAGCAAGGCGTCGGAATCCGCCAGCGACGGAGATCCGAAAGACGGCATGTTCTCGGCCGGGACCAACCCTCGGGCTGATAGCCAACATTTTCCCATGTATGAGCCACTCTATAACCACTACGGTTCTCTCTCATCGAAGAAACATATGCACCATAGCTCTCTGGAGAACCACCAAGTGGGGGTTGTCCAGGAGACAACCGGTAGTCATGGTGGGGTCCACCTCGGCCGATCGGCGGACCAGTTGCACCAGCTAGCGATTCCAAGTGGAGCCCGCGAGCCGCCCCGGCATCTGTCCGCTTTCGACCGGGAGCAGCATATTCTGCTAGATCGGCTCATTGCAAACGCTGAGAACCCGACCGAAGGACCAGAGAGACGCCCACTATCTCCGGGTCCAAGCGTAAATTCTGGGAGCAAAGCTAACAACCGCCCCTACAGCTTTAACATTGCCACCGATGGCGGCTTCACAACGCCAAAGCCCACCACTAGTTTGCCCGGGGGCAGCACCGAAAAAATCAACACCAGCTTTGTTGCAGGTGAAGACCGCAACACCTGGACCTTTAGCGCGGGCACCCCAATCAAGGACTCGCCCCCCGAGTCAGCCTGGCAACAGAAGACACAAGAGCAGCAGCAGCAGTCTCCAGATATCCCGCCCAAGGTTCCAGAAGCAGAGACGACCAATGGCTACACGAAGCCTGCCCAAGGGGAAGGTGGCTTCAACGCGGAAGGATGGAGCGATCAATTTGGGCCGGAGACGTTCGTGCCCCCATCAAGGACGAATTCAATGGCCTCGCCTGAAAAGGCAAACGCAAATCGGAAGACCCCTAGGAGGACAAAGTCTACGAAATCGACGACGGGAGATGATGAACATAGTGCTATTCTCATCGAAGGCAGCAGCGACGGAGAGGACGAAGAAGAGGGAGTATTTACATGGCGGGGACGGAGATCTCAGGGCAAAGCCCATGCCACCACGGGAAGCCCTCAGGCTATGGACATTGACCCTCCAGCAGCCGAGCCCCTCACACCGTCTCCTGAGCGACACGTTCCCCGCAACATACCGGTCGAGCCATCACGGCCTGAGTGGCGATCGGGCGATTTCGGCGGCAGCAGCAGCGACAGCGCTAAGCCACCTACTCCCGAGGCGGTACAGCTGCCGCAGCCGCCGCAACCGCAGCCGGCCCGTGTCGGAGGCTCTGAAGATTCTGAAGAGTTCAAGGCGAGCTTTGCTGAACTGCGAAATGTGGCGCCCTTTGCACCTAGCGATACGGGCCTACGATCGCTCAGCGACCTCAGGGACAGCCTGCCGTTCGAGAGCAAGCCGTCCAACGAGATACCCCTCGAAATGGCGGAGGTGACGGCAGCCAATGTGGCGCCACAGCCCCTCCTATTCCCGAACCCCCCGGCGGCGCCCCGGCCGCCGACGACAATGGGCGTGGCTTCGATGAAGACCAATCTGCCCACGTGGGAGAAGTACGTGCGCGAGTTTGAGGAGTACGAGCGTCTCTGGGACCAGTTCAACTGGCGAGTGACGGACCATTTCGCCACGCGCAAGGACAATATGACGTTGCTGCGGAGGGAAAAGGGGTACATGTTCCTCGGCGCTCGCGGAGACGCGGATTTCATGGCGTACATCAAGACGGTGCAGCAGGACAAGGAAGTCAGGAAGCGGTGGGATGCTGCGTGTGACGAGCACGAGAAGAGGCTGCAGGAGTTTATGGCGTTTAGAGAGCAGATGAAGGCATGATTGGGGATACAAGACGACATCGAAAGCGAAGACGAACAAGCAAGAAGGGGAAGGCAGTGTGTATAATTGAAGACGGGCATGTTTTATGGACAGACACGTGGACCTTGATTCAACGGGTTGACATTAGTATTGACATTGGTATTGGTACTGCTTGCTTCTTTGATAACGAGATATACAGTAAAGAGACTTAAGGAGAAGAAGAACAGAAGACAAAAAACAGAGGAAAGAAAAAAAAAAGGGGGGGGGGGAGAAATAAGAAGAAGAAAAGCACATGCAAGATGGAAATCCTCAGGCTTTAGGAGGGATGTTGCTTTGCTGTATGTATATAAGCGATGAGAAGATGAGGAGAGATATAGGGGAGATATGGCTATCAGGATGGAAGTGAATGAGCGAGGTAAAGTCGGATCAATATTCTCTGAACATGATAAAGTGRCTGCGTTTTTATTCAATGCCCCGTCCTTAACCCCCCCCCCCCCCCTTCTCCCCTTTTTTTTGGGTTGATATTGTTGATATTTTTGAGCTCGCACTGGGCTTTCCCCCTCTCTTTCATTCTCTCACCTGCTTCTCACTCACCCTCTTCTTCCCTCTTCTCTTCTTGTTACCCATCCTCTTCCCCTTTCCTGCTTTACTTCTCTCCCCACGCCCCTCTCTTCCACTTCTCTTCTCTCCTTGACTATTCTTTTGTCTATCCAACTTCGTCTCTTCTTTTATCCCGAGAGCCTCGTCATATCATCACCTGCTCCCCATCCTGACTGCTCGCCAAAACAATCAACGTCATCACGATGTCTGACAACGAGGCTGGAAACGAGGGACGATCCGGTGCCTGGACTGAGGCAGCCAAGGCATGTCACCATCACTCTCAACGGCTCTTTTTCTCTCCTTCTTTTCCCCTCGTCTTCTTTTCTTCTTCTCTCGTCTTCATTCACGACTATTGTAGGATGGGAATATGAAGGAATAAGAAACACAAACACCCAACATTGACACTGACACACACGCACACACACACAGCTCCAGTTCCTCCTACGTATCGTCGGTCAGTTTCGCGAAGATGGCAGGTCCATCCAATGGGACCGCCTCAACATGCCTGGGAGGACGACAAAGTCCCTGCAGAACATGTGGACCAAGATCAACAAGGAAATTTCTGCTCTCGAGGCAGAGGGTGGTGTCACTACGCCCAAGAAGGCTACACGTTTGTCTTCTCTTCTTCTCTCTCCTTCCAACCCCCTCTTTTCTGCCATGCATTCTTTTTGTTTCATGATTTTCCTCGAGAACCAAAGTCCTTTAAAAAACGGTGCAAGATCTGACAGCCTAAAGCACAGCCCGTAAGCCTCGTGCTAAAAAAGTTACTGCTCCCGCTGCAGATGGCGACGACGACGACAGCTATGTCACTCCCAAGAAGCGTAGCGGCGAAGATGGCGAGTCTTTATTTTTTTTTCTCTCCACTCTTTCTCTTTGCCTGATCAATCGTTTATTAACGTCCCTGCTCATTGCACAGCGGAAACCATATTTTGCAGCGGGAAGAAGAAGATGAAGACGGAGGACTTCAAGGACGAAGACATGCTCTAGACGGTACGGATACTGCAATGATACCCGGTTTATCCATGGTCTGAGAAAATGAGTTCGATTGAAGTACGATCTACGAGAGGAGCTTCATCGACGGCTTCAAGTTCTCTTCTCGCTCGTTTTTTTCCCCAGTCTTTCATAATGGTATCCCGTGCTGGCTAGGCTAGGATACATGATACGCACCGGGAGACAAAGTATGAACAGTCGATACTAGGAAATATTAGTCCAAGCTGGGTGGCAGGAGATTTTGGACTGAAATACTGTTATCTTTTGCTAGGAATTACATAGCTGATCAAGGGAATAGAAAACCAAAAGATAAGAAGGTAAAACACACACACATATATATATACAGCGAGAGAGAGAGAGTGTGTGTGTGAGAGAGAAATCTTGACTTTAGCATCATCTATCATACCAATTATGATGATGACTCATGAGACATGCCAACTCGGCAATAACATGGGAATAATGGACAGCATAACACGCACCAAACATGCCACGCCGGAGCCGGGGCTTTCCCATGTCGCGCCATTGTCAATTGATTCTTCCCCTTCACCCTTCCGAATCGCATTCTCAACACATACGCATTTCCCGTTCTACAATGCGGTAAGACAAGAGTTCCTCAGACCTCAATTGACGGAGGGTATAATTTTCCCATCTTGAGATATTCATCCTTTTCTTCCAGATCCTTGACTACCCCCCCCAAATCAGAATGCGCACGTCAGAGGAGGAAACTTCGCCGCTGCTGGTGAGATCCCAGTCTGGCTCCGATTCCGGACCCGGGGAGGAGCAGCATGTCCGGCAGCAGGAAGGACAAGAACAACAAGACGGAGGAGAACGAGAGGATTGGTCAATTGAGAAAAAGGCAAGACGGCTATACGTCTCACACTTCCTGTCGACGAGCAACTCGCGCGTATTCGAGTTCGGCAGCGTACTGTACCTCGCTGCCGTCTTCCCCAACACGCTTCTCCCGCTGTCGCTGTATGCCGTCGCCCGGGGGCTGGCGGCCATGTTCCTGTCGTCGACCGTGGGACGTTACATCGATACGGGGCATCGGCTTGCCGTCGTTCGGCTGTCAATTGGTTCGGGCTTCCCCAATCTTCTCTTTTGATCGTCCCTGCTCGCTACCCTCCCCCCCGGCAACGTTCCTTGACGCGATCGATCATCTAACCGTCTTGGCCTTGCCGGTCACGCAGTGCTCCAGCGTGTTGCCGTCGCGGCTTCGTGCCTAATCTTCCTCGTGCTCGTGTGCGGTGCTGTGACTTCGGACCTGGCGCGGAGCTGGTCCTTTGTCGGGCTCGTGCTCCTCTCCTGTGTTGAGAAGCTGGGCTCCATCATGAGTCTCGTGTCGGTGGAGAGGGACTGGGTATGTCATTCTTCTCCCCCTAGTCCCACCCCAAACATATAGCTGTTGCACAACGTGAACTTACAGAAAGGGCCCAAGATTGTCACCATCGCCGAGGGCCACCGCGAAGCTCTTCCCGGTAAGTGTCCATGCTGGATGTTTTGTTACCTTCTTACATCTATGATATATCTCCGATGATCTCTGACCTGAAGTCATCAGTCATGAACGCCCAGATGAGACGGATCGACCTCGTGTGTAAGCTCGTGGGCCCGTTCGCCATCGGCATCATTGACGGCTTCTCCACCGAGCTTGCCGTTGCCATCAACCTCGGCATGAATCTGCTCTCCATACCGGTAGAATACATCTTCATTGCCCAGGTTCGTCTTCTTCTTCTTCTTCTTCTTCTTCTAGCTCTTCCTCTTCCTCTTCCTCTTCCTCTTCCTCAACCTCCTCTCCTGATACCGGGAAACATGTTTCTGATGATTGAGGGGGGGGGGGGGGTATAGGTATATCGTCGAGAACCCCGACTGCAACGACGTGCAACGCAGGGCCGAGGGGATGGTCCGCACCCTCCTGCTCACGCACGGGGACCCGAGGAAGAGCAGCAGACCGACACAGGGCAGTGGCTCGTAACGGCCGGCTCCGAGCTGGTCCGCAATACGCGTCTCTACTTCCACCACCCCGCCTTCCTCCCATCCTTCTCAGGAGCCATCATGTACTTCACCGTCCTGTCATTCAGCGGCCGCATGGTGACTTACCTCATGGCCGAGGGCTACACCTCAACGCAGGTGTCGGTCGCCCGCACGCTGTCGGTGTGCGTCGAGGTCATGGCCACCTGGCTGGGGCCGTGGCTCATGGGGCGCATCGGCCCCGTGAGGGCCGGCCTGTGGTTCTCGAGCTGGCTGGCCGTCAGCCTTGCCGTGGCCGTCTCCCTCTTCTTGCTACTCGACGAATACGACGGTGGAGGCGGTGATGCGTTGCCGCCGTCATCCCTGGCTCTCGTGGTCGGAGCCATTCTTAGTCGGCCGGGATTGTGGGGGTTTGATCTATGTTCGCAGCTGCTCATACAAGATGTGAGTACACTGACCTCCTCTGTATTCGTGATTTCCTCTCCCTTCCTCCCTCCCTCTCTCTTTCTTCTTTTCCTTCCTTCCTCTTCTCTTTCTTCCTCTTGAATTTTTGTTTCTGTTCTCTTATTATCTTATTGCTTTAAAATTTTTCTTTCCTAAATATATATATATATTGACAACCAGTGGTCCAAAGGCTGTCGAGGAGTCGGATAGGGGAGCCTTCTCGATGACGGAAGCAGGCTGGCAAAACACCTTTGAGCTCATGTCCCACGTGTCCACCATGATCTGGTCCGACCCTGAGCAATTCGGCATCCCGGCCACGGCCAGTGCTGCGGCCATCATCGGAGCCTGGATCCTGTATAGCAGGTTCGTTCTGCAGCAGCGTGGACACCTGCTCCACCGGCCCGCATGCATATCTGGATCGGAGAAGTGGTGGCGACGGAGACACCAGCATGAGCAGGAGGGGGTAGTCAGACCCATCCTGCCATAATGTGATGTCGGGACTTTCTCTTATCGATTTCTATATTTCTCTCTTCCCCGATCAACGGAGATCCATTTGTCTGCTGCACTGCCGGTACAAGTTTACTAGTGATCCAATGCGCTTTCTTCTTGGTGGCAGTAAAATGTGCTCGACCCATCCGACTACTGGAGGGGATCGTGACTTGCATGTCTCACATCGGGTGCGGGCCGCAAAGTGGAAATGACGAAAGGAGAGGTGGTGGGATGTAACCAAGTCACTGTCACGAGAAGGTTGAAGACGAGACGCATTACAAGACAAAGCATGATACGGAGTGATACGGGATGCAGTATCGGACCAACCGCCATCCTCACCGTGAGGAGCAACACCTGGCCAAGGGGGTGTGTGTGGATAGTAGGGAAGCCTCGGTTCACGATATGATACAAGCAAGAGAGAGAGATCAACAGTGATATCCGACTGCGCCGGGTTTATCCCGCCTCCTCTCCTCCTGTTTGAAGTCTCGGTAATATACTTTACATGAACCATTATTGCGACATGGAGATCATGAGAGCGCGTGACAGCTCGAGGTGGTGGTGGTGGTGGTGTGGGAAGATGGGGGATGGGGGGGGGGGCAAGGCAAGCAGAGTGAGACATTGACAATGTGTGTGTGTATAAGCGGGCTGAGAGATGCTCATGTGCCCTGGTCAGCGGTCAATTATATTCAACGAATAGGACGACAGCGGGACGTATCCACCGTCACTAAGCAAGCAAGCTCAGCTTCGGTCTTGACAGCTTGTACGCGTAGATAGATGCGTAGGTATTCGTAGTCCTATTCTTCTCCTTGCCTGTCATGTTTATACTCGCAATGACATGTGGCCTGAAGAGAGAAGAGAAGGAGGGGGGGGAGGCACAAGCCAGGAGAAGATGCAAGTACAAGTGTGCAAGACAAGAGTTGTTTGGATCCAACACAGCTTGGTGCGACTTGTGAATGGTATAAAAGAAAAAAAGAAAAGATTATTACAGCCAACAGTTGTCGTCTTTGCTCCCTTTCCCTTTTATTCTTCTCCTTCGTCCAGTTTCGGATGGGTTCGACAAGGGACTGCTGTATCTAGCTCATCGGATCTGTTTAGTGTGTAACTCATGGCGATGGAGAAGGAGCAGTAAAAAAGCACTGGCCTTGGTGGTTTCGTTTCTCTCTGACGGGGGGGGGTGGGGGGATGCGGGAAGAATACGCCAGATTACATAAGCTTGGAGCCGCCCCCTCCTCCCCTCCCCCCCCCTGAAGACGCCAGTCAAGGCACAATGACGCCTCTATGGAAGCCTCAAATGGAGCCTTGCTACCTCTATAATGGGCCTGCAGGGGCCTTGCAGGTGGACTCTCCCTTAGGCTCTAGCCTCCGACTTCAAAGTAATGTACCCACAGGTACAGGCTACCTGCGTGGAGCATCTATAGCGAATATTTCCCACTAGAAGAGGCAGGCCCCTCTAGGCTTTGGCACGCCGCCGCACTATATACATACGAGTACTACGATATGTATCGAGTACGTGACGGCAACAGCTTGATGGATGGTAATCCGTATGTCTTATGATCCACACTTCTACAGATCACAGACTACCGTAGGCACTTTAGAGAGAAGGGGAAAAAAAACCGATTTGAACTTTTTTCCCCAGACCTACAACGTCCAGTCTTCAAACCTGTTACTTGTCACTTCCCTTCATTCTTCACCGTGTAATACGCTCGCCTCCCCTTCTTTTATAATTCCCCTTTTATTCTTCTCTATTCTTGTCTTCTTCTCTGTTATTTTTACTTCATCCTTCAAAGTTACAAGATCACCCTCAAACTCCTGGACTTGGGAGGGGGGCACGCACATTACATACACGCTCGTTGATTCCCTCCTCGTCCTTCACTGCGCACGGCAACGTCCTGCTTCGAGGCCCTCGCTACAGTGACTGACCACCGAAGAGGCAGCCCGACCTGCAGCCTGTCCGACGCACCAGCTCTCCTCCCTCCCGCCATCAGGTGCCTTGACTCTTACTCCTGTCCACATACCGGTGGCTTCATTACGAACTTCCTTATATAATCACCTACCATGAACGGCGCAGTAGCCGCCACGAGACGTACCAAGAGGAAGGCGTCGCCAGATGACCAGCGCGGTCCGGCACCGAAACGCCCAGTCAATGGGAAGCAGCATTCCGGAGACGATGTGGAGTTCGCCGATGTCGAGTACGAGTACGACGAGCCATCTGGTCTGAGCGACGACCTTCATACCAACCCCATCGCCTTCGCCGCCACGCCGGTCAGCCAGGGTGAATGGAGGGAGACCATCACAAAGGTCGTCCGCAATGTAGTCGCCATTCGCTTCTGCCAGACCTGCTCCTTCGACACCGAGCCCGCCCTGACGAGCGAGGCTACGGGATTCGTCGTCGATGCCGAGAGGGGGTATGTTTCGTCCACACATCTTCTTGGGTCGCCGCCGCCGCCGCCCCTGGAGGAGGACAACAAGGTGGCCCGCAGCGATGCCATGGACGGAATGGACATAGATGACTGACGTATACGCGATTTCCCCGTTTACTAGGTACATCATGACGAATCGCCACGTCGTCGGCGCCGGTCCCTTCTGGGGTCATCTCTTGTTCGATAACCACGAAGAGGTCGATTGCTACGCCGTCTACCGCGACCCCGTCCACGATTTCGGTATCCTGAGATACGACCCCAAGGCCATCAAGTACATGACCGTTGATGGCCTGGACCTCAGGCCTGACCTCGCACAAGGTAGGTGGCCCCCCCCAAACTGGCCGACACGACGCCACGCTACATACATACATGCTACGCATTGTACTGACCCACCTCGTGCTCCATAGTCGGTGCCGAGATTCGCGTTGTCGGTAACGACGCCGGAGAGAAGCTGAGCATCCTCTCGGGTATCATCAGCCGACTCGACCGCAACGCCCCCGAGTACGGCGAAGGGTACAGCGATTTCAACACGTGCTACTACCAGGCCAACGCCTCGGCCAGCGGCGGTAGCAGCGGCAGTCCCGTCGTCAGCAGCGATGGCTCAGCCGTCGCCCTCCAGGCCGGTGGTCGCTCGGACGGAGCCTCGACCGACTACTTCCTACCCCTCGATCGCCCTCTTCGCGCGCTCAGGTGCATCCAGGAGGGCAAGCCCGTCACGCGAGGTGACATCCAGTGCCAGTTCCTCCTCAAGCCCTTTGATGAGTGCCGCAGGTTGGGTCTCACCCCGGCCTGGGAGGAAGCCGTGCGCAAGGAGTTCCCCAAGGAGACCAACATGCTCGTCGCCGAGATCATCCTCCCCTCAGGCCCGTCGCACACCAAGATTGAGGAGGGCGACATCCTGATCCGGGTCAACGGACAGCTCATCACCCAGTTCCTTCGTCTCGACGACGTACTCGACTCCAACGTCGGCAACACCATAAGCCTCCTCCTGCAGCGCGGCGGCCAGGATGTCGAGGTCGAGATCGAGGTCGGCGACCTCCACGCCATCACCCCCGACCGCTTCGTCACCGTCGCCGGCGGAAGCTTCCACAACCTGTCGTACCAGCAGGCGCGTCTCTACGGCGTTGCCGTCCAGGGCGTCTTCCTCTGCGAAGGTGCCGGGTCCTTCAGGTTCAAGAACCACGACCACGGATGGATCATCCAGACCATCGACCACAAGCCGGTGCCCAACCTCGACGCCTTTATCGAGGTGATGAGGGCCATCCCCGACAAGGCCCGCGTGGTGGTGACGTCCAAGCACCTGCGCGATCTGCACACCCTGAACACCACCGTCATCTACATCGACCGCCACTGGACCTCCAAGATGAAGCTGGCCGTCCGCAACGACGTGACGGGTCTCTGGGACTTTAGCGACCTGGGCGACGCGCTACCGCCCGTACCGCCCGCGCGCAGGTCGGCCTCATTCATCGAGCTGGACCACGCGCCCTCGCCCGGCATCGCCGACCTGGTCCACAGCTTTGTTCACATCGACTGTTCGATGCCGCTCAAGCTGGACGCGTTCCCCAAGAGCCGCCGGGCAGGCATGGGCCTCGTCATCGACGCCGACAAGGGCCTCGTGCTCGTGTCGCGGGCCATTGTGCCGTATGACCTGTGCGACATCACCGTCACCATTGCCGACTCGGTCATCATCGAGGGCAGGGTCGTGTTCCTGCATCCGCTGCAGAACTACACGATTGTGCAGTACGACCCGTCCCTGGTCGATGCCGACGTCAAGACCCCTCGACTGAGTGACAGCCACCTCAAGCAGGGTGCCAAGACGCACTTCCTCGGCCACAACAGGGTCGGTCAGGTGGTGCACGGATCGGCGACGGTGACGGAGATAACGGCCGTGGCGATCCCGGCCAACTCGGGTGCCCCGCGCTACCGAGCCATCAACGTCGATGCCATCACCATCGACAGCAACCTCGGCGCCACGTGCAACAGCGGCGTGCTGACCGCCGAGGATGGTACCGTGCAGGCCTTGTGGCTGTCGTACCTGGGAGAGCGTTCCCCCTGCAGCCAGCGCGACGAGGAGTACTACCTGGGCGTCGGCACACCCACCCTGCTCCCGGTGCTGTCGGCCATCCAGAGGGGCGAGAAGCCCTCCCTGCGCATCCTGTCAGTCGAGCTGCGGTCCGTGGCCATGTCCCAGGCCACAGTCATGGGCGTGTCGGACGAGTGGATCCGCAAGGTGACCGAGGCCAACCCGTCGCACCACCAGCTCTTCATGGTCAGCAAGCGCACGTTTGAGCGCGTCAACCATCCCGTGTCCCTGATGGAGGGCGACATCGTCCTGACGCTCAACGGCAAGGTGTGCACCACCATCTCCGACTTCGACGTCATGTACACGCACGAGCTGCTCGACGCCGTCATCGTGCGCAAGTGCCAAGAGCTGCACCTCCAGCTGCCCACCGTCTCGACGGACGATATAGAGACGGATCACGCCGTTTCGCTGTGCGGCGCCATCTTCCATCGCCCCCACCAGGCCGTCCGCCAGCAGATCAGCAAGCTCCACAGCGAGGTGTACGTCTCTTCCTGCTTCCGCGGCTCGCCCGCATACCTCTATGGCGTCACGTCGACGAATTTCATCACGGCCGTGAATGGTGTCGATACGCCTGATATGGTCTCGTTCGTTCGTGAGACGAGAAAGATTCCGGATAACACTTGTATGTTCTCTCTTCCTCCTCATCCCCTTTCTCAAAAGATTGATTACTGACTCTGCCCTTTTTATTATCAGACTTCCGCATGAAGGCCGTAACATTCGACTCAGTACCCTGGATGATTACCATGAAGAAGAATGACCACTACTTCCCCACCGTCGAGTGGATCAAGGATACGGAGCAGTCGGGCAGGTGGAGGAGAATCACGTACGAGGGCAAAGAAGTGTTTGATGGTGAGGCAACGGACGGGGTGCCTGTTGCGCCTGCGGCGGATGATGCAGAATCGGCAGAATAGAATTTTTTTTTTCTCTAGTGCATATTTTTGATGCTGTTTAATTCTTTGGCTCCGAATGCCATTCACATAAAATAGAATCATTTGCGACGACCATGAAAGGGAAGGTTTCGCCTTTCTAAGATGATGGGAATGTCGACTATTGCTGACAAGGACGCCTGCCTCTAAGATGACGTACATGTAGTGGGGCTACCAAGCAGGAGTCGGTTTTACGGTGGCACCTTGGAGAGAGCCTAGAAAAGCTGCAATTATCCGGATTTTTTTAGTTTTTTCAAGAGTCTAGATTTTCATACATGCGTATAAAAGCGCAACAAGGTACGTACTAATATCGGTTGTATTGAGTTATTGCAGCCTTTTCGGATTCTCCCTCAGGTGCCACCGTATCGGCTGGCCATTTGTGCCCCGCAGACGAGGACGAACCGCGCGAGCTCTCTCGTCTCGCCATCTCCTCTCCCCGAGACACCAACAAAAAACAAAAAAAGGTAAAAATAATAACCGCCGATTCCTCCTAAGTGCATTCTGATTTTCGTATATTCTTTTCCTTTGCTGTCTACCAGGTCACAGAACCCATTCTTCCCGATACGAAACACTCCATCTCGACATGGCGCCAGGAGCAGGCTACACTGTACGTCCCCCTTCCCCTCCCATGGTGGCCCTAGGTAGTAGTAATACTAACGTCTCTGACCACAAAACCAGACGAAGCTCAAGGTGCAGCTGAAGCTGGCCATCTCCCGCCTCCGCATGATTCAACAGCGCGACGAGCAGCTAGGCAAGACGGCGCGACGGTCGATGGCGCAGCTCCTGGAGGCGGGCAAGGTGGACTCTGCGACGATCCGCGTCGAGAACATCATCCGGAGCGACATAATCACGGAGCTTCACGAGATCCTAGAACTATATTGTGAGCTCCTCCTCGCTCGCGCCGGACTGCTGGACGCGCCGACGTGCGACCCCGGCCTCGAGGAGGCAGTCAAGAGTATCATCTACGCGGCGCCCAAGACGGAGATTAAGGAGCTGAACGTCGTGCGGAACCTGCTGGCCGACAAGTTCGGCAAGGAGTTTGCCCTGGCCGCCATGGATAACTCGGATGGGAGGGTCAACGAGAAGGTTATCCGCAAGCTCAGCGTCGAGCCGCCCAGGCCCGAGCTGGTGCAGGGATATCTCGAGGAGATTGCCAGAGCGTATGGCGTCGACTGGCCGAAGCGCAAGGCTGTTACGCCGCCGCCGGCGCCTGAGTTCGACGACGGCGACGACGAGCCTTCTGGCGGAGAAACAGTCAAGAATAAGAGAAATGCAGCGGAGGAAGAGGCGGAGGAGGAGGCATCGTCAGCAGCAGCAAAGGGTACGACGCGACCAGCCGTCTCCAGCACACCTAGCAAGAAGAAGACCAGCTTTGACGTCGGTCCGGCTAGTCCGCTAACTGTCACGCCACCGAGGATGACGACGGATAATGTGCATCCAAAGGTCACGCTTGGGTCGGTGGAGATCAAGCCCTCGGACAAGGCGCCGCAGGTACGGAAGAAGAGCGAGCCGGAGGGGTCTGTGCCCGAGATTGGTGATTTGGAGAGACGGTTTGCTGCTCTCAAGAGGGGTTAGGTGCTTGGCCGAGGGCGGGGGAGTATATTTTCTCTGTTTCCTGTTCTTCATGGGGTAAAATGGCGTTTTCCTTCATATGTATATCTCTACTATACTCATTCTCGAGCAACGTGGATCGAGTGTATTGGTCATCTTGCCATCTTTTCTTTCGTCCTGACTGTCCTGTTGGATGGCAAGGGGCCTGATCAAGAACAAGAAACTGCACATTCATATGCACATGGCATCCTCTTAGGGGCGATCTCGCCGCCACTGCCACCTGCAGTAGTTCGGTGTTTGTAGCTGTTGCTCACATGGGTGTGCACTAATGTGCAGCTGTTCAACAGCTGCTTGTGTTTTTTTATCCCAAAAGCAAACGGCGGAACGGGAGTAGAGTCCGTTCAGAGTCATAGATGGTATCGGTTAGGGTGGGGGAAAGGGAAATCGGAGGCTCTCTCCTTCCATCCTCACCCTTCACACCGTGCGTTTGCGCTTTCCCCCCTCTCTTCGACCTCCCCTTTCGTCAGCCACAGAGCATTCGTGCTCGTCATCTTTCCTTGCCCTCCCCCCTTTCTATACTCACTCGACCAACCAGCCGGAGTACGGATCCGATAAGATGTCCCCGAAAGATCCTCACCCAATCAAGCCATGGCCCGTCAGCATGGACAGCAAAGGCATAGTCCTCGAGACTGTCAACAGCGTTGTCGGCCTGAGCGGTGTCCGTGACGTCCCCGACCTCGGCCAGCTGAGGCAGGACACGCTCGACAAGAAGATTGAAGCTTGTCGAAAGCAACTCACGGACCGCCTCGCCGCATCCATCTACACCCTGTGGCTGCAGGATCAGATTGTGCGGCCCAAGAAGGCAGGCCACTCCACCGAGAGGTACTGCTACGTGTTGGCATCGTTTGGCTTGCCACTCTGGAGGGTCTGTTTCATCTGGAGTGACTGCTCAGAGTACACCCTTGGAGAAGAAAGGGACGAACGCGAGGCAGCTCGGATAGAGGATGGACTGGCCGAGGTCACTGAGCAGATCAAGGCGTACTTTGAGGTACCGGCCGTTCCCAAAGCGGATGACAAGGTGGCCGACACTGCCAGACCTACCACAACACTTCCCAGCAGGCCTGTAAGCAGGACAAGGTCCAAGAGGCCGTCCAAGAGAGCCAGAAGGTCAAGACTTGCGAATAGGCCCAAGTCAGCTAGCAAGCCTTCTGGAACGCCTTCAGACAGGCATTACAGAGCAGCAAACGCGTTGTTGAGTTATGAGAACCTTATCGATCTGGTCGCGAGCGAGCGTCTCAGGCCTGAAAGGCTGTCCTTTGACAACTCTGGTCATTTTCTCGAGTCCGCAGTTGCTGATGATCTCGAGCCAGTCGACAATGACGATGACCACGGGCCCTCGCCTAAACGGGACACGCGCGAGGACGAAGACCTGCAGGATCGTGGTACACATAGACGGCCATCGGAAGACCATCCTCAAGGCGTTGCCATATCCCTTCCACGACTGTACTCCTGCGACAGATGCCATCAAGGTGGTATGTACTATTCGGGATATATCCTCAGCAGTTTACAACCGGAGCTGACGCGGGCCGCTCAGGCCACAATACACGCGACTGTCCATCTGGGTGGGATCTGCCTATGTATGAAGCGCCCGGCTGGTGGTACCGGTGCGGCATGTGCGGTATGGAAAGCCATCGCTTTACTCAAGGCTGTCCTGGTGTGGACTATGGGCGCCTCACCACAACAGAAACATTCTCCACGCCGTCTGATGGCCATGGCGACCTTCAGGAGGAGTCTCGGGCATTCCTGGCCAGGAACCCCCAGGGATGGCCCAGCACTGACGGAGACCTGGAGATAGACCACGAGGCGGACACCCTTCCCCGCCGGCGCTCAGCTCGTAAACGACGAGGCAGTGCACCAGAGCGTACGTCCAAGAAGCAAAAGACTAAGCACAGTGAAGAACAGCCTCGTGGCCTGAGTTACGTTTCTAGGGAGTCCGTTGCAGGTTTCCCCATGTTTCCAGATGATGGATTCGATATGTGGAAACACGTGAGTCTACTCAGTATATGCAGTTCGTCTCCTTTTTCCAAGTGGCTAACCAGCACTAGGAGGACGGCGGGCCTCTTGATGAGGGCCAAGACCCTCCCAACTTGCAGATGAGGCGTGCAGGGGTGGTCGCTAGTCTCGATGTCGACAGTCTTTTGCTGGAAATCGACAATGAAATGACCACAGCAGTGCCGGCACAGCAGAACGTCCGCGCTAGATCAAGGCTATCAACTCATCCTCTCGAAGTCGGACCACCACCAAAGTGCCGAGAAAGGCTTGACAACGAGACACCGGTCATCAGCGCTGAACCCACGAGCGCTCTGAGCTCTCGGGGCGGACAAGAAAGCGACGCTAAGGAAGTTTGGGGCAAGCAATTCACTGACGCCCTCTCCGTTGAAGATCCATACATCTGCCCACCTCCTCATGAGCCACTAGAGAATATCGAGCTTCTCGTCACAGAGAAATCATTGCACGGGGAGCGGCCGTATCATCCCCATGTCTTGTCTCTCTTCGGGGGAAAGGTCAATGCGTGGGTGAAGAAGGCTAGAAGACTGCGCGCCATCGACTTTTGGGAGTTTACTAGCGAGAATACCAGCGAGGACATAGGCAGCGAGCTTCCGGGAGCCGAAGTCGATGGCTATGAAAGCGTCGGGGATTGCGTTGATGTTCAGGTCAAAGCCAAGGTAAGGGGCCCACGAGGCAAACGACGAGGGCGGATATTGATCGACGTGCATAGGACACCTCCCTGATGGAAATGATTGAGCTCTTCGATGTACCCGGAGTCGCTGCGGCCTAAGCCCCGGTTTCTAGGCTACAATCAGGACGGTAAACGGGGTATGAAATCTGGTAGATATGTGGAAATGCACACATGGCATGCGAGGGGCCGCTTCGAATTGATGTCGAGAGGATTGCGGCATTGCTAGGAGCTTTGCGTCGACAGATTCATATTGCTAGTAACATATCAAGACAAAGATTGCTGAGACTATTTCCAGCTCAAGCCATGCACGGCAACAAGCCGGCATTGTTTTCTTGCGATCGAAGCCTCTCTCAAACGCCCAGACGCCCAAACGCCCAAACACCCAGATGACCTTGTGATGGTACTTGCCGTGTCACGTAACGCCGTCCCGCCGTGTGTGAATGGGGGTCGGGAGATATGAAATGTGGAAAAGAAAATGGAAAGAAGTGAGGTTGGAAATGCTTGCGCTGCAGTATCATGGTCGCGAACCGCGGTGACAGGTGCGGTGAAGTCTACTCAAGCTTATCGAGGTGCTCCAGGCGAGTGAGGACGACCTGCTTGCTCGTCTCCTCGATCTCGCCGGCGAGGAAGACCTCGTCGAGGATGGCGTAGACCTTGTAGAAGTTGAAGACGAGGTCGAGCTCGCACACGTTTCCGAAGAAGGCGTCGAGGACCTCGACGAAGAAGTGGATGGCCTCGAGGTAGGCCAGCTCGTTGTCGTTCGTGTCGACGCAGGCGCAGAAGAAGAGGCCTGCGTAGCGGCGATAGACGATCTTGTTGGTGCGGAACTCGACAAAGTTGGACTGGTACTTCTGATCTCGGGGGGCGACGAGCCGATGGACCTCACCCTTGAGCTTGACCTTGTGGTCGTCGCTATAGGGGGCGTACCACTTTGCTAGACGGGTCTTGCCCCTAGAGCAAAGGGGAGCGTTAGTCTGGGTGAATGGAGAGGAATGGAAGAGAGAGAAGAAGGCTTACTGTCTGTTTTGGATGAGGATGAAGGATAGCATGATGGTGTTGGGAGAGCTGGTTGAGTGGATGTGTATATGTGGATGTGTGTGCGTGTGTGTTGTATGATGTCGTCTCGTCAATATGGCCGTGTTTCTCCTAACTGAAGATTTGGGGGGGGGGGAGGGATGGATGGATAAAGAGGCAGAGGCAGCGCACCGGAATGGGCGGTGGATCATTAGTATTACCGGCTGAATATGATCAGTCGGGGTCCAGGGTGAGCGAGGTTGGAACGAACCACCACATTGGGGATGAGCACTGTTGGCATCTATCAACGAAGAAGAAGAGAAACGGGGGTAATGGGGATAGATTGGTTTACAAAAAAAGAAAACACCCAATCTGACCTTTGTTGAATCTGGAAGCCATCATGTATTGAATTATTAGACGAATACTGGCCCAGCAGATGGCCTACTCTTATTCTCTCTACAGATTACCTCAGAGTGCAATATTCATATATATGGGCTTCATCCACAACCTCATTCTACCACATGATATGACCAGTTGAAATAAACCAACGAAACCGAACCCCCGGTGGTAACTCCCGTCTCTGGACAGCCAAGGATTTTCGGGTCTAGCAAAATATCCTGCTGCGTGAAGTTATCCAGTCACAAAATCCGGCACTCTGTCTCATATGCACAATACCTGACCACGAAGCATGCCTCGGGCCCATTGGGTCCGCCATATCCTAGCACCACGCGCCGTGCCCCCCCCTCCCATCCGATCTATCCAGCGGCGACGACACCATGCAGAAGCCAGTGAGCAGGAACAGGTCAAGCTGGGCCGGCGTAGCATCGGGAATCACGGGAGCCTCAGAGCTGGATACGTACCCGTACACCAACGTACCCGTACACGATGGCATGGTGCTTCTCAGCGGTCATGGACCGTCTACGTCTCCCTTCCCAGCCTCAGGCCGGTTACGGCGGCAGTCGAGGAGTCGAGAAGAAAGGGCTTCGTCTTCTTGGCATCGAATCTCTTCTTTAAAAGAGGTTTGGTGGCCGGTTTTGCATGTGATACGGCCAGAGATGGTGTCATGGTATTACAGCAGATTATTATGTAAGGCGGACTCGACTACGAAATGGTCAAGTCCGACGTGAGATAAACAACCAAGTATTTGACATCCTATAACATGCATTCCACCTTTTACCTGACTTGACTATACTCTGCTGCCATCACTCGTTCTGAACATGTAACCCACGGTAACTCTACTTGCCTCTCTGCTCATCGCCTGCGCTCGATTTATCCTCGTGGTCACGCTTGCGTCGAATTCGGATCCGACAAGAACATCTCTGCTTTGGACTGTCAACCCGGAAACAAACAGAAAATATGGCACTTATGCCGACTTCGATATATTAGTTCTTACTACGGAGTATTAGATCTAATAAGGATATCTCTACTCCGTACTCTTGACCGTTGACCCGGGGAAGATAAGAAGAGATATGACAGCTCATTATATAATCCTTCTCTATTTTAGTCTCTTCTACAGCCTCTTGTTAATCCCGACTTAATTAATATCACCAGCGGATATCCGCTATTATGCATTTTCCCTCAGATGAGGGAAGGTATATTATCTGACCAGATGGCATCATTCATGGTGTTGAAGACATATGAACGCCACCCTTCGTTGACCTGTTTCCAAGTATATGGCTGTTAAATCGTGCCGGTCCAATCTCCAGTTTGCAATCCTTGCTCTCTCACCTCCCACTCCTGGCACATAGATACCCCACACATCCTCCCCCCCCCTCCCTCCCTCCACGGATAACCATGATCAGTATTGCTGTCCTGCCGACTGGGAACGGGCGAGGACTGCTCCCGACAACGACGACGACGAAGACGAAGACGACACGACGACGGCAACGTCATGACGCTGTCAGCACATCTGACGCGCCTGTGCCGCATCCTCTGGGGTGACTGGCAGACCAACGAGCTGTGGCAGCGCACCGCCAAGGCCACAATCGGGTGCATGGTCACGCTCATCGTGTCCATCATCCCCGGTGTGGTTGCCGTGTACGGCGCCAACACGTACCTGATCCCCTTCGTGGCCGTCTTCTCGAGCCCGGCCCACCGCACGGCCAAGCTGGTGGAGCTTCTGCTGCTGGTCCTCCTGGGGTCGCTGGTGGGCATCGCGTGGTCCCTGCTGGGGCTGTACCTCTCGACGCTGGCGGTGAGCGCGCACTTGTCGTCCACGATCCGCGCCCTCTTCTTCCTGGTCGTGGTGCTGGTGCACGGCTTCGTGCGGTCGTCGACCCCGCGACTCTTCGTGTCCGTGTGGCTGCTGCTCGTCTCGTCGGCCACGGTGCTCATAGGGAGCGCGACCAGGCCGTCCCTGTCCGTCTTCACGAGCATCTACTACCCCATCCTCACCGGCGCCGCCATCGTCCTCTTCGTCAACATCTCCATATTCCCCGAGATGTCCAGCAGCTACCTCGGCTCCGCCATCATCGAGACCCTCGCCGACACGGTGCACACCGTCGATCGCGCAACGTACTGGTTCGTCACGCCGGGCGGCGACTCGGCCGAGGCGAAGAAGAAGCAGGCCGAGGCTAGGGCCAGGGATAGGGAGAAGAGCAGCAACAGGAAGAAGACCTGGCTGCGCTCCTTCCTCGCCGACTTCCCTAACCCCTTCAAGAACACGGCCAACAAACGCGCCGCCGAGCTGGCCGCCGCCCGCCCCGCCGCCAACCTGACCACCCTGGCCGGCCTCACCGGCCAAAAGGCCAAGATGCGTGCCGCTCTTCTCAAGTGCGGTGCCGCCCAGGACGAGGTCAACTTCGAGTACTCCATCTCCCCCCTCCCCCCTTACCTCCTCAAGCCCGTCAGCAAGCGCTACATGCAGAGCCTCGTCGAGAACGCCGTCACCATCATCGGTGCGTGCGAGAACAAATACGTCCTGCTCAACGCGGCTCGCGATGCCGACAAGGGTCCACCCGCCCGGCCCGTGCGCAGCAACAGCCAGGCCACCGCTCCCCTCGGCGCTCTGCAGGTGATCGCGCACGACGAAAGCGACGAGAACAGGATAGACATGGTGAAGCCGCTGCGGGAGATTGAGTCCGCAGATGCAGACCTCCTCGAGCCACTGATCCAGTGCCTGCGCCGTCCGGTCGAGGAGTTCCGCGAGGCCCTGGACGAGGCCGCCTTCCTCGTCATGACGTGCATAGCATACTGCTACGACGCGCCCCAGGTCCCGCTAGGTGCTCAGAAGCCCGCGGGTATCATGGTCGAGGAGGTTGACCTGCGCATAGGCAAATTCACCGATGCGCTCGCGCGCTTCGACGAGCGCTCCGCATCGGAGCTCAAGATGGCTGCCATGGGCGAGGCGGGCCAGGGCATCGACCTGATGCCCCGCATGGAGACATTCCTCCTGTCCTCGTTCCTTCTGGGCTTCCGTCAGGCCGCCACGCATGTGCTGCACATGCTCCATCACTCCAGGCAGCTTGTTGACCAGAGGAGGAAGCGCCACGACCGGTCCAGGTTCTGGCTCCCCCATTACGCTGATATCGGCCTCTGGCTCTCCACGGCCGGCGAGATGGACCACAGCGTGCTCCCCGAGAATGCGCGCAAAGAGGTGCGCACCGGGAAGAAGAGCAAGCCGGTAGTAGAGCCTTCCTCCTCCGAGGAGCCCTCGCCCAGCGGCTCGCAGCGTGGGGACGTCCAAGACGAAGGGAACAGTGCCGAAGCCTCGCCACCTGACCGGCGCCGAGTAGCGATCCGTGATACCCCAAAGCCTCCTAGACCGCAACCCACGAAAGCCGCGTCAGCTAGACGGAGACGTCCATGGATCCCAAGAACGGTGGCCGCGCTGAGAGAGGGCTTGGCCGACGCGCTCGAATGGGCCCAGCATTCGGACGACCTCATGTACGCTGTGAAGCTGGCGATAGCCGTCATGGCCGTCAGCTGGCCGTCGTTTGTGCCGTCGTGCAGGACCTGGTACGCCGATGTGCACGGGATATGGGCCCCCCTGCAGCTGGTGCTCGTCTTCGAGGTGTCGATTGGCACGTCCATCTTCATCGTGCTGGTGCGTCTGTTTGGCGTCGTCTTCGGGTGCGTGATGGGGTACCTGTCATACGAGATCAGCGGGGGCAACCGCATAGGCATGGCGGCGGCGATGCTGCTCGGCATCGTGCCGTCGTCATACATCCAGCAGGGCACGCGGTACGTCAAGGCGGGCATAATCTCCATCACGTCCATGTGCGTGGTGGCGCTGACGGCCATGAACCAGTCTGGCACGGCTTACGAGAACTTTTACAAGCGCCTCTCAGCCTTCCTCATCGGCTCCGTGGTCGCCATCGTCGTCGAGATGGCCGTCTACCCCGTGCGCGCGCGGGACAGCCTGGTCGAATCGCTGTCGACGGTGGTACGGCAGGTACAGAACATGCAGGCGGCCATGTCGGTCGGCATCGACGGCCCGCAGAAGCCCGACCTGCAGTCCCCGGCGCTGTACTCCCGCTTCCAGCGCGCGCGCGGCAAGGCCAAGGCGTCACTGACGGCGGCCGAGACCTTCCTCCCGTTCTGCCTCAACGAGCCGCGCCTCAAGGGCAGCTTCAAGCCCCTGGAGCCCGTGTACCGCGAGATCGTCTACGTGCTGCACCAGATCATCGACCGGCTCCAGGACATCATGGCCCTGCGCAAGGCGTACGGTTCGTCCCTCCTCGAGGACCTCAACGCCCACGTCTACGCGTACCGTCGCAACGTGTCGGCCGCCAACATGCTCGTCCTCTTCTCCGTCAACGAGGCCCTGACCACCTGGCTGCCCCTCCCGCAGCTCATGCCGTCCATGCGCCTCGCCCAGCAGCGCCTCATCGACCGCGTCCGCCAGGTCCTCGAGGACAAGGACCTGTCCTCCCAGATCCGCGGGGATGACGACGACGGCACCGGTGCTGCCAGCAGCACCTTTGTCACCCGTCTCAGCTTCCTAGCGTGGAACGCCAACGCAGCGGGCTACATAGAGGTCATCGAGTACCTGGAGGAGCTCGTCGAGCTGACAAAGCTGCTCGTGGGCGTCAACGCCTTCCGCAGCGGCCTGCTCGAGAAGCCGCGGTACAAGGACTACGTCGACCAGGCCAGGTCAGATCGCAGGGCAGCGGGAGGTCTACCGGAGCTCACCCAGTCCAAGAGCGCGCCCGCAGAGATGCCCCCGGATGTTGACGATGGCGGCACCTGGCCTGCTCACGTCGTGCCCGCCGCCGCGGACCAAATCCCCCTAAGGCGCATGGCCACGACCACGGCTGCAATGGAAACTCCGCAGTATACTAGCACTACCACTACTAGGACTGCCACCGCCAGCACGGGCATCAGCACGGGTACCAACGCCGACGTAAGGAGTCGTCACTCGTCTACAGCCGCTGCCGCTGCTGAGGGAACAACTCCACTTTCGGTACCTCTACAGCAGCAGCAGCACGAGGAGGAGGAGAATGCCGTAGTAGATGATGAAGAGTTTACGGACGACGAACTCCCCATGAGTCTACGCAGAGTCGGGACCAGACTGCGCAGGGAGAGCACGGCGCTTAGGAAGCGAGGCTACTCTATCAACAGGAGGATGACATGATGTTGAGATCTCTAGAAGCATACGAGGAGTTGTCATTTCGTTCAGCATCTTGTTCGCAGTCAGTTGTCTTTATTATACCCAGAGTTATTTCTTTTTTTTTGGATGTTTTCTTGACATGATTTCGTGTTCCCGGGGCGACGTGACCCAAAAAATAAGAATGAAGTATAAAAGAAAAAAGAGAATAAAGAGAGACAAAGAGGTCGGAACAGCTTGTTCTCATTCCAATAATGGTATTATCCAACGCATACAAATTTGATTGTTCTTTACCCAAAAAAAATACCCTGGACTCCGGGTGAAAAACAAAGTTGTCCATGATTCAAATATCATGGTACTAACGGGGAAAAAAACCCCCCAAAAACAAATTCCGACAAGAGAAGGCTGGCAAAAAGTGGGTAGAGGATAGTAAGGTAGAGGAGGGCAAGGTCAGATGATGTTGAGAGAGGTATGCTGTATTATCTTGGTAGTGTTGAGCATGGCCCTGGACTTCTTTGGACGCTGCTGGAAGCGCCTGAAGGCCTCCTGGACGTGCCTGGGCTCGATGGGCCGCCTGCCCTCTCCGGGGGGGTCGAAAAGTCCTTGGTGCAGCTTCCGCTTCTTGGACGTCTTCTCATCGCCGTCGGCGGCGCCGGAGCGGGACCTGGCGAGGCCCTCCTGCTCCTTGACCTTGAGGGCTACCTCGGTGAGGACCTGGACCATCTCAAAGGTGAGGAAGCCGAGGATGTCGACGATGTCGTCCGAGGGCTTGCTGTCGGTGACGACGCCGAAACCGGCCCACTCGCGGAAGCGCTTTCCCTTGCGGTAGGTGAAGGAGGCCTGGCGGTACTCGGACCAGGTGACGTACTCCTCCTTGGTCATGACTTTTGTGCGCTCGTCGGCGCGGCGCAGGCGCTGCAGCGTGATGAGATTCATCTCGTCCTCGTCCTCGTCCTCCTCGTCCTCGCGCTCCGGAACCTCGACCGGGTACAGCGACGCGTGCTCCCAGGGGAGGCCGATCTTGGACTTCTTGTTTTTTTTGGCCGCCTCGTCCACCGGTGCGCCGCCCCCGCCCACCACGCCCCCCGTCGGATCGTCGCCCGCTGCCAGGTCAGCGTCCGCACCCTTGTCGTCCGAGTCCTTGACGTTCTTACGGACGTCCTTCCACGAGAGGAACGTCCGCAGACGCGACACCTTGGCCTGGTCGTGCCGGATCTGGAAGATTAGGTCGTTGATGCTGATTGACTTGGATCCGCGACGGAATGCGAGCTCAGTACACGTACGAAGCTTTTATTTTTCTTGGGCGTCAGCAACGAAAGGAAAAGAAAAAGTTGAACCACTCCCCCCCCCGCCTCTGTGCGTGTGTGAGAGCTCTGTCAGACTGTCAGAGAAGAGACTTACCAATTCGATCACCTGTTGCCGTACAATGTCCTCCATTATACCCGTCGTCTCCACTGGAGGCTCTCCAGTCTCGCCAGAGACGTACATCATCTGCATCATGCCGCATATTAGTCCACGTCCGTACGTCCGTATGCGTTGCTGGCACGCGGCCTTGGAAGTCTGATCGGGGTCCATGGTGAGAGCGCCGGTGGTGAGAGAGCTCGACAGAGACAGAGGGAGAGTCCGCTTGTCGGTTTCTTGCCTGTGCTTCATCTCCCTTCCTCCCTCTTTCACGGCCGTACTTGGACTTGTGCATGGTGGGCCAACAGTGATTGTTTGCCAGCCCGGCTCACCAACCGGCGCTGAAGAACTGACAGGTGTACGAGCAGTCCCCCGGCGAGAGCCGTCCGTCAGTGAAAGCAGCCATTCCAGCCTGACTTCACCCCTCTCTCCATTTCCTGATACCAGTTCCACATCGTGTGCCGATTTTAATGAACATCGAATACGCTCTCCTTACCTGGCTGATTTCCTGCCGGTACTTGTAATGTTTATCAGACATGATAGCGCTGATGATGATGTTGATGTATTTATCCAAGAAAAAAAAAAGATGATTTGCGCGCCAGTTCCAAAGGTTGAAAGAATGGTTGTAGCGACTATGAGGATGAGAGCCAAGCGACCAAGAATAGAAGAGTAGTAGAGAATTGAATGAGAGGAGCAAACAAGAAAGCCTTGGCAGGGTTGAGAGACTGGCTGGCTGAGAAGTAGGTTATATGACTTTGATGTCTGAGTTGTCTGTGACTGTGTGACGCCTGGGCGGTGCTCGAGATCACAGGAGGCCAGCCAATTCGACGTGTCAGCAAGGTTTACCTCCCCCTCCTTCTCTTTCTGATAGCAATGTGGTAGAGCGCGGATGCGAATGAGAGATGGGTGCCCCCTCTCCCTATTCTTTGACCGATGTCGTCGTGGTAGCAGGTTGATGGGGGGGATGTGTCGAACGATGATGGTACGGAGAACTGCGAACTGGAACGTTCGCCCCAGTTTACGTAATATGTCGTACATACAAACACGTATTACTACCGTACGTACCTGACCTACGGAGCCACGTGATACCCTTGTCAAGCTCTGGTGTGTTAAACAACTCCACAACAACCTCAAGGGTTTTCAATCAACATCAAGATATTCCTCTTGGCCTTGATATTCCCCCTGTCTCTTGTCTTATTCGGTATCTATCAGGGGATGCCACTCTCTATAGTAACCTTCTTCTCTCCAACCCTTCCCACCACGCACCACCGCCATCGCTGTCAGCACCCTTCCTACCCCCCCAGACAACGACGTAATGCGCAGCCAACAACTCCCACTCTTCAACTTCGTCCAACCCTTGCAATCCGTCAACGCGCTCCCTCTCCTTGTCGTCCACCCACGTACGCCATATGTCCCCCACTGTCATGGCCTTGACATGGCTGAATCCCGCGTCGCGCAACCTCTGCTCCTGGTCCGCGGGCTGGGGGTACGCGTTCAGCGTCGGCATCCGGATCCGCCGGGCAGCCAGGTTGGACACCATGACCCGGCCAAAGGGGTCATCGGGTCTTATGGGCTCGTATATGGCCGTCGAGAGGGCCGCTATGCGCGACGTAAAGTATGACATCACACCCATCGCCTCCTGCGGACTCATGTAGCATAGGCAGCACTCTGATATCACCAGCGTGGGGACGTCAGTGCGCAGACCCGGCAGGGTACACCCCCCTCCTCCCGACCCCTCTCCCTTCCCGGCGGCGGCAGCAAGGCTGCGCAGGTCCAGCCCGTGACAGTGGTAGTCCCCCGCTCCCGAGGACGGCCGACTGGTCCACGATGCGCCGTCGTCCGTCACCGGTGTCGCGTCGCACAGGATCCGGCTAAGCGCAGGTGTTCCCCGCACGGTACGCAGCTTGCGCGCGCTCACCACCCCGAAGTCTAGCTCGTGGTATATCAGCGTCTTCTTCTGCTGCTGCCCCTGCTGCCGTAGCGGCCGGGAGAACAGTCGGAACGGTCGTGTGTCGGTGCCGGCCCCCAGCGATACAATCTGCCTCGCAGCGTCTGGCGAATTCGACAGGAATTCGTCTACTAGACGGTCAAGCGCTGCTGTTCGCGTGTATGTTCCTGTTTCGTTTCACACACACACACACACACACACACAAATCAGACTTGATTCGCCCGTAGAAGTAGATGTAGACGGGTAGGAGAAAGAGAGAGCGAGAAGAAGAGAAGAACAGAAACGCACCCCGGTTGATGATGGGCAGTCGCCTCGGCGCATCGACGTCCTGGACAAAGTATCGCGCAAACACGTCATCTAAGTATCCGAGGTCCACGGCGCTCAACCTCGATACGGCAGCGTCATTATCCGTCCCCTGGATGGTAGCGTCTGCCGTTGCGGCCCTACCGCCGTCGCCGCCGCCGCCGCGGCGCCCACCTCCTCTGCTGCCACCTCTTGTCCCCCGGAGAGACAAGAGATTTGGTACCGATGCCATGGGTGTCCGAAGGAGAGAACTGTGTCTATCGATCTTCACTTCCCTTCGCAGGAATGACAAGGAGTAGAGCTGCCAGACTCCAAGGCTGAGAAGCTTCAAGGTGCAAAGAAGGAAACAATGACGTTGGAGGGGAAGGAGAATGAACATGAGCTAATGTGGGGCAGAACTGGACGTTAACCCCTCCATTATATTACATATCTTAAGTCCCCCCCCCCCCCTTTACACACAAATATGCATCACCTTCAGCTTCACCCCAAGGCGCCAGCAGGTTTTGAACATCGTTATAATTCTTATACTTCATCTTTAATCATAATGGGAGAAAGAAAATAATAAACAGAAGAAACAGGAAAAAGAAAAAGAGAAAGAAAAAAAAAGCACACTGCCCCTAGGCAACCCAACGAGACAGGCCAAGCAAGAAGAAATCCTAGTCCTCGATGCTCCTTTTCTCTCCCCCGTAATAAAAGGCCTTGCTATTTCCTATTTATCCCCAATCGCCCGTTTCCATCTCTTCCCGCACACACGTACAGGCTGGGAGTAATAGACAAGAAGATGGGGAGGTGACAATTGGATCGAAAAGTTCAGACAAGAGAGTAGCAGCAGCAATTCATTCAACTTGAGACTCCCAGACAAGAATATCGAGAACAAGGGAAAAAACCCAAGCTAATTCCAGCATGAGGGCTGGGGTTTCATATGAAGACAGATCTTGGGAATTGGGATGGGAGGGGGGGGGGGKGGGGGTATTCTGGTGGTGAGTACGGAAAATGCTCTAGGAATCATCATGTTGTTTTCTACTTCTCAAGACGCCGCCGCAGAAAAAGCACTAATAAAGGGAACGAGGGGGGAGAGGAGATCGGATCGAGGGGACAACAAGAGAAAAGAAGAGGACGAGAAGCCTTCAGTACCTTCACGACTTGTTGAAAAACCAGCTTGTCCTCTTGTTAGTAGTCGTGGCGCCCTCGTTCTGCTGGATCGACTGCACCGTCGGGTTGGACGCCAGCTCGTCGCCGCCTCCACCGCGGAGGGGCTTGGCGATGCGGCTTCCCGCTCCCGAGAAGCTGAATGCGCCGCCATCGCCTCCGTGGCTGAGACCACGGGTGCTTCCGGCCTTGACAGTCTCCAGGCGCTCCTTGACCGTAGCAAGCTGGACCTCGAATCTGCAGATACCTGGTCAGTCTCACCCTTCTTCTCTCGCTTCCGGTCTTCTTCACCATCAACTCTGCACACGACGGGAACGTACTTGTGGTTGGCGGCCGCCATCTTCTCCTGGCTGTCCTGGAGCAGACTCTCCAGGCTCTGGATACGCTCGTTGCGGGCAATCAGCTTGCGCTCGGCAATGGCCACCTCCTTCTTGAGGGCCGAGTTCTGCTCGACCAGCTGCCTCTGAACCTGGGTCAGCTGCTCCAGGTTCCTCTCGAGGAAGGCCATCTTCTTCTGCTGCGCCCGGTTGTTGGATGACCGCAGCACATTGTTGTACTGCTCGCGCGTCTCGTCGAGCGAGATCTCGAGCTCCACCACGCGCTCGCACCGGTTCTGCAGGTCTCGCATCAGGCTCTTCTTCATCACGTCAAACTCAGCAATCTGCTGCTGGATCGTCTTTCCGTTGGACGAGGCCGCACCCTTCTCCGCGGCACCTCCGCCCGCCTTGGCCCGCTGCTGCAGGTCGTCGACGAGCTCCTTCATACGGCTGTTCTCGGCCGCCTTCTGCGCGATGTCGGCCTTGAGCTCGTCCACCAGCTTGGTCTGCATCGTCTGCTTGCTCGAGTAGACGTGCTCCAGGCGTGCCTTGACCTCCTCCACATCGGCGTCGCTCAGGTTGCGCGTCAGCGCGTCCTCATACTCCTGCTGGAGGGCCTCGAGCCTCTGCTCCAGCTCCTGCCGCCTCCGGGCGTCCTGGTCGTTGGACGAGGCGCCGTACATGGACAGCTCGGCCTGGCGCACGATACCCTGCGTCTCCACCAGTCGCCCCCTGAGCGCCTTGAACTCGTCGGGCGAGATGTTGTCGCCGGCCGAGCTCTGCTCGTGGAGCACGTCGATCTGGGCAATGGCCTCGCTGATGGACCGGTCGTTGTCGCTGAAGACGTCGCCGCCCAGCTCGAAGCCAGCCATCATCTGGGCCATCTTCTCGGCCTTCTTCTTCTCCTTCTCATCCATGGCGGCGCCGCTCTCCTTGGCTGTCATCTTGACGTCGAGAAGCTGCTGCTTGACCTCGTCCAGCTCGGCCGTCAGCTCGCTGTTGGCCTCCTTGAGGGCGTCCATGGTGATCTGGACCTCCTTGCCCTCGAAGTTGAGGCGCTCCAGCTGCATTCGGAACTCGTTGACCTCGGTGGTCAGCTTCTCGTTCTCCTTTCCAACCTTGCTGTCGTGGTCCTTGATGAAGGCAAGCTCCTCCTTTGTCTCGCGGAGCTGCTTCTCGGCCGCGGCCGCCTGCGACTCCCGCTCGGCGAGCTGGTCCTGGAGCTCGTTCTCGCGCCTGAGGAACTCCTCGCGCTCGTCCTTCTCCAGGGAGATGCTGGGGGTGCCGGAGCGCTCCGACAGCATGGGGGTTTCAGACCGGCTCTCGGCCGTCAGCCGCGAGGGTGTCGAGGGGCGGGCAGGTCCCCTGGGCTCATGCCTGGGGCCGAACGGGGTGTCCGACAGGGGCGGTGCCCACTTGTCCTTGGGGACGCTCTCGCCGGCGCGCCAGAGCTGGACCTCGCCCTCGAGGGTGGCAATGTAGTTCTCAAAGTTGGTGACCTGGCCCTGTGCCTTCTTGAGGAGGGCCTTGAGCTCAGCCGGGCTGAGCTCGGCGTTGACCTTGGCCTTGTTCTTGATGGACTTGGCTCTGGTACCGAAGCGGAGGGTGCCGAGGGTCTCGGCATCGTTGTAGCTGCTGGGCGAGCAGTTTATGATGAGCGTGGTCCGGCTGTTACCACCGAGCGACTCTTGCAGGATTCGTGTCAACTTGGAGTCTCGGTAGGGGATATGCGACGACTTCCCGTCGGTCAGGGCATTGATGACCATTCCCAGGGCGCTCAGACTCTTGTTGATCTTCTTGGCCTCCTCTAGCGTCTGGCCGCTCGCACCAGTCTTTCCGACCTTTTCGCTACCGGCCAAATCGACGAGGAACAGCTGGCCGCTCTTTGCCGATCCCGTCTCGACATTCTTCTGGGTGACGGTGATCTGGAAGATGGAGTGCGACCGGGACGACTCCTGGTTCATGTTGGTGGCGGCGACGGCGCGGGCGTTTCCTCCCCTGCGCATCACCTCGTAGACCTCCTGGACGCTCGAGACGTAGACCTCGAGAAGGCCCTTGACGTAGACGCCGCGGTTCTTCTCCTCATGGACGGGAAGGTTGTCGTTTTGCGGTTGCAGGAGATCGCGGATCCTCTCCATGTAAATCTCCATGTAGCTAACACGTACCGTGTACTCCATGGTGCTCGGGCTCGTCATGATGCTAGCAAAGATTTGCTCGACGATGCGGGGGATGACACCCCTGCCCTCGTCCTCGTCAATGTTGGTGCCCATCATGGTGTACGACTTTCCGGCCCCCGTCTGACCGTAGGCAAAGACAGTTCCGTTGTAACCGTTGAGGATGTCGTCGACGGTGGGCCGGATGGAGAAATCGAAGATGTCCTGCTGCTTGCAGGACATATCAAAGACGCGATCAAATGTGAAGCTTCCCTGGGCTTCTTTTGACTGTAAAGACGGAAGGCAAAAGAGCTGGTCAGTTCCTGAACACCAGAGGGGCGGGCGCAAAAACGCTAGGCGGGATATTCTCTTACGTCGACGGTACATGATTCTTGCGAGTTGAATGTGACAATGGGTTTACCTCCCGATTCCAGCTCTACCCGGTTCTGGGGCCTGAACCGGGCAACGACCTTGATACTGTTTGCAGCAGACATGGTGACGACCGTGGTGCGATGACAGCGCGAGTGCTTATCATGGGGCGCGCAATCGCAGGTTCACGAGCCGGACGGGCTGCTCAGGGGTTCAATTCAATGGCAGCACTACTAGCAGCAAGCGCTCGTCTGTGTGTGTGTGTGTGTGTGTGTATGAGTGTGAAGACCGCGATGAGACGGGTTGAGGGTCTAGCTCCAGGGCTGACGCCCCAAAACAACAGGGAATATTGTTGCCGGCGATGGATCGTGGAACAGCTCGTGGCGGCGGCGGGGTTTTTGTTCTGCGTCGAGGTGGGTGGGTGGTGGACTCGACTTCGGGCTCTCCGCAGCTGATGTTGGGGCGGGATGGATGCAGGAGACAAGAGCCCGACGGAGAGAAAACAAATGAAAAGAATGATGTTTGACCCCCAGGATCCACAAACAAAGAGAGAGGGGGAGAGGAGAGTGTAGAAGGGGAAGAAGGGTGAGGAGGGAAGGGAGGGGTGGACGGCGGTGACACTGCTAAGGTATCGGTATAGGAGTGAACCGGGGGAGGAGGAGGATGTGGGCGGGAGTCGAACGCGCTATTACATTTGTTAGTCAGGGCGGTGGGCGGCATCGCGTGGGACGGGAGATTGAGAGACGGGATAAACCCACGGCACACGGTCTCGCTCGTTACAGGCTATGGACAGCTACAGTAATCTTGCTACCTGCACGAGTACAGACCTCCGGATGCTGTTACAGGTACTAATATGAATACGTGTACAAATACAGTTTGTCTACGTGGGCTCAACTGTGGGAGCCGGACAGCAGCGATACTGTAACTTGGTCCATGAGTGGAAAGCCCTCTGGTGCTGTGAGCCTGTGACCTGTCAGGGGTCCGTCTTTTTTCCTTTTTTCTTTTCTTCCCAGGGCGGGGGCCTTGGAACCTGCTTCTACCGACCAGCAGCTTCCTATCAATAGAAGGAACGGCCTACAGGCTATTCCTCACTACTGGACACGCTGCAAGTGCCGGTGATGGAAGTGCCAGACGTATAGTTGTTCTAGTGGAAAGTACGGAGTATTACCGTAGAAACACTGAGAACCTTAGAAGCTTGCCCGCTAATACCGCGAGCGTTCTGGGTGGGTGGGATCCTTTGTCATCGTACAGATACGGGTGCTTTAGGGGAGGGGGAGTGGGGTAAAGGGAGGGTACCGCCCCTCCATCCAGAGCCGCGTCACAGCGTCTGTCTTCCACGGACTCGTATGGACCTGTAGCCTGTACCTGTGGCTTGTACCTGTGACTTGTCAAACGAGCACGTACATGCATGCAGCATTACTCGCTGGTATTAATCAGTGATGATACTCGGAGCACATGATAATACGATTGCGTGTGTCGTAACCCTTGAGCACCTCTCGTAGCAGCCCGGGGTCATGATGTCGTTTTCGGGTGAAAGTCAGCTAATAATACTGGTCGCCTGTGTGGTGGTCACGTGATGGCGGCGCATGTGGTTTATCAACTGGTCCGATGTATCGTCATGACCAACAGGAACAAAGCACACGAGGGATCTTATTGTTCAGATGCGTGCGGCGATGCTTGCCTATCTCATTGCTGTTCAGTGATTGCAGGGGGGTTCCGGAAATGCTGCTCTCGCTATGTGATCGTCATCATCCGGCCGCCATCTTTTGCCATATCCTCCTCCTCATGGCCTCTTGATCGAACGTCGGCAATGATGTTGATCTGCAAGATTTGTGGAAAATATTCGTCCGTGGGGACCAAGTGATCGAATGTTACGCCGCAGTAATAGTCAATCTCAATACACCAGAAGACGTTGTATTGGCCGATATCTTCATCTTGTCATAACCGTACCAGTAGTAAGCAGCCCTTTACAGGCGAACGGGCAAACCGAAGCTCGCTCATCATGTTCATGCCAGGGCTGCTTACTTCTTTCCATATATCCAGCCCGAGTAAATATACCCAGCTTTTACAGCCAGGGAATCCCCAGCCTCGTGGTCACCAAAGCGCCCTGCCCATAGAGGCATCGGCAGGTCACCCTTGCAAGCTCAAGACCCGCCGATTGGATATCAGGCGTAGGGTTTGATCGGTCAACGCTCCAGGGGTGCGTTCGGGACAGGTCTTTTGGCAGATACTAGCGGGCCCTTGATTTGGACTCTCTCAGCGGCCGATCAGAGGGGGGTTGGGCCTCGTGTGCAAACGGGTATGTATGTGTATAATATGTACAGATTACATATTAGTGGAAAGGGCAATATGGTACATGCAGCTGGGGCGGTGAAGGTGGTATATCCAAGGAAAGCGGGACCCTCAAGCATGGCCTTTTTCTACTCAACATTCTATGTTTTTGGTTTGTTTTATCTTTGCCCATTTCCTTATATTCCTCTATTTCCTAACAAGTAGTGATGGTAAACTCACAGCGAAGAAGAACGGAAGGCATACGCCGCAGTAATCACACGCATAGTATAGAGCAAGCGGTTCAGTCTTGCATGCATAGGGGCGGGGATCCAGTTATTACAAGGCCACACCCCCCCCCCCCCCAACAGCGCGTTCCTTCCTCGCCCGTCGAGTTGCCCGTAGTTCCTGGTCAGACCAGCACCCAGATGCCCACGCCATGCGAGAATCGTGGTTATCAAAAATTGAAAAGTATAAACCCTGCGATAACTCAACCCCAATAGGAAAAAAAATATGAGATGTTAAAAAAAAACGCCCCTAAAAACACCGTTCGCTCCTTGATTCAGGATGCATTGTACACACAAAAAGAGAGCCAACCAGGCAAGGTTGGATCCAAAGTGGTGGATTCTATCCGAGGGGTGTTGCCCCTCCTTAGCCCCCCTCCCCCTCCCGGACCATGACCCCTCGTCGGCTCGAGCCGATTTAATCCTCCCAGCTCTTCTCGACAGTCTCCCTCACTCGCTTGGTATATTCTTTCCTATTATCCTTGTAGAGGTTGGAGGCTTCGACGTTGGCAGGCGAACCAGTGTTGGGGTCATTGAGCAGGCTGCGGGATTCGTCAAAACGAAAAGGAGTCAGTATCATATCATCTAAACCGCCGGGCCCTTGCCCTCTTTCGCTCCTGGATCTCACGAACCTTTGAATGCTCGTCAATACGGCGGCGACATCGTACGTCGGGCTCCATCGGTTCTGCAGAATATCCAGACAGAGCTCACCCGTGGCGTAGACGTTGGGATGGAACATTTGGCTGATGAATTTAACCTGGGGTGGCTTGTTGGGATACTGCTCCTCAAACTGCATGACGAGTCTGAAGGTTCCGTCCTCGAAGGGGGTGTCCGCAGGACCGATAATGACGGCGTTCCTGTAGGATAGCTTGTTAGTTACGGGATCACTCGATGATCGTGATGGTTGTGATACGCACCATGTCATCACATTGTCGGGGACTGGAGAGGCGGAAACACCTGCAGGAGGATCCGTTTGCATGCGCTGGTAGTGTTGGTCAGTGAAGGATGTACTTGGAGATGATGTACGGGGTGCACGGCGACGTGAGGACGAACCTTGAAGTCGCGCATGAGACGACGTCGGGCGGCAGTCGACATGGTTGTGTCGGGTTGTTCTCTCGTGGGCTCTTGGCTTGGGAGACTAGGTCGGTTGGGTGGGAGTTGGTGAGGTGAAGCCTACTACGTTACCAGATGACTCCGGAAGGCGAGAGAAATAGATGGTGTGCTGTTCCTGAGCGCTTCAAGAATGGTATGTCGTTGTTGGGCCGTGATGATGATGCCGCCACAAGCATGGAACCCTGATGAGTCGTATCACAGAGAGGCTCGGCAATCAGTCAACCAGAACAGAGCAGCAGGGACCCACTTCCTGGAATCGAATCCAATCAGCGTATAGATTACTTCTCGGTCGTAAAATGGTAGACCGCCCCTAGACACGTGACGTAGATGATTGCGTTCCTTCCTTGTTCTCCACGTGTACGGCGATGTGCTTTATCCTATTTTTCCGGGCCTCTAGGTATTTACTGCCAGTCACAGGGGTCTCATCAGGTATCTGAGTTGGTAGAAATGGTGAGAGCCACGAATCCTGCCATTGCAGCCGACGGGCATGCTTACACATCAGATCCGAACCACAGCGTCATGGCAGTGGGACCCCCGGCCGCCGTAGCCGTACATACGTAGGTAACTCGGCACCTGACAGCGATCCTTCCCCAGTGTAGCGCGCTGTTCGTCCCCCAGAGGCTAGAGCTCTCTCTAAGCCGAAGCGGACCGAGCTACGGCGTAGGCCGTCCCAAGACGCCGCGGTCTGCAACTCTCCCCCCTCACACATCAACTCGTTCCTCATAACCGTCGCATCTGTCAGTGCAAGCTTCGGGTTCTCCTTTGGAGCTGATGACTGTCGAATTGCCTACTTCTACAAACAATCACCCCCGTTCCAGCGACCCCTTTTGATTCATCACCACCATGGTCACCACCATGGTCATGACACAGATGCGTTGTTCACCGCGGCTGGCCGGGCATCTCTCGCGACATGTGAAGACGGCTCGATGCTTCTCTACAAGCACCGCGCTACGCAAGGAGATTCAAGATGCCTACATTATCAGTGCCTCCCGAACACCGACGGCCAAGGTATACATATATATATATAAGCCTTTCCTTTTTTTTTCCCCATTGTCCCAACTACTCACTTCATATCTATCCTCTAATAAGATCCAATGGTTGAGGGCCTGTGACGTCACGCACGGCTAACTGGAAGGCCACCCAGTTCAACGGCTCCTTCTCAACAGTCGAAGCATCCAGGCTCGGGGCGGTAGCCATCAAGTCGGCGCTGGAGAAGTCCAAGGTGCCGATCGAACTCGTGACAGACGCCTACATGGGCAACGTGCTCTCGGCGTCGGTGGGCCAGGCGCCGGCGCGGCAGGCTGTGCTCTTCGCCGGCCTGCCGCAGTCGGTCGAGGCCGTGACCATCAACAAGGTGTGCGCGTCGGGGCTGAAGGCGGTCGGGCTGGCGGCGCAGAACATACAGCTGGGCGTGGCCGAGGCCCAGATCGCGGGCGGCATGGAGAACATGACGCGGGTGCCGTACTACGTGGCGCGGGCCAGCCAGCTCCCGCCGTTCGGGCACGTCAAGATGGAGGACGGCCTGATCAAGGACGGTCTGACGGACGTGTATGACCAGTTCCACATGGGCAACTGCTGCGAGAAGACGGTCAAGGAGCACGGCATCACGCGCGAGCAGCAGGACGAGTACGCCATACGATCGTACCGCAACGCGCAGGAGGCCTGGGCCCGGGGCGCCTTCGCCGACGAGGTGGCCCCCGTCACGGTCAGGGGCCGCAAGGGGGACACGGTGGTCGAGGCGGACGAGGGCTATGCCGACGTCGACTTCGACCGCGTGCCCACGCTCAAGCCGGCCTTTGTGCGCGACGGCTCCGGCTCCGTCACCGCCGCCAACTCGTCCACCCTCAACGACGGCGCCAGCGCCCTGATCCTCGGGAGCAGGGACATTGCCCGCCGCTACGGCGCCGGCTCGCGCGTCCTCGCTAGGATCTGCGGCCAGGCCGACGCCGCCATCGCCCCCGTCGACTTCCCCGTCGCCCCCGCCGTCGCCGTGCCCATCGCCCTCGAGCGCGCCGGCATCACCAAGGACCAGGTCGCCGTGTGGGAGTTCAACGAGGCCTTTGCCGGCGTCGTCCTCGCCAATCAGAAAATTCTGGGGCTGGGCGACAAGGCCGTCGTCAACCCTCTCGGCGGTGCCATCTCTCTCGGCCACGCACTCGGCAGCTCCGGGTCGCGCATCCTCACTACGCTGCTCCATCAGCTCAAGACTGGTGAGTACGGTGTTGCTGCGATCTGCAACGGCGGCGGTGCCGCCACGGCCATGGTTGTTCAACGCGTGGACTCTGTATAATGTATCTATTATACCATTCCCATAGCAGGCTCTTCTGATGACTTTTTTTTGGTACACTCAATACATGTGTATGTCGTGTGTGGATCGTGACACGTTGAAGCCTGCATTGTTGTTGTATTCCAAGTAGAACTCCGTCACGACAGGACACGAAGATGTTTTGTCTCTCGATCAATGCACCAGTATATATGGCGAATCAGAACTGACACCATCTGGCTTAAATATTCAATGGAGATAGAACGTCAAGTGGTGTATATATGTCTATATTAGTATGCACCAACACTCGCAGATGTATTGTTAATATTATCACACATCAGCCCCACATATTCCTGACCTCCCATCACCAACCTCACTCAACTCACCTTTCTCATCCCTTGACATAGTTCCTAATCTGTACAACCCCCAACCTCTCGATCCTATCCTCGATGCAAGCAGGATCACACACACATACACGCAACACTAAACACATGCACACAGGCATTCCCCACCATGTCCCTCGTGGTCCAATTCCTCACTCAGATAAACCAGCAGGTCCGCAACCAACAGGGCGACGCACTATGCTCCTGGTTGCAGGTCTCCCCCGAGTCCGGGGCGCAGTACCACCAGCTAGCCAGTGAGCTACGGACTCAGACGCAGTACGCCTCCGGCTCCCCTGGAGGTCTGGATGACGTGGTAGACAGGAATCTTCCCGAGAGTGATGACGACGACGTCGTCTCCCCCTGGTCCGGGTTCCGTTCATTCATCAAGGATTACATGGCGTTTTGGAGGGATGTCGACTACGATGACTTGGTGGCTGCTCACGACCTGTTGAATACCTTGGTCAAGTATGTTTGTCGCCGCCCGCACATTTAGTTTTTTTATCTTCTTTCATCTTCTTTCACCACGAAGAGAGAGTGTATGTTTATGAGAGAGGGGAGGGAGGGGGAGGGGGAGGGGGAGAGCATATTGCTGACCTGACCTGACGACAAAGTTCATGCGCTACTGCCCTATCCCACCCCCAGGGGGGAATGATGCTCAAGACGAGCATGTCCCTTTCCGAGACTCTGGCAGGGCTCACGATGACGCTGAGCCGACGACCAGACCTCCTCCGTCGCGCCGAGAGGGCCGCCGCCCCGGGCGACGACAGCCAAAAGTCCCTGGCCGAGAAGTCCGCCGAGACGATCCAGCGCATCTTCAAGACCTGTCTCCAGGATCGGACGACGGACCGGTACACGACACCCGGTGGGACCAAGGTGGCCGTCTACAAGTTTGCCAATCTCGTCCTCAAACTATTATTCGCCGTATGATTCCTTTTCTTTCCTTCTTTCTTCCTTCCTCTCATCACGTCTTTCCTCTCACCATCCTCCTCCTCTCTCTTCATCACGCACACTCACTCCAACGTGTCAACGTCTGACTGACCGCACAACCAACCACCCAAGTGCCGTCGCATCCAACTGGCAACGATGCTCCTGACGCAGATCGAATCCCAAGCACCCCTCCTGTCTCTGTATCCCGCCTCCCAGCGCGTGACGTACCTCTACTACCTGGGACGGTACTGGCTGAGCAACAACCACTTCGTCCGTGCCTCCCGGTGCCTGTCGGCCGCCTACGCCCAGACCCCCGCCCGCTTCGTCTCCCACCGCACCAGGATGCTCACCTACCTGATCCCGTGCAACATGCTCCTCGGCCGCTTCCCGTCCGACCGGCACCTCCTGAGCGCCCGACCCGAGGCCGCCACGCTGGGTCCCGTCTTCGGCCCGCTGTGCTCCGCCCTGAGGACCGGCGACTTCGCGTCGTACCAGCGCCTCCTCGCCGAGCGCGAGTCCTGGCTGCTGCGGAGGGGTCTCCTCCTCCCCCTGACCTACAAGCTGCGGCCCCTGCTGTGGCGCAGCCTGGCCCGTCGCGTCTTCCTCCTCACCTACGAGCCGCCCCTGGACCCGTCGTCCCGCAAGGCCGCCACCCTCGACATCACCCACCTGCAGGCCGCGGCCGAGTACCTCCAGCGTCGCATGGCCGAGACCGCCGCCGGAAAGCTTCGCCCGAACGAGGGCATGGTCTGGGGCAATCAGTCCGTCTCCTTTGACCACGTCGAGATGGTCGTCACAGAACTCGTCCAGCAGGGCCTCATGCATGGCTTCGTCGCCCACAACCAGCGTCGCTTCGCCATCATAGGCGCCAAGGCTAAAGGGCCCGTCATCGCCGGCTGGCCACCCGTTTGGCAGGCCGTTCAGGAGAGACGCTATGACGACGACTTTGACCCCAGTGATATCCCTGGTTGGGTCGGGGCTCCATAGCCGCCCACACACACGTTTTGATATGCACGTGTGCCTTTGAATTGATTTCACCTGATAGTCTGCGCGGCTATTCTATCCTAAACATGGGAGAAGTGGGAGGTTGGGAAGAGTGCTTGCACATAATATAAATTGTGGCATGGGAATGCCTTGTATATATATATTCAAGTGTAACTAGAAGTACACGAAAGTTATGTCAAGATGAAAACAAGCCCTCTGTTGAGCAATATTGTCCACTCCTCCTTTCTAACCTCCCTACACCCAAAATCTTGATGTTGGTAGGTCAATCTCGCGAGTACCTAGATGAATAAGGATAACATAAAAAGAAACCACCGCATTATATGCGCGACCGTATGGAACACATGCCGTCATTTCCAAACCAATGCTCCGTTTGTTGATAACCCGTTTGCCTCCACTGATGAAGAGGGGCGACGCAGGTGTCAAAAAGTAAATAATAATAAAAATAGAAGAGAAGAATAAAAGCTGACAGAAGAGAAGAAAAAAAAGGGTATATATGAAACAAGTCGAATAAAAATGCTTTGCTTTGTAATGCCGAACCGCCCACGCGAATGGGATGAGTACAATGGTATCTCGACGTAAAGCTGCTCTCGAATGGAAAAAGTAGAAACAGTAACCAGTCTGTAGGAAACGGTGGACCAGCAAGAAAAATAGTGTAAAAAGGGGTTTGACGTGACATCAGTCATAGAAGGTTAAAAAAAGACCAGCGTGAGATAGACGAGAACGCAAAGAGAAGATAGAGTATAAACAAAGGTAAATGGCGTTTGTCAGATGGAAAGAGAAAAACATCAGTCAGCGATTCAGTCCCCTCAAAGGAGCATGGCGGCCGAAGCAAAGGCGGCAAAGAGGCCGACAATAGCAGGGACGCCAGGCCGGTAGGCGGCACCCTCGTCGTCGCCACCCTTGTTCGACTCGGCCGAGTCGGCGGAAGCGCTGGACGTGCCGGAGGATGAGCCGGAAGAGGATGAGTCGTCAGAGTCATCAGAGGACGAAGACTCGTGGTCCGACGACTCAGTCGTGTTGCTGCTCTCGTGGAAGACACCAGGGTTGACCTTGATCAAGGGGGTAGCAGACGTCTTGGACGACGTCTTGGAAGGGGCCCAAGTCGCCGAGCTGGTGACGCTGAGCGACGAAGTCCTGGAGGCCGAGGTCGACGTCTTGGAGTAGGAGGTAGACGTGGTGGTGGGGGTGGTCGAGGTTGAGGTGGTTGAGGTGGCTGAGGTGGACGAGCTGGTGGTCGAGCTAGTGGTCGAGCTGGACGTCGTCGTCGTGGACTCCTGGCTGGTGGTCGAGGTCGAGGAAGAGCTAGTCGAGGTCGAGGAAGAGCTAGTCGAGGTGGACTCGGGAATGCTCGACGTGGAGCTGTCAGAGCTGTCGTCGTCGCCCTCGTCGCCCTCGTCACCGTCGTCGCCCTCGTCACCACCACCGGGGGTGTAGGCGATAATGTGAGCGGTGCCTCCGCTGGGGACGGTGACAACACAGAAGTCGGCACCGCCGGCACCGGTGGCGGAGAGACTAGAGTCGACGTGGCCGCCAGAAGCAGGCTCGATGGCGCAGGGGAGACCGTTGCAGCCACCGTCGGGGCACTCGATCTTGACACCAAACTTGGTCTCGGTGCTCATGAGAGACGAGGCCTCGTAGATGGGGTTCCAGCCAAGCTTGACGAAGGTGCTTCCGTCGGAGTCGGTGTTGGCGCCAGCGACGTAGGGGCTCCAGTTACCAAGAGGCTGGGACTCGTCGCCCCAGATGCAGCCCTCGACACCGACACCGGGAGGGTTGATGTAGAAGTGGGCGGCGGTGGAGCACCAGTAGCTGGGGTCGGGGACGGCAATGGTGGCCTCGTCGGTGACGAGGGTGGGGATGAGCATGGCCTCGTTGCCGGGAAGGACAGTCTGGCACCAAGACATGGCGCTGCCGGCCTTGTTGACGGCCTTGACGGCACCCGTACCGTCAACGCAGTAGGGCTTGCTGGGGAAGGGCTTGGAGACCTGGCCGCTCTTGTCGCAGTAGACGCCACCGTTCATCGAGGCCGGGTAGGTGTAGGTGGAATCGGGGTCCCACTGGGCCATGACCATGCCAGGCTTGCAGGCGTACGGGCAGTAGCTGCCAGGCTTACACGGCTGGTCGGGGCTCATGGCCCATCCAGCGTTCTCGGATTCGGGCGTGACGGCCACCAGGTTGGGGTCAGCGTCTGCGGGGAACTCGCAGGTCGAACGCGTCTCGAGCTGATCATGAGAGTACCTCTTGGCCGTGTGCACGTGCTGGTGATTGTGGCTGTGAGAGGCCTCAGCAGAGGCGGAGAGGAAGGCAAGGACCCAGCCCAGCATGGCGTGGGCATTCGCCGCCGAGATCTTCATCGTGCCGATTCTAGTGGCTGTCTGGAAGGAAAGAGTGAGTGATATAAAGAACGTGCCTAGCAGTCAAAAAAGAGCGTGTGACTTGAATGCGTGGCAGATGAAGAGTACTGGTGGTAATATAAAGCAAAGCGAATGCAGATCAAAGGCACCAAAAAACAAGGAATGATAAAGGATCGACCCGAGCAAGCGAGAAGGACAAGAAAAGAGGGCGAAGAAGAAAGAGAGTGGGAGCAAAGAGCGTGATATTATTACTCCGTCAAGGAGCGACTGTGGGTGAGGGTGAATGGGAAGGAGAGTGGAGAGTGGAGAGAAAAAGAGAGGAGAAAGAGAGGCGAGCGACAGGGTGACAGATTGAGAAGGAAGGAGCGGTTTTGTTGTTGGTGCCTTCCCTGTTGACAGCAGTACATTCATGTATTATCCTCTTTCTCTTCTACGAGCATTCTGATCAGTAATAATACCTGTATATATAAGCTGTATTATGCCGGCATTCTCTCTCCCTCTCCCTCTCCCTCTCTCTCTTCCTCTTTCCTTCTTTTCCTCTTTTATCTTTCTCTTTCCCTCTCTCTCTAGCATTCTTCCATCCATCCCATGTCCGGATCTGTCTCCATCTCATGTCTGATAAACACCAGACGAGACAGACAGGTACGGTATCTTGCCCCTTTTACTCGTGGCTGTATATGTAATATACACCAATGCACATATATATCTATATATTATATATGTGAACGACTTTACCCGTACTTACATGTATCACGCGTACCCCTACGGTGTACGGAGTACATGTACACCTAGTACTCTCACATATACTCGTAATACAGCACAAGTGCCCGACGGCCTTCTCCCATTGGGCCCATTCGACGGCTCCATCACAACGGTCCCCCTGTCATTCTCCACAATCTAGCCAATCCAGCCAATCCAGCTTCGTTATGCGAAATTACCTGCAGGCCATGCAAGGTACCGGGGACCACCGAGTTTCGTACTATTAGTTTCTTTGCTGGCAGGGGGATCCATCAGGCTGACTCCCTTCTCCTTCATGCCCTTTCCTCCTACTCTCATATACTGATATAATCTGTAATCTGTACTTGCATGTATGTGAGGAGTACCTGTGTCGCTTGCCTCTCTCTCTTCATGTCTGTCCACCCTGTGTGGCCTGTGGGCTGTAGATCAATGGGGAACCCCCCCCACTCATACAATACGCGCTTGATTACTTGTATTAATTGCTCCGTGTTACTTTCTTAATTCTTATCTACGGAGTACTTGCGCGCGTTATTACTCTTATATCGATCCCCGGTCATTGTCTGGCTCTTTACAGGTAATATCAATACATGTGTATGCATATATGCCGTGACACCAAGAGCAAGCATCCTGGGTTCCGACGAATATCTAGGCCTCGATAACCTCGCGCCTCCTTTTCGTTCCATATCCTTTACCCTATCACGTTGTTGTTTGCTGTTGTTGCTGTTGTTCATCACTCTACTTCTTCTTCTTCTCCTTGTCCTTATACCTCCAAAGATGGCAAAGAAGCTTTACGGCTCCCGTCTTTTCGTCCCCATCATCAATAGACTAGTAGTACTAGTACAGCCTTGGCGACTTCGACCCATTGACCATGCGCGAACCGCCAAGTAATCACACCATGCACCACCTCATGATACCATAGTGAACCGCTGGCCCTAGGGGCGTGCCTGAGGCCGTTTACAGAGCAATTCAAACCAGCAATCGCCCCAAATTACCAGCGATGCTCTCTCTCTTCGCCGCCCTACAATCGTCAATGCATCAGAAGGCGGGGGAGAAGGAAGAAAGGTTTGTAGAGAAAAACAATATTGCAGAGAAAGTATTGGAAAAGGAAGAGAAAAAAAAGAAAACCATTCTATGTATCTTCTCCCCCTCCCCTGCTTTCCCCTACAACCGATTGGCATTGCCATGGTAATTACGTCGCCACATCTTCGAGACCTCTCTCTCATAGGCGCGCAGAGACCTACGAGTACTAGTCTGCTACCTGTACAAGTAATATTAGCAGTAGATGTGTAATACATGTAATCAGTCTATTTACCCCCCCCCCCTAATATCTGAAGTAGGAACTTCTCTCATATAACGGCTATTCACGATCCTCTTATATGCTCTACGAGTAGGCTTACCCTTGCTCAGTATCGAGGCTGGATATTATACATGAACAGGTTACAAGCATAGGCACTATGACCAGATGAGAGTGTACGAGTAGTCTTCTTCCGAAAAATTCTGACTGGTACTATACAACCTGTCAACATCTGATACTATACATGTACGTACACTGTACGGAGTACAGATTATATCTGGCCATGATGGCTGACAAACAATCCTCATCCCGTGATTATTACTATACGACAACGACGGCAACGAGGTCCTGATATTGCATGTCCACCGTCCTCACAGCCCCTTCTCACGATGCCCGACAACCCTGGCGAACGAGTCAAACGCCATGGTGAGGCTGTGCCTCCCCGCCGTCTTGCCCCTCAGGTGCTCGTCGTACCCCAGCATCTCCTTGTACGGCACCTTGGCCACAATCTCCACCGCCCGCGCCGACGACTTCTTCCCGCGCAGCGAGGTGACCGAGTCGTAGGGGTCGTTCGGCGCGTAGATGGCGCTCACGTCGATAGTGGCGGACCCTGCCTCGCCCGCTTCGGCGCCCGCAGACCGGTCGTTGACCTCGAGGACGCTGCCGCCCGCCCCCGCCGTGATGTCGTGCTGCACGGTGCCCGCCGCGGCCTCGGGGCAGGTTATGTGCACCAGCATGACCGGCTCGAGGACGCCCACCTGCCCGCGGTCCATGGCCTGGCGCAGCGCCGCCTGCACCCCCATCCTGGCTGCGCCGCTGAAGTGTCCGCCCGTGGGGGACTCGAGGTCTGACCTGTCTAGCGTCATGGTCACGTGGCAGCCGTGAACGGGCGATGCGCGTCTGGGCCCGCGGGCCAGTCCGGCTATGGCGCCGTTGAGGAGCTGATGGCGGGCTTCTTCGACGTCGAACGACGCGGCTTGCTGCTGTTCCTGAGCCTCGGGGAGCTCGACGGTGAACAGGTTGCCGTCGCGCTCCACGATGTCGTCCTCCTCGGCCAGTAATCTCTCGTAATCCTCCGGCTCCAGGGGTTCCAAGGCGACTGTGCACGACGCCCTGCCCGGCTTACTGGCCACGGCACGGTCGAAGACGGCGTGCTGCGGGTCCGGCGCCGCCGTCAGACACTCCTTGTAGTCGACTTCTATGGGGCCGAACTCGGCGTCAATCTTGTTCTTGCGCCGCATGTTGTGCAGCGACACGTCCAGGTGCAGCTTACCCATGCCCTGGACGGTGAACTGATCCGTCTTGGGGTTGCGGCTCCACCGCAGGCTGGGGTCCTCGCGCGACGCGTTCTCCAGCGCGAGCTGGAGCTCCTGCGCCGCCACGTTGCCGAACGGGTCGACCTGCAGGAAGGCCACAGGCGGCGGGATCTCGGGCGGGCGGATCTGCATGTGCCGGAACGCCTCAGGGACCGTCTTGTTGCCCACCGTCGTGATGAGCGTGTCGCCCGTGCGCGACTGCTTCAGACCGCGGAGCGCACCGATCTGCCCCACCGCCAGGTCCTGCACTTCTTGCGTCTTCTCCGCCGAGATCTGCAGGATGCCCATGGGCCGCTCGTGTGCGTGGATGTGCGTGTTAAACGTCGAGGCGTTGCGCGTCAGCGTGCCCTGGTACACGCGCACAAAACTGATGACGCCTTCCTTGGGATGGTTGTAGACTTTGAAAACGGACGCCACCGAGCTGATCTGCGCCTTGCCACCCTTCTTGTCCTTGTCCGCCAGATATTGCGGGAGCTTGTACTTGGAGCCCGCGCCGACGCGAATTTCCACATCCGGTCGCTCGGCCGGGCTAGGCAGGTACTCGATGACGGCGTCCATCAGGGGCTCCACGCCAATGTGACGAAAACTTGAGCCGGCAAAGACGGGTATGACCCGCCCATCGCCGCTCCGTATGCACCGCCTGATGGCCTCTTTGAGCAGAGATGACGGTATATCCTTGTTCTCGGCCAGGAACTCATCCATGACTGCCTCGTCGAAGTCGGCCAGACCTTCTATCAGGCGTTGCCTGGCAACCCCGATTTCCCGCACGAGGCTGGGGTTCGACTGGGCCAGTTTCTCCTTGAGCTCGCCGGGGCCGAAGCGCACCTTCTCCCTCTCCGACTTCCACCGGTAGCCCACCTGGTCGATGACGTCGATCACCCCGACAAAGTCATCCTTCTCCCACCAGGGGATCTGACACACCAGCGGCCACCCCTTGAGACGGCTGCCAATCTCGAGGACAGACTTCCTGAAAGAGGCGCCCTCGCGGTCGAGTTTGTTGCAGTAAATGATGCGCGGGATCCGAAACTCCTGGGCAGACGACCACACGCGTTCCGTGTGCGCCTCGACACCCTTGACCGAGTCGATGATGCACACGGCTCCGTCCAAGATGGGCAGGCACCTGTCCACCTCGAACCTGAAGTCCTGGTGGCCCGGTGTGTCAATCAGGTTTACCGTCTTAGGGTGTGCACCCTCGGGACAGTCTTGCTGCCGCGGCCAGGGAAAGGTGATGGCTGCTGACTGGATGGTGATGCCTCGCTCTCGCTCCAACTCGAGAAAGTCGGTCACCGTGTTGCCGGAATCGACATCTGGTATTTCAACCATCAGTTTTGCCCACGAATTGTTTATGTAAGGATCAAGGGAGATGATGTAACCCACCTCCCACTCTTTGTGTCATGCCACTGTAGTAGAGCATCCGTTCCGTAGTAGTTGTTTTCCCCTGAGTTAGGGGGAAAGGATGTTGGTCAGCTAGCTCTTCATGCCACACATGGGGGAAATCTTTGGTTTTGTATAGGAGGGATTACATACAGCATCTACATGCGCGATGATACCTATGTTCCGCGTGTTCTGCAGCTGAGAGTTCTGAGACGCGCTGTGAGTTTGACTGTAAAATCTCGTGAGGACCACGACTGTCATCGATTTCCGGCCTGCTGAGCAGCGCAGCGGCGGGAAGCAGCCACGATGGGCCGCGGCCTGTCGGAGCATGGTCGAAGTCGTCCGGATGGTATTTAACAGAATTTATACATTTTGAGCGTTCTAACAAAAAACCGGGTGTGCCAGTGGCCGCTGCAGACAGCTTTCCCAGTACTTGTCACGATTGAAGCTGCCAGGTGAGTGAAGTTGAGAAAGAAAACGTGGCTAGTGAAGAGTTGTGACGCAAGTGGCTCAGCCTTCCCAGGGGAAGGGAGAAGAAGACCAGAAACTGTGGCTGATTTGTTCTCCCTGCGTGTACAGATTTATACGGATACATGTACATGTATTAGTAGCCATGCAGTCTTGGCTCTTTCCACGTCAAGTGTACTCGTATCTTGTTGTCTCTCCATTTCATTTCCTTCGCCCTCTCTTGCTACCGTTTTGATCTCCTTCGCCCCGTCATGTGAAAGGCTTCTCGACCTCAACAGTGTCTTCAACTTTGGCCAGTATCAAGTATCAACGCGAATGTTACGACAGGGGGACGACTAGCCGCCGACATGAATGAGACTTATCTCGCACATGAGTAGCCTTAGGGTAGCTAGACGCACGAGCCGTGATTACTTCTAGACCACGTATTACTTACTTACTGCTCTAAAATGTCCCTTTTCAAGCAGCTATTACTAGGTGTGTCTGGTAGCAAGGAGCGATTACGTACATAGACATGTTTATATTCGATACTGATCCTTAGCGAAAAGAGTAAGAATCTACAACAAGCCAAGAACAAAATCTGCTTGCCTCTCTATACGGACTTCTTCCTCACATCTAAGACCCAGCCTCAGATTGCAACGAAAAAGGGAGGAAAAGAAACGCCTGTCAGACGTCCATCGATACCCGCCCCGTCCGCGCGCCCGAGGGCAGACCGCAGACGGGGTCGAGATCATCAAGTGAAGCTGCGAGAACAGCCACGTAAAACCACATCTATACAGCGAGAGCCGCTCCCGTGAGGAAGGTGGGCAGACACCGCCATCCTTGCGGACAGAACGAGAGGACCAGGATTTTTCACTCTAGGGTATCGAGGATGTGCACTCATCAACCAGGGTGGATTCTGTGGCTCTTTTAGGGAACCAAGAGAGGGTCAAATACTATAGAAATGATTCTCCTGCGATTCTGTTAGTATTAAGGGAGATATCGCAACACCGCTGCTTTGTGTGTGTGTGTGTGTGTGTGTGTATGAAATAGGTGGGGGTTTAACATACTGAAGTATTGTCGACGTGAAGAAGAAAAGAAGAAAAATTCAAAGGGAAGGGAGGGGAGACGGCCTTTTATACATTCCTGAGGGGCAACTCTCCGCCTTGGCGGCAGGTTTTTTATTCAATTTTTTTTTTACTGTCAAACGTTCGTTGCCTGAGGTTCTTTTGAACGCGACAATCCACAAGCAATCACATCGTCTCCATATTAACAGTGAGAAGAAGATGGATCTTTGACTGCCTTGAACCGAGTCCCTGGCCAATGCGGCAGGTTCGATACGTTCTCCTTTTTTCTTCTTAAACATGACATCAAGTGAGCCTACCCAGATTTCGTTCCCGTCCGCCCTTTCTGACAATCTAGCAGCGGCCTCGTAACATGCATGCATGAATATGGCCACGTACGGCCGACTTCGTCAGCAAGTACGCAGTAGACATGTTAGTTGTGGGACTCCGTACGTGTCCGAATACTAGTCATGGGTGCATCGCGATGATACTGCTCCGAGAAAAGAGAAGGATTCCCTTTGGGATCCCAGGTCTCAGACAGCTGATGGCTTGGTATACTACACATCAAGTGAAGTCGCTTATAGGCCTCCCGGCGCTGTTGAGCTCTGCAGTTTCCAGATTTTCATTGCTCCAGATACGGTCGGTCCAACGTCGGAAAACTGTCAGAGTTTCTGCCCGTGTTCTACAGAGCACCGTGTATGTATTTATCCTCTTCATTAAGATAGTATTCAGAAGATGGAAGCTGGAATATACTCGTCGTACTACTCCGTACTTACTTGTAGTAATAATACGTAGAGGTTGGGTGGATTACTGACCCAAACTACCGCACGTGACTGAAATGTAGAGGCATCAGAGAGCTGCATCCGTCAGCGTCACAGACGCATTCCAATCAATCCACCTACCTGTACTCCGTACACCCACCGTACAGGTATTATTATTACGTTGCAGCTTGCTTCAAGTCTTCTCAACCATCTTCTTCCCACTACGCCGCGTCATCACCAGACACTACCACCCCGAATAGCTGCCTGGATTTTGATACGCTTCATATTTGCGACATAATCTCATTTTGTTTTTCTCTCTCTTTCTCTCTTTCCTCCGTCGTCGAACGCCCGTGAAATGGAACTCTCCGACATCTTGTATGCACGATCAAAGACGAATCCTTTTTTTGGGGGGGTATTGCGCCCTGATTCTTGGGACAACCGTTACTGACACCTTTTCTCTCATCTTCTAACAGCCGCATCGTCAACTTGGCCGTTGGTGCCATTACCGTTCTCGGTGGTATCGCGTCCATCTTTGGACTCTCGCTGTAAGCTACACATACATTCACTACTCCCTTGCTCCCCCCCCCAGTGTGCCCCCCTCCCCCTGAGTGGTGACGCAGCTTCGAAATGATATAGCACATTACTGACTCCTGAGATGATACCAGTTCTGCCATCATCGTCGGTGCCTACCTGATCATATTTGGTCTCTGCATTGCCCTCCTCGGTATGTCGTCGACGCGTCCTTACATGGAGACGAAGAATAATTGCTAGGGTCGAGTGCTGACACCCTTTGCTTTGCCCCTTACAGAGTTCCAGATTCCTCCCCAGGTTTCGCGCTACGCTTCCTTCCTCTTCTCCTTTGTTGGACGAGGTGCCTGTGAGTACTGTTCGACGAGCTATGCGACGAGATGATTCCCTCCCTGCAGTGCAGATGGCTGATCTATGTATTACTACCAGTCTACATCTTTGTCGGCTGCCTGATTATAGGCGACAAGACCCTCAGCCAGATTGCCGGTGGAATCGTCGGCATCACCGGCGTCGGATACGTTGCCCTCGAGTTCATCCCTGCCATCGAGCCCCCGGCCAACATGCGCGAGGCCGACGCTGGCTGGGGAGCCGAGCAGGTCTAAGCTCATCTTCCCCTCCTCGGGGTGCATCGATCTTGACAAGCGATGACGACGACTCGAACCGAGAAACGGAAACGAATATACAAGAAAAAAAACCATTGATGCGTCCCTGGTGAAGAGGGTTCGGTTTCTGAGCTGAATACGTTGGTCTACGGCACAATGCCGATAGAAAAAAGAAAAGAAAAGCAAACCAACAATCACACGTTAAACTTGTAACGCTGGCATGCTATTTACGGGGGATACGGTTAGGATTTCCCGTGGGGCAGAGTCCAACATGTACCATTTTCTGTGTCTCTTTCTTGCTAGTCCAAGCATGTAACGAGTATTGTAGTGAATACGCCAAAATAGTAAAGGCATTTGGGGACTGTACGCGGATGACGTGGGTGTCATGGGTGTCTGGATTCAATGTCGAGCATGTGATGTGTCTACTCTGTTTGCTCTTGATATAATTATAGACATGGCCGAGTGTACTACGTACAGGTGAAGCATTTGTGTGTTGAAAGGTTCCAACCAAGAGAATTGAATTCATCGTCTGCCCAGGTAAGGAAAGGCCCCTGGGATCATCTCCAATAACTAAATAATAATACATACATACCGAAAGTGTCGTCATTGAGCCAGAGTGCGCTGATGACCGTAACAGGACAGCAGGACCACACACCACCTACCTCTCCGCTCCAACACTGCCAATCACCCAAGGCATTAAATAATATATTTACCTTGCACATGATCACCAACTCTTCCGCCTCCGCCTTCCCCCCCTTTTCTCTCTTTACCATACTCACTCCCGAACGCACTTTTCTCTAGTCAAGATACCATCACCATGGGTCGACGGCTACCGTGGAAGCAAGACTCGGATGACGATGACGGTTCTCTACCGCCGCTGCTGAGATCCCGAGACTCTGACAGAAATAGTGCCGGTCCGACTCCAAGGAGGAAGAGGAAGCTCACGGCTCCTGCGCATCATGCCCGACCACCATCTTGTATGTGATGCTATTCTCCCCGAACCAACCTTGAGGGAACTCTGGTCAGCAAATATGCCATGATTCTATATAATAATGCATCAAAAGCATCGACGACCCGCAGCTCATCTACATCCCCACCACATTCACCACCAAAGGAAGAGTAAGACTTTTTTTTTCTTCTCCCTTCCTTTTTCTTTCTGTTCTTTTCCCTCCTTCCTGGCCCAACCCCGCTCACAAACTCTCCACACAAGGTTCATGAGGATCAAGGACGACGCATACCGCATGGTAGAGGACGAGCTCCTCCTCACAGCTCATCACTTCACCGCCCACCTTCACAGGGCAGAGTGTCAGCGTCTCAGGGGTCTGGCAAAGTCCCGCGGTGCCGCTGCCATGCACGCCCTAGAGAGTTCTGCCGTCATGGAACTAGGACCGCAGCAGCGGCAACCTACCGCCATGCAGATCCGTCGTGGCGGGACGTCGGGCGGGCTGCGCAACCTCCTAGAGAGTCCTGCGAAGGATGAGACGTCCATCATGCCGTATTCAACTACTCGTACGTTGCCCGCGACCAGGGCTACAGGAGTGTCCCACCACCACCACCATCATCATCATCATCATCCTGGGGGGACCGGCACAAATATCATCCATCGTGATGGTGATGATGATGATGGCGACGTAGAGGTTGTGGCTGCCACGCCGAGGAATACTACACCGGATAGTACCAGATCACGACACGTCGGCAATTCAGCTGATAGATCGGCAACAAGGCGACTTGACCCTTTGAGGCCATGCAACACCCCCACCACCACCACTTCCACTACTAACAAGGTGAGCGATGATGACGACGACGACGACGACGACGATTTATTCGGAATCAAGAAGCGTAGGCTACGACGGGAGAAATCACGAGAACGGATACACAAGACTTCTACGATAGGAAACAAATCATCATCTGATTCCATGCCAACATTTCTATAAAGATGAGGGGGAAAAAAAAGAACCATAACCCATGTAACTAAATATGATAAGGAAAAAATGGAGAAGAAAGAAGTTCCGTGAAAATGCAACCAAAGAAAAAAATCATAAAATCATTCCATTCTCTTGTTTTTCTTTTTGAACAAACACCCGTTAAAGTTTTCCCCTTTTTTTTTTCTTCCAAATATCTGAAAAAAATTGCTTCACTCTTTTGACTGAGGTAGGTTGAGTAGGTGTGGGTGTGAAAAAAAAAAAAAAACACTATTGCGGCGCATCGGCGACGCGCAGCTCATCAAAGTCATCGAGGAGTTCCTCCATGTTGACGTGGGGAACTGCCTCGTCCTCCTCGTCGTCAGCGTCAGCCATGCTCATCTCCTCCTGCTCGCGCTGCTTCTTGTACAGGGCCATGGTGGCGCGGAGCTCCTCGTCCTCCTCAACGTCCTGGAGGAAGAGCTCGTACTCGCGGTCCATGCGGTCCTGGTCGGCCTTCTTGGGGAGCAGGTCGCCCTCCTCCTTGTCCATGCGCTTGAGCTTCCAGTTGCGGTGGCGGTTCTTGCGGCGGCGCGGGAAGTGCCTCTTGACGAGGACGACGTCGGGGATGGAGGATGAGTAGGTGTCGGACTGCTCGAGGGCCTCGAACTCGGCGTTGTTGAAGTTTGTGCCGCTGAGGAGGTAGCCCATGACCGGGTCACCGGGCTGCAGGAGGCCGGCCAAGTGGGTACGGACGAAATAGGTGGTGTCGTTGCTGCCCAGGTCCGAGGCCTTGGCGACGGTGGCCTCGCCTAGCTTCCACTTGCCGCGCTGCTGGCCGGTGAGCTCGACGTCCATGACGATGAACTCGACGAGTTCGGGGGCGTCGGTGAGCGAGGTGAAGGGGGCGCGCCAGTAGACGGCGGAGCTGATGTCGGCCGTCTGGAGGGTCTGGGGGTCCATGAGGCAGACCGACGTGCCGATGCGGTAGCAGAGCAGCAGCGGCGCGATGTTACCTGACTGCTTGGCCACCTTGATGGGCAGGGCGACCAGGTCGTCCTTGCAGACGGGAACGATCTCGGCCGAGTATGTGAACTTGTAGGAGCGCTTGGACGTGTGCGTGTCGAGCGAGATGAGCTCCTGCGACTGCTTGACCTTGATGGGCACCACCGAGTTGAGGAAGTCGAGGAACTTCTCGGCCTGGTTCTTGGCGCTGAAGAAGAAATCAACACCGTCCTTGGCCTCCTTGATGTTGAGCGTCTCACGGTGCGCCGCGTGCTTGAGGATCAGCTGCTCCAGGTACAGGAACGTGCGCTTGTGCAGCACCTTCTGCCGCACCTGCACCGACGCCTGCCAGTGCGCCGGCGTGTACGACTTGGCGCACTCGCGGCACTGCTGGGTGTGCACCACGAACACCACCTCGAAGCTCTGCTGCAGAAGCATTCCATCCTGCACCGAGTCCTGGATTGTGAGCTTGATCTTTATCCTGCGCGAGTGCGGCTCCGTCCAGATGAAGCTGGCGTCGATGATCCGCACTTTGTTCAGCCCCCTCAGCTTCTTGAGGCACAGTGCCAGCAGCTCCCTAGACTCCGGGAGAGCCGTAACCCACGTCGCCGGCGGAAGCAGCCATCGGTCGCAGTCTTTGCAGAAGTGGATTGTCGCCTCGCGCTGCACGCCCTTGGAAATGTCCACGGTCAGCTTGATGCAGTCGTAGCAGAGTGCACCGGCCGCCGTTGTTCCGTCAATGGGGGCACCGCAGTTGCAGCAGAGAATCCTGTTTTGGTCCAACCCATCTCATGTCAGTTCATGGGTTGTATAGTAAACACATAGAGACAAAATGGGTATTTATGTGTGTGTGCGTGTGTGGAAGGGGGGGGGGGGGGGGTAAAGAATAAAGAGGGGTCCTCTGGACTGTGTAAAACTCACGTTGCACCCGACTGCTGGGTAGCAGCCGTCATGGGCACGGGCGCATCGTCAATGTCCATGGACATTTTGACGGTCCAGATGTGTATTTCCCTTTTTCTCTTCTTCTTGCGTCTTTTGTTGAAAATGAACAACCAAAGAAAAAAGTTGATGGTTGATGGGTGACCAGGATGTGGTGATGACTGATGTAGAGTCAAAGACACAAGAAATTATTTTGCCCCGCCGCTTATCAAGCGAGACAAAAATCTTATCGGACGGGTCCCTTTATATGCTTTTTTTTTTTTTTCGCCCAGTCCCCCCCGTTCGGCTAAGAACTTGTATAATATGCATGTAACGGGATTTGTCTTTCGAACAATGCCACCCTTTTGGTAATATCATGATGTATGCTGGTGCTTGTAATCGTGATTGCAGTATCGGCAGTAATGATTATTTTTATTTTCCGAAAGATCTATAAAGACAAGATAAACTGAACAGGCTAGAAGATTTTACTCAGAATCCTAGTGACATGCTCCGGCCGTGCATCACCATCACGTCCCTTCTTTGCCAGAGGAATCTGCTTAAACGACCTGGTGAGTCCGGCAGCACCACCACTCGCAGACTTCCCACCGTCTGCGGCAGCCAGGACAGGCTCGGAGGCAGACGCAGGCGCAGGTCCATCCTGGTCCTCCGGCTTCCTCTTCTTGGCCCTGGCCTTGGCCTCCATGCCGTCCAGCATCTTGGCCTTCTCAATGTTCCTGACAAACTCCTTGTTCTCCTTGGAGGACTTGCTGATCTCAGCGCGCATGCGGCTGGTCCGCTCGGCGTTCTCGGCCGAGATCTGCTCGGTCAGGTTGTGCCACTTGAAGCCCCGGAGGTAGAGCAGGTTCCAGATGTCGTCGTGATAGTAGTTTCCCTTCTTGCCGCCGATGTTCTGGGCGTTGAGCAGCTCGCAGACGGCCTTGGCATCCTTCTTGCGCACGAATTCGACCCAGCCCTCGGTGTAGAGGCGCTTCTTGTTGCCGCCGGACCGCACGCGGCGCGCGTGCGATGTCGGGTCCTCGGGCGCTAGGAATATGCGGTTGATGCGGCCGAAGCGCTCGAGCAGGGACCGCAGCTTGACCGGCTTCATGAACGGCGGCACGCGCGACATGTACACAACCCCGGACTTCTTGATGGCCGACTCCGTCACCACCAAGTTTTTCCTCAGCGGGTTGCCGCCGCTCGTTATGTCCGGGAGGTCATCCGCGGCTGCCCGTCGCTCCTTGCTGGCTTTCGTCTTGCCCTTGGACGATGAGGGGTCATCCTCAGGTGTTCCGTCATTGTCGGCTTCGTCATCTTCGTCGTCGTCGTCGTCTTGCACTGGTCCGTCATGGCTGTCTGAGAGCCCGGCTTCGCTTCCTTCATCCGACTGGTCCACCTTGCGCCTCTTGGTGCTACGGCCACCCTTCTTCAGGTCGTCGTCGGAGTCGTAGTTCGGCACGTCATCTTCGCTGTCGGAAGCTTCAAGAAACTCGTTTCGCTTTTGGGGAGGCATGATGGCTGTGTGCGTGCGTGTGTGTACGTGTGTGTGTACGGTGTGGACGTCGATTCATCGATGCACGAAGTAAAACGGCCATGTTCTGTCCAGCCAGAGGGAAGGAAAGGAAAAGAAGGGAATAAAAAGTTGAGTCCTGCACCGATAAGCCGATAAGGCTGTAAACCATAATGGTACGGGGTTATGCAGCTATAGAGGAGATGGCTCTATGGTACATGTATATGTACGTCGCTACTCGTATTATCGCATGATGGTGGGGTCAGCCACCTACAGACTCAAGACATCTATATATATGGCTCTGTGGCTTGATATATGACGAAGCATGGGATTACCCTAGGCAGAATTCTGGGAGGAGCTTCTAGGAGGAACCCCGGGAGGATATACTACCCTATTGGGAAAAATTTCCACCTTTTTTTGGGAGGGGAAAGGGGGGTATATGACCATGATGATGCTATCTTTTTTCAGTAACGGCTAACATTACCGTTATCGGCTCTAGTAGAGCGTGGGAGGAAAAAAAAAGTTGCGAGTAAAGCGAGTTACGTCCGTAGCTCATAGTATTCCGGCGGGGCAATGGCATTGGCGGGCAAAGCAGATACGTGGGGCATTTCTGGTGATACGACTCGGACACACGACAAGTTATGGAGTATTAATAGACCATTCTATTATGTACTACTATCTCTTACCTCTACTACTGCTAGGCATATCATTCTAGTCGGTACTATTTCTCTACTACTACTACTACTACTACTGTTATATTTCTTTCCCCTCCTCCTCGCCCTCCTCCTCGTCCACCTACCCCTTCCCCGCCTCCATAAGCCGACACGGAGCAGGACGACCCAACATGTCTGTCGAAGTCATCAAGACCATCTCCCCCACGACCAACGAAGTCGTTGTGACTCGCAATGGTGTGACCGAGTCGGAGCTGGAGCAGATCCCCGAGACGGCCACCAAGGCCTTCCAGACGTACCGCATGACCCCTCTCTCGGAGAGGAAGGCCATCGTCAAGAAGTTTCTCGACATCCTGTCCAGCCACCAGGATGAGCTCGCCAAGGAGATTACGGAGCAGATCGGTCGACCCATCGCCTTTGGCGCCAAGGAGGTGGCCACGGCCGTCAAGCGAGGCGAGTACCTCCTCAAGATCAGCGACGAGGTGCTCAAGGATGTCGACGGCGAGCCCGAGAAGGGGTTCAAGCGTTTCATCCGTCGCGTGCCCGTCGGACCCGTGCTCATCATCTTTCCGTGGAATGTGAGTTTCTTCTTCTTCTTCTTCTTCTTCTTCTTTGTTCTCTCTCCCTCCCTCTCTCTCTCTCTCTCTTTTCTTCTTTCCCCTTCTTTTTCTTTTTACTCTTTACTTCTTCTTTCCTTGTTCATATGTCTTTCTTCTCTCGTGTCACCACCCGCAATACCACGCCAAGTCGACTCTGACCAGATTCTGCCTTACCAGTACCCCTACCTCACGCTGGTCAACTCTCTCGTTCCGGCTATCCTGGCGGGCAACAGCGTGATCCTGAAGCCGTCACCGCAGACGCCGACGGTGGCGGAGCACGTGACGCAGTACTTCGCCGAGGCGGGGATCCCGCAGGGCGTGGTGCAGTACTTTCACTGCGGGTCGCCGACCGTTCTCGAGACGATCGTGCGCAATCCCAAGATCGCGCTGATCTGCTTCACGGGGTCGGTGCCGGCGGGCCTGGCGGTGCAGAAGGCGGCGTCGGACCGGCTGGTGGGTGTGGGCCTCGAGCTGGGCGGCAAGGACCCGGCGTACGTGAGGTCGGACGTGGACCTGGCGTGGGCGGCGGACGAGATCGTCGACGGCGCCATCTTCAACTCGGGCCAGAGCTGCTGCTCCATCGAGAGGGTGTACGTCGACGGCAGCGTGCACGACGCCTTCGTGGCCGAGGTGCAGAAGGTGCTGTCGGGCTACAGGCTGGGCGACCCGTCGGACAGGTCGACGCACGTCGGGCCCGTCATCTCGGTGCGGTCCAAGGAGACGATCGAGTCTCACATCCGCGACGCGCTCGACAAGGGCGCCAAGGACAGCACCCCCGCCGACAACGAGACGTTCGCCAACCCGCCCGCGCGCGGCAACTTTGTCAAGCCCACGCTGCTCACCGGCGTGGACCACTCGATGCGCGTCATGACGGAGGAGACGTTCGGCCCCGTCGTGGCCGTCATGAAGGTCAACGGAGACGACGAGGCCGTCAGGGCCATGAACGACAGCGAGTTCGGCCTCACCGCCAGCATCTGGACCAAGGATACCGACAGGGCGTACGAGCTGGCCGAGCAGGTCGACGCCGGAACCGTCTTTGTCAACCGATGCGACTATCCCAGCCCGGTACGTTCTTCTTCTTCTTTCTTCTTCTCCGGTTTCCCCCCCTCTTCTTTCTCCTCTATCCTCCGTCTTCTTATTTTCCTGCCCTCTCACTGCCTCGAAGAGGGTGTCCAAGGTCAACGCGTTTACCGCTCGACGCGGTTCTGGTCTGCTATTGCTATTAATATATCGGGCGGAAGCTGACTGTTTTGGACTAAATTGTCCACTGTCTCACTCAGGATCTCGCGTGGATTGGCTACAAGAACTCGGGCAAGGGCCAGACGCTCGGACGGTACGGTTTCGATCAGTTTGTCAAGTCCAAGAGCTTCCACCTCAAGAATTATCCTAAATAAGGCTACCGATGGCAGTAGTCTGTAGATAAGTTCATGCTAGAATCGAGGGTGCCAACTCCAGAGAGAGGAAAGGGTGGGGGGCATTCAATCAGATGTACGTACCTGAGTAGATCTGTACTCGTGATGGATATCACATGTTGTGGAGGAAACAAGGAGGCGGGGCAGGAAGAAGAAGAGAAGAGAGGGAGAAGAGGAAGGAGAGGAGAAAGGAAGACAGATTGAAATTTCCTTTCCGTGGCACATCTGGCCGTGTTCCACTATTCAAACCTGCCTGCTTGCTTGTCTGTCTTTCTGCCTGCCTGCCTGTCTGGTGAGGTTCTATCGAATAGGTCAACTGAGACTACTGATCGGCGCCCTGTGGATGGCTGATTGAAGATGTCGTGAGGGCGAGTACGGAGTGAATGGTGGTGAGTATCCTTCATACCAACAAGTAACGACGGGAGATTGTAGCAGTAGAGAGAGAGGGGGAGAGAGAGAGAGAGAGAGTATGATGGGGTACCTACATAGAGTACCGACACTTTCTGTAGTGGAAATACCCTCTCTCCCTCTCCCTGCATCTAGACCCGGGGGAGGTTTTGCCACAGCAAGGCGTGAATGCTACGAACCGCGCGTGAAAGGGGGCATCGGATAGATGATGGGGGGAGAGGGCCATCCATGATTGACATGAGATAATTAATATGTGCCACTTCACTGCAGCTACCTGTACTGAACTCGGACACTATTTATTGCCGTCAGCATTTCTTCACGGATCCTGTCTCGTACGATAAAACAAGACAAGACACCAGACCCGAAAGGCACAGACAACACACACTTTCTCTCGTGTTGTCTCTGATGCAAGGGAGAAGAGACAGACCGGGGGGGGGGGAAGGGACCAAAGCTTTGTAGGTTCAACTATCAACTATGGCTAGTAATAAAAAAGAAACAATAAGAAGTAAATAAGTAAATAATAATAGTAGTAATAGTTCTAAGAGTATTAGTATTCATACATCCATTCAGGTACTGACAAGAAAGAGCGATGATGGAAAATGGAGGGGAAAAAAAGGAAAGAGAAACTATTGTTCCCCATCATCCCTTCCTCTCCTCTCCTTCTCCTCCTCCTCCTCCTCCTCCTCCTCCTCCTCCTCCTCCTCCCCCTCCTCTTCTTCTTCTCCTTCTTCTTCTTTCCTTTTTTCTCCCCTCCCGTATGGAATGCAAAAACTCTTTCTATCTGCATTCCATGTAAACCCTGCCTGTCCCCACCGAAGAAAACGGCCGATATTACAACATTCCTTACCTTTTTTTCCCTTCTCTTTGCTTCCTTTGGGCCACCGACCCTCACCGAATCCGGTCAAGCATTTTCCTTCTCTCCTCTTCTCGCCCTTGCTGAGTGGGAAGGATTAAGGATTCCGGTCCCATGATAATAAAAGAGAGAGAGAGAGAACCCTTTTTCTGTTTGCACCTGGCTTGACTAGTTTCAATCATCATTCTCCTTCCTCCCACAGCCACTCCTTTTATACACAGACCAGTATTACGCCGTTTCACTCTTTACGCGTGCGATCAGCAACAACAGCATATTCAGCATATTCACTCTCACACAAACATAACACACACTCTTACACGCACACGCACACACACATTCCCTCTCCCTCTCTCTCTCTCTCTCTCTCTCTCCAGTTTGATTTGATCTGGAGCAAACGGAATGTTTACGAAACAACAATTTGTTTGAAAACGGTTTCGTTCATCCAAGGACCTCGTCATTATATATATATATACATCCTGCCTCTCTTTCCATGCTCTTGCCCCCCCTCCTCCTCCCCCATCATCGACATTGACAACATCAACAACAACACTCGACTCTCTACCGACAAAATAGAACTTGTAGATCAATTTTCTTTTTTTTCTGCTCTTCTTATATCACCTTCATCTTACCCTCCCCCATTTGCTCTCGAATCGAACTCGAACCGGACCCTTTTTGAATAGATCATCCGTGAGGAAAACATCGACAACATCGACAACAACGACATCTGGAAAAAAAAATGTCGTCCAAGTACAACGTCAAGATGCTGTGCTCCCGTGTGCAGACCATCCTTCTCCGTCGTCGCAAGCAGCAAAAGATTTCTTCTCTAGAGATTGTACGTCTCTTTCCACCCTCTCCTGTTTGACAAACAACCCCCCCCCCCCTCTTTCCCCTTTCCCCTTTCCGTACTACAAAACACCTCCCCTCTTTGTGTGTGTGTGGTCATCCTACTTTCATAATCATCAAGAGCTGACATTGTCCTCAGTCCGCCCCCTTCAACCTCACTCGCGAACCAGTCATCCTCCCTGGAATCTCAGAAGACGAGTCAGTATAATCCATTCATCACCGTCATGGACCCAAGAAGAAAAAAAAAGACGAAAGAAAAGAAGCAGAGACTGACTTGATCCTCAACAGACTCTGTATCCTTCGCGAAAAGGCTGCTGCTAGCTGCATCGGCGTCGTCGAGACAATGGTCCCTCGATCCCCATCGTTCGCTTCCTTCACCACCGCCACGACTGGTGCCCCCCCGACGTCGACAGTCTTTTCAACCAGAGCCGTTTCGGCCGCTTATTAGATGGTCCCGTCTATCTCTTCCTGAACTCTCTTACCCTTCTTTCGAAGTACCGAATCTCTCTGAGTGTCAACTCTCCATCTGAGTCTCTACCCCCATAGGAGAGAACGGGATACGTCTACTCAACATGGAAGAATTGAGAATTGGCTGGGCTTCTTCTCTCTTCTTCTCTTTCCAACAACGACTTTTTTTTTTTTGTTCCATCACTTTCAGACCCCCCCCGTTATACATGACCCAAATATTTTCCTTCTTCCCTCTCCTGTCGTTCCTTTGATTCCGCGCACACACACACACACACACACACACATACGCTACAGTACAATATACCCCAACTTAATAGCTCTTCCATAAAACACGCCACCAGAAAAAAAAAGGCAGCGCTTTGATCTTTATTGTTTTCACCAGATAGCCACGCTCACCTTATTCCTCTTTTGTTTTTCTTTTGATTAAAGAATAAGAGAGAGAGAAACTCAATCTACTAGACATGTCAAATCTATCATGTAAAGTTAAACAGGAAAAAAAAGATAAAAAAAAATAAATCACAGCCATCCGGCATAAACATCCAGTTCCTCCTTCCTCACACCCTCCACCTCACCTTTGACCTTGAGAAGCTTGACCTTGGAATCATCATGATCACGCGACCATCCATCCAGGAAGTCGTCGACACGCTTCTTCGTCGCCTCATCATCTCTCATCAGCAGAGCCAGGGCGTCATACCCCCCGGCGCCGGGGACCACCCCGCCGTACACGCCGTCCACCCCGCCCAGGGCATCGAGCAGCCTCGTCTGGCTCTCCGGCTCGATGGGCACGCCGCTCCGGGCGCCCATGTCGCGGACCAGCCTCCGAACAGCCTCCAGCTTCTGGGAGAGCACCCCGGCCACCTGCTCCTCGCCCCTGTCTCCGCCATCGCGCAGGGCGGCGGCGAGGTCCTCGTTGCGGGTCTGCAGTTCACCCCACAGCCTGGCCGAGGCGTCGGGTTCGTGACCCCTCCACGTGAGGACCTTCTTCACCATGCCGACCGTCTGGCTGCCGCAGTCGACGTCGCACATGCGCAGGACCACACCCGGTGGCAGCCGCACGTCCCCACCCGCCACTTCGACGTCCCAGACGTCGCCGGCCGCGTCGTCCACCACGGCCGCCAGCCTCTCCGCGAAGCCGGGGCTGCCGGCCTCGGGCACCGCCGACAGCACGTCCGGCGAGAACCGCCTGTACAGGCAGGACCCGTACACGGCCGCCGCGACGTCGAACCCCGACCCCACCTTGCCCTGGGCCGCGCAGTGCGCCGCCTGCGCGAGGTTGTGCAGCGTGCGGCGGCCCCGGTCCGTATCCAGGTCCAAGGTCAGGTAGTAGGACAGCAGGGACGCCGTCAGGGACGTCACCAGCGCCGCCGACGATCCCAGCCCCGTCTTGTGCGCGCCGCTGAGGGGGACGCCAAAGCTGACGAAGCGCTCACCCTTGGACGTCGTGGCGGTCCCGGGATTGGAGTAGTAGTCGTCGTCTGCGAGGATGGTCACCTTGGCTGGGGACATGTCCTTCTTGCCGACGTGGTGGATGTAGCTGAGGGCGTAGGACAGAGTGGTCTCTACAAATGGGTTGGCTTTGAGTTCAGGACCGCTATTGAAAGCGTCAGCCATTCTTTTCCTTCTCTCCCTATCTCCCTCTCTCTTCAATCTTGCCACGTTTCTGTTCCTTTGCCCCGTGAAGATGTGAAGGAAGAAAAGAAAAAAAAAGGTAGAACCTACACCTGAAGCTGTGTAACCTTGACACCATCCGTCGAAGCCCGATAGCCATACCGCCACTGCGCATCCACAAACTGCGGGCTCTCGACGACAATCTCGTTCAGCTCCACGCCCTCGATCGTGGGAATGTGCGACGTGACCACGTTGATCCGAGCGCTCAGCCCGAATACAAGGCCGGTGTGCTTCCTGTCTAGGACGAGGTAGCCTCCTGCCAGGAGGACTTTGCCCGGGGCGGATGTTGCGACTGTGCTGGGGGGCATTTCGATGTTCTGTCAGCGGGGCCTTATTTTTTTTTCTTGTCTAGCAGATGCCAAAATAATACTCGAAAAGGTACACAGGATGTCTCGTTCTTCTGCAATGAGTGTGCATCGTATGAATGAATCTCAGGGCATCATCGTATGAGGAGCAAAAAGCTAGTGGGGGGTTAGAGTCCACACTGGACGCGGGGCATACAGTGCTATTGGACAGTAAACTATAGTATATGGCACAGTACATATACCAGCACACATGCACAGATTAGCTTGGCCATCTTATGGCGTACAACTTCTCGCCGAAAACCTCACTTTTGGAGGTACCAAAGTGCAGCATCCAACAATATTCAAGTAGTAAGCATTTATATAAGCAGCATGAATCCGCCATTGAACCAGTTCCTCATGATTACCCCCCACCAAGTTGAACTCATTTCACGCGGAACATGAGATGCAGTACTGCTCTTTCAGTTTTTTTTTCTTTTTTTGTCATCTTGGCTTCTTTTCTTCGCCGAGGGGAGATTTTTGTAATCTACAATAATACTCCGAGGCCAACTGCAAAAAACAAGTCTGACAGATAACAAAAACATCCCATATCTCTTGACATCATGAGCCCAATCGCCCTCAAATAACTCTTTCATGAACTCTTGAGACACATTAAATGTTCAAAAAACAAGAATGTTCGAACATCAGAAAAGAAAAAGGAAACCCACAGGAAAGAAAAAAAAGACTAATATATATAGATATATATAGATATATATATATATATATATCCAAACGCCGTGCCGATGCAATGCGTAAAAAAACCACTTGAGCCATTTTTTTGTTCTTTCAAGAAAAGCCCTGCTTCACCTTAACCCTTTTTTTGTAAAAACCATTTTTTGTTGTGGAGGAAGAGCTTTTCAAAAGAAAACCCAGGGGTATCAAAATCAGACAGGACATAGGAAATGGACATGGGAAAGACAGATAGGAAAGAGGAGAAAGAAAAAAAAGGAAACAGGATCAAAGGAGACATGCCCCAGACCTAAGCAGTGGCATCCTGACCGAGGAGTTCGAGAACTTTGTTCACAACGGCGCTGGGGTATCCCCTCGAAAGCATCTCGCCGACAACACGCTTGGCATCATCGCGCTGGCCGACAGCCAGGTATGCACGAGTCATGGCCTCGTACGTGCTCGGCTCACGGCTCTCGCGGCTGACGCTGTCGTAGATGGCCTGGGCCTTCTCAATCTTCTTGTCGGCCGTCCAGCCGTGGATGAGCGTGTTGGCTATGTAGGCCGTCATGGGGATACCGCGGGCGCGCATGTCCGCTAGGAGACCCTCGGACTCAGACACGCGGTGGTTGGCAACCATGGCCTCGAAGAGGGCCTGGAACAGGCTGGCGTTGAGAGGGACACCCGCCGCTTCGGCGTCGCCGCGAGCGACAGAGTCGAAGACGGAGCGGGCACCGTCAACGTCGTGGAGGACGCAGCCGCGGGCGTGTATGAGCGAGGCATAGTGAACAGGCTCCGTGTGCTGACCAGAGGCGCGGATGGCTGCGAGGACGGCCTCGGCCGCCTCCATGTCCACAGGCTCGAGCGAGGCGTGCGTGTCAACCAGAAGCTTGTACGTGTGAGCCGTGGGGGCGATGCCGCGGGCCTTCATGCGCTCGTAGTAGGCGAGCACCTTGGCCTTGTTGCGCTTCGTTGTCAAGAAGAACTGCATCATGCTGTTGTAGGGAGCGGGGCGTGCCTTGTAGTTGGGCATCGACTCCATCTCGTCAAACAACTCCTCGGCAGACTTCTCGTCGCTGACGCGGCAGAGGGCGTTGACCACAGTACCATACGTGACCGACGTGGGCTTGATTCCCAGAGCCCTCATCTCCGAAAAGTAGAAGAGGCAGTCATCGATACGGCGGGCCTTACCCAGCTTGCCGATGAGAGCATTGTAGAGGAACGAGCTGGGCTCGACACCTTCAGCCTGCGCGCGGTGGAAGATGCGCACGGCCTCGGTGGCCTCGTCGAATGTCTTGGTCGACTCCTTGAGCGTCGTGATGTACAGACCAAAAGTGTTGGCAGAAGGGGCGGAGCCCATGTCCAGCAGCTCCTGGTGGTATTGCTCAGCACGGCCACGGTTGCCCACGCTGAGGCAGGCACCGACCATGGCGTCCAGGATAGAGGACCACCCGTAGCGGACAACAGCGTACTGGGGCATCAGGGGCACGTCGGAGCGAGCCATGGAGAGGATCTCCTGGCACTGTTCCATCTTGCCCTCGCGAGCGGCGGCCGAGATGAGCTTGGCGTAGGTGATGTAGCGCGGGTGCCTTCCAGCACGGCGCATGTTCCTCAAGCGGTTCATGGCATCACCGAGGCGAGGGCCCTTGCGTCCGTGACTGCCCTCGATGTCGTCGGCGATGAGCGATGATCCTTTGAAGTCGGTGCTGTGGGCATAAGGGTCGAAGCTGTCCTCGAAGCTGGCAGTGGTAGGGGTCGACAAGAAGGGTGAGGACGTCATAGACTGCTGGGGCTGCGTCGAAACAGGCGAGGTAAGCTCGCGGGGGTCCGCGATGGCGCGGGCAGCCATGTACTCGGCGATGAACTCGACACCCTCTTCAACCTCCTCGGCAAGCTCGGGCCGTGAGGCACGGATCTTCTGGAACATGACCTCAGACTGGGCAAGACCCTCAGCCACCTGGCCCGAACCGATCAGGGCAACGGCGTACATTGTGGTGGGCTCAATCATGGCAGCATCGACGGGCGTCTCGGGTGCGGAGAGAACGTGCCAGAACTTGGCGGCGGACGCGACGTCTCCCTGGCGGACGCTCATGGCCAGCATGGCGATCGAGGCCGACGTCGCGTCCAACCCGGAGGGGATGTGGGCGTAGGCCTTGTGGGCAGTCTCGACATCACCATTGTCGGCAGCAGCCGTGGCAATCTCGTTCATGGAGGCGCCCCTGGCAGTGACAGACTGAGCCCAGTAGAAAGCCTCTTGGTAGATGCCGCGGGTCAGGAAGCCCTTGACGAAGCCGGCGCTGACTAGGGCATCCTTGATGTCGATGGCACGGACACCATACTCACCGACAATCTTCTGGAAGAACTTCATGGCACCCTCAATCTTGTCGGAGATGACATAGGCGTTGATGACCGAAGCGTACACCTGGGCGTCCAGGCGGTCGTGCAGGGTCGTCTTGCCCATGTCGTCAGCGATGGCAAGGGCGCGGTACTCGTTGTAGCACTCGACAGCGCTGACGAGGTCGCCCGAGCTGGCGAAGGCGGAGATCATGGCGGGGAAGACGGCCGCGAAGGGAGCCGTCTTGGCCAGTTCCATGTGCTCAAAGAGACGGAGCATGTCGGAAATGCGACCAGCCTGGGCGCAGGCGCAGATGAGCTGATGGTACGTCTCAGCCGTGTAGAGGGCCATGTCGGCGTCGATGGAGCTGTCAAACAGCTTCATGGCGAGGTCGAGGCGGTCGTCCTCTGAGAGGATGGCATACTCAAACTCGTGCGAGGCGAGCATGAACTTGCCGGGCTCGTCCATGCCACCGAAGCGGGCCAGCTTCTCCTTGAGTCCCGACATCAAGCTTGAGACTTCGAGAGAGCGCGAAGCCAGCAGACCGACAAGTATATTGTATGTGTCGGCATCGGGGGATACGCGCCTGCGGACCATGTCAGTGTAGACGTCGAGGGCCTTGGAGACGACCTCGCTCTTCTGACTGGGGATGTGGATGGCGGCGACGAGCAGGGCATTGTAGGAGCCGGCGATGGGCTTGACACCGGTGGCCAGCATGGCCTCGAAGACGGCGGGAATCTCGGCATAGCGTCCAGCGGCGGACAGTTTGTCAAGGTGGTCGGCGTAGGACTGGGACTGGGGGTCGACCGGGGGCGTGGCAGAGCGGCCCAGGGAGCCTGGTGTAGCCGTCCTCGGGCGGAGCACGGGCTCGTCGATTCCTTCCTCCTCGGCTTGCCTTCGGAGCTCTACCTCTTTTTCCAATGCGGCGTCGATGTGAGCGAGGGCTGCCTGCTCCTCAGGTGTCATGGGACGTGAGGGGGCAACCTCGTCGGAGGCCTTCTCAGCACCTGCGGCCAGCTCCTCCTGATTCGTCAGGACTGTGGAGGAGCTGGGCTTCCATTCTAGACGCTTGGGGAACTCATATTGAGTCCACTCATTGTCGAGCTCCTCGCCGGCCGACTCCTTGCTCTTGAGAGCCTCGAAGTAGCCGTCTAAACCTCCATGGCTGTAAGTCTGCTTGGGGTCGGCAAAGGCCGCCGAAGAAGACTTATCGGTGTGGAAGGCGGATGTGAGCTGGAGAGCCGAAAGGCGGCTAAGACGGTTGGTATGGCGACGCCCGAATACTGGGCGGTTCTGAGAGTTGAGGAGGTGAGGATGTGTGGCGGCTACGACGGATTGGGCGTAACCGTGTGCTGTGGCGGATTTGACGAATGTCGATCCTTGACGGATGAAGTTCGCGTATAGCGACGAGTATATGGTGGGCATTTAGAATGCGACTGTGGGGGAGTAGAGGAGCTGGTGCTGTGAGTAATGTAAGCTTTGGTCGTACTCGAGAGAGCATATGAAAGAGAGGGAAAGAGGGAAAAAAAGGTGAAGAAGAATGACAGAGGGAAGAGGCGGTGTTCTTACATTAAGAGGAGGGACAAGAGTCGAATGCAGGTTCATTTGACAGCGTAGCCACCGAACGAACGCGCAAGGCCAGGGTGTAAAGCGAAATAATTAAAAATATTTTTTTTCTAAACGGTAAGGAAAAATGATAGAAGGTAAGAAGCAAGTTGGCGGTCAGTGAAAAAAAAAGGAAAATAAAAATGGAGGTGTAGCTGCCCAATAATAAATGCTTCAAAATGCAAAGGAAAGAAAGGGAAGGAAGGGAAGAAAGGGAACACTGAAATAAAACAAGGCAATAAAAACTTGTGATGTTTTTGTTGTTAGTCGTGTATATAATGTTTAGAAATCTTCACTTTCATGGGATAGACAGAAAGAGGGAAGCAGGCGAAGGAGGGAGGGGCGGGCAGGTATTTGGGGCCTGAGGATGGGGGACTGGGACGGAATGGGAGTCAGAACGGAGACATCCAGAATGGGCCTCTTGGGATTCATACAATGGAAGAAGCCAGCTGAGAGCTTCAGAAGTCCAAGTCCGAGCAAAGCCTCCTTACAGAGTCCGTGGAGTTAACGAGGGTACAAGCCACATGAGGTCACTGTCCATACATGACAGAGTGTGTAGGTACAAGCCACAGTTCCCTCTGTGTGTACTCCCCTCCCCCCCCCCCCTTACAGAGCGCGCGGGACTGCAATGCTTGGCCCGAGTGCTAGGAGTCCACTAAATAGGAGGCTGCAGGTTATTACGGACCACCACAGGCTGCTTCTTTCAATAACGGGTCGCCGATCCACTCCCCCCACCCGCAAAAAAAAAAAAAAAGAAGAAAAAATGTGCCCGAGTCTTGGTCGTAACTCTGCATGGGGGCGCGGGACTTCATAGACTCCAGCGGCCTTTTACGGTGTGGCAGTGAACACAATGGCGCTCGACGGCGCTCGATGAGATGAAGTTAACAAGATCCCGGTCGCTCATTGTTCTTTTCCCTTCTTCTCCTTCTAAGCGCATGATGGGTAATTTCACAAGTACCCGTGCAATACGAGTATAACAAAGTACAAATATCATTACTACCAATTATGTCTAGCATCCTCAGCATAATGAAATGAAGTAGTACTTATACAAGGTATTAATATACATGTACGAGTGTGTGATATCATTAATACTCGTAGAAAGGGGTTTCCCTTATGTCTCGACCACTTGTGTCTTGTTGTCTCTAGTCCATCTGAATCGTATCGTAGGCTCTACAGTGTATTATGTACATTGATAGTCTTGGCAGGTTCCTTCCCCTGATGGTGGTTTCTTTTCCCGATCGCACCTTCCTGGGGTGGCTGTGTTTGGGTTAGCCATACAGCCATCGCGGGGGATGCAGCAGCGAGAGAACGCGCCATCGTGATATGTAGACGCGAAACAGGATTCGTGTCATGATACCTCTCTCTCTCTCTCTCTATCTCTCTCCCTCTCTCTTTCCCTCCCTCTCTGTAACGATACAGCCCTGCACACGCATGCCCACCCGTATCTTTGCTCGTGCCGACAGCCAGACACACTCTGGGACCACACCCACACCTTTGGCGACACGGAACATGGCGGGGGCGTCCCAAGGGATCGGAGCTGGCTGACTGGCCGGTTGACTATTCGAGGGCGCTCCTCATCACAGCCAACCAGCCGCGAGGGAGAAACCGGGCTTGATCCGCGATCCAACCGCATGGAAGCTCATGGATTCCCACCAGTGGTCCGTGGATGGTCCTAGTCTCCGGGCCTCTCTCTCTACCAGGTATGTAATCCGTACATATAATACTCACGTTCTTACGGGGTAGAGACCCAAAGAGTCAGAGACTAAGGGTAAAGCCGGAGCACGGCCCCCTAGTCAGCCCTGACGGTTTCTGGCTCTCACCCTCTCGGAATGCGTTCCTCAATGATTACCACCCCCCTTGTCGCGGAGCCTTCCCCCCTGCTCATACAATTTAAGGGAGTGGAAAGGGAACAGGAAAGAAGAAAAAGAAACATTTGACACAAGGAAAGGGGAATAATTCAAATCTCCATTTTGGGACCCGTCCGTCCGTCCGTCCGTCCATCCTGTCATTGCTTATTACACGGGCCCTTTTGCCGTCCCGCGGTCCGCTTCATCCGCCCCGAGTTGGTTCGCCCCTATACCAGGTCAGCTTAACAAGTAAAACTTTTTCATAGGTCAGCTGGACAAGTCTAGGCAAGACAAGCACGAGAACACGCAGACGAGCATGCAGACGAGCACGCACGCGAGTGTACGCGAGTGTACGCAAGTGTACGAGAGGTACGTACGTGTGTGTGAGAGCGGCACTATGCTGTATGCGCATCTGGCAACCGCCACAAGAGACACATGTACGTACCTGGGTGAGCTACAAGCCAGCAACGACTTGCTCGGGTATTGTGTGTACATCATGTAGCATTATAACTGCTACGAGTGTTCGTCCCTGCGGCTTGCTCTTTCGCTTCGTTTGCTTACGGACTAACGAGTACAAGACGACGAATGCCCGTGCACACGTAGTCTTGTCGTCAGCCTGCAGTCATCCATTGAATCTAATGCGTGCAGTGTTATCAGTGTGAAGTTTGGCATGCGCTCAAACCAACTGGCTGCGAGGAGAAAATCACATCGTTTTCCTCCCCCCGGGCCTTATTGTCCGCTTGATCTTCTTCTTGACTACAGATTGCATGCGAGTATACTAGGACTCGCAGTAGTACTCTGCTCCGTAAACCTGTAAGCATCGAGCACACGAACATGAGCGATCATTACGCTTTAATAATACAACTCTCCATACTAATTACGTATGCTAGCTAGTGCGGTTACCTCTCAAGCGTTGAAGCTAGGCTCTAGCAGCGTCGTATTGTTTGTCCTTGTCCCTCGTAGTGGAGGGGCGGACCACACAAGTTTTCACCATCCAGCCTATTATTATCCACTCTGGCACAAAACTCAGTCCAAAAAGTGGCTCTCCCCTCCCACCCTTTACTGGCAGTCACACCTCCGATGACCGATGAGAGAATAAAAGCTAGTAAGAGAGAGTCACACGTTCCGCATACTCTTTACCCTTCACCACGCTCTATTGCCGTCTCTTGTCACAAATCGCGACGACTCCTCATCACCGTCATCGTCGTCAGAATTTGGGTGCCTAGGTACAACCCGTACCTGTATTGTCGAAAAAGCCCCGTCTCGGGGTTGCCTCTGAAGAACGTATCACCGTACTATCCCATCCTCCTTAGACCGGAAGCTACGGATGACTTCAATCCTCCGCCCTTCTCCGGGTTTAAGCCCACATGGATAAAACACCGAGTCCGTTTCGGCCGGTCGGATTATTATCCCATTGTACGGAGTACGAGTAGGCTATAATTTTTTTTTGTGTTACGCTTTGTATGTACTACTACGAGCGTGTTAAATGCGGGAGTACATGTAATTTAATAGATGATTGCACATGCTGCCGCTTTGTTTGGTCTCTCGTTGTAGCTGATCGTTTTCTTACCAATGGGCCATGACATATTTGACTCTACAGTGACTCATCTGAAGCAGCCATCCTACATTTCCCGCGACTACGGGTATTATCGTAACGTTTAATTTTGTTACTCAACTTCTTCGTCAGTACGTTGTGATCTGTCATCAATTGTGTCTTGTGGGTCCGTGAAAGTCTGGAGCGATCTCACCGATCCAAAAAGAGATATGCCATCTTGAATCTACTCGCAGACACTGAGAGGAGGACACGTCAACAGAGATCACGTATGGGGAGAATACGGGGTCTGGCGAACCAACCATATTCATGCAAGCGTCGGTCCCATCAACGTCTCTGCTGGAACGAAAATGTAGCGTATATACAGTGTAGATGGTTTTAGAATCATATACGTACCCGTTTCGCATCAAATACTCTTTGCGATTAGAGTCGCAAGGAGCACGGATTTGTTGGAAGTTCAATCATGGACCCCGTTGTTGCCTCATCTCGCACTCTTATCGTATATCTTATCCCTTATCCTGCCATGGATATATCTTATCGCAGACGCTATCTTATCTTGAACATCCCACCTGCGATAAAGCACTGATAAGATGCAAGTCTCCATTTTTTTTCATTATTTTTTCCCTTCTGTCTTTCCTGCCTGTATTATCACAAGGCCCCCCCCCCCCCCGCCGCTTATTGCCCAAGGAAAGCGGCGAAACGCCCGTAAATCTTTCACAATGGCCGACGATGGCATGCTCCTGAATTTCCAGCTGGGAACTGAGCCCCTGAAGCGGCAGGTCAAATTCACAGGTGGCCGCTGGCGCGACAGGAAACGTGCCGAGAAGTCTGCGCGAGACGCCGCATCTGGCGGACCGAAGCCCGTAGTGGGAAAGAGGGACGATGGTGACTTTACCGAACGGGCGCCGAAGCGGCAGCGATTCGACGATGATGGGGAAAATGGATACAACAGCAGGTATAATCAGCAGCAGCCGAGGGAAGGTCCAAGATCTGGTAGGCGAGATGGTGGTGGCGGTAGCGGCGGCGGCAGACCGCAGCATCACGACAAGGGCTCTCGCCAGGTCGTGTCCCGCCTCTTCTCATTCAATCCTGCCCAGAAGACGGAGTTTGACGACGAGGAGAAGAAGAAGGAGTGGACAGCACCCGAGGCGACCAATGCGCCTCTGTCGGATGTAGCCAACTTTGGGACGCTGGAACTGGCCTCGAGGTTGGTAGACGAGCTGGGCAAGATGGGCCTGGAGAGGCCGACGGCGATTCAGAAAAAGGTCATTCCGCACCTCCTATCCAGCAGCGGCGACGCGTTTGTGCAAGCCGAGACGGGATCGGGAAAGACCTTCGCCTACCTGCTACCCATGCTGCACCGGGTGCTGCAGCTGAGCGCGCGCGACGGCAGCGCACAGGTGCATAGGGACTCTGGCGTGTTCGGCATCATTGTCGCCCCCACGCGGGAACTGGCCCGCCAGACGCACACGGTGCTCGAGCAGCTGATCCGTCCGTTCCCCTGGCTCGTGTCCACGTCGATAACGGGCGGAGAGTCCAAGAAGGCAGAGAAGTCGAGGATACGCAAGGGCGTCAACTTCCTCGTCGCCACACCGGGCCGCCTGGCTGACCACATCGACAACACTCAGGCCCTCAACCTGGGCACCGTGAGATGGCTCATTCTCGACGAGGGTGACCGTCTGATGGATCTAGGCTTCGAAGAGGACCTGAAGAAGGCCATCAACGCCCTGAAGAAGGTCGACCTGGCATACAAGACGGCCAGCGGCACGTCCCTCGACACCCTGCCTGGCCGCCGCGTGTCGGTCCTCTGCTCGGCCACCATGAAGATGAACGTCCAGCGCCTGGGAGAGATGAGTCTTGCAGAGGCCACCTTCCTGGCGGCTGACAAGGCCGACATCGACGACCCCACCACTGCCACGACCATCGGCCAAGGGCAAGATGTGCACAAGGCCCCCGCGCAACTGCATCAGTCGCACCTCATCGTGCCGGCCAAGCTACGCCTGGTAACGCTCATCTCGTACCTGCGGTCCGTCTTCTCGCGCCGCGGCCGCACCATGAAAGTCATTGTGTTCCTGTCGTGCGCCGACTCGGTTGACTTCCACTACGAGCTCCTCCGCGACCCGAACAAGGCCGAGGAGAGGCCCGCAGAGGCGTCGGGCCGCGACGCCGAACTGCTGGCTAGGACGGTCTCCAAGGCCGCCTACGTGACGACGCCGGCCAGCCCCGAGGTGATCCTGCACAGGATGCACGGGTCACTATCGCAGCCCACGCGTACGGCAACTATCCGTTCCTTTTCGGCGTGCAAGCAGCCCTCGGTCCTCATCACCACTGACGTTTCCTCTCGTGGTCTCGACATCCCCTCGGTCGACCTGGTCATCGAGTACGACCCGGCCTTCAGCTTCCCCGACCATATCCACCGCGTGGGACGTACAGCCCGTGCTGGCCGATCCGGTGACGCAGTACTGTTCCTCCTCCCCGGGACGGAGGAAGGGTACATCGAGCTTCTGAAGACGGCAGGCTCACCCACGGCGCAGTCGTTCGAGACGGTCCTCCAGAACGGTCTTATGTCCAAGATCGAGTTCCCTGTCGAGACGTCAGCCAAACCCACCGACGGCCAGACGTATCACAACAAGGCCGAGACGATCCAGCTCCACCTCGAGCAGCGCATCCTGAGCGACAACGCCAAGCAGCTGCTCGAGCTGGCGCGCAACGGCTTCAAGTCGCACATCCGCGCCTACGCCACCCACACAAAGGAAGAGAGGAAACACTTCGACATAACGGAGCTGCATCTGGGTCACACGGCAAAGAGCTTCGCCCTGCGTGAACCTCCCGGTGGAATAGGAAACGGCATCGATAGGAAGTCCAAGAAGAATCACAAGGGTGGAAAGGACAGGGGAACTGGAAGGTCAGCGGCACCCTCCGGGTCTACGGGCACACCGTTCAGGGATGATGGAGGAGTAGGCTCTGCCGTGGACAGCAAGGCCGCCCAGGATATCCTCAGGAAGAAGAGCATGATGTTGATGAATGCCGGTGCGGACGAGTTCAACATTGGTTGAAGAAGAAAAAGTCATCTATTCTCTTTTTTTTTTTTTTACATAAAGAAAAGCGTTGGCGTTTTTCTTTTTCTTTTCATCGTGGTCATTTTTTTTTTCGCATGGAATTATTCAAATACGATTATCATTGTATAGATCTCGTATCACACACTCCCACATCTGTCATATCCGACAAAAAAAAAACACATCACTGCCTCTTCCAGTTCCCTGCATCTTCAACACCCTTGGACACTCCGCTGAAGCCAGACTCGACACCGTTACCGATGCTCCCCACACCGTCGCCCACGGGCTTCGCATGGCCTCCCGTGGCGGAGTTGAACGTGTTACCTACGCCGCGGGCGGCTGTCCCTGTCAAGCCACCTGCTGTACGGCCCACAGCGCCGACTGTGTTGCCTACCGTCGAGGTAAGGAGGTTGGCTGCGCCGGTGGCCTTGTCGCCTGCCGTGTTGCTGTTGCTGCTGGACATGATGTACTTTGGCTTTCGCTCGGTGTGTGTTGCGGAATTGTGAAAGTGTCGGTGTTCAAGAGTATCAGGAGACAAGTTTTCTTTTTATACTTATTCCTCGGCTTAGGTGGATGGATGATGATTAACGAGTCGAAGAATTGAAGATGAGGAGGAGTGAAGCCTGTTAATATATCGGCATCTCAGGCAAGAGCAACCTTCTCAATAAGTGAACAGATGACGTCAAGGACAGGGCGTCATGGAAACCGTGCAAATGCTTGGTATGTCGATGCAAGCTGATACGTACATTGTCAGCAATGACATTCCAATCATCTACAACACTTCGAGGAGCAGGTTTTTTCATTTTTCTATATCATATATCATTAACAATGACCTTGTTTTTTTTTGTTTTGTTGTCGTTGTCTCTTGTCGCCACCGTGTGTGGAACTGGACGTTGCGTTGGAAAGCCATGACCTCATGCAAGTTATGCTATCTAACGCGGATAATCACAGGAACTTCCGTATGTTGGCAAGATTGACCAAGGCTGACACGCCATACCGAGCCGTCTCGTTGGTCGTATTCCAGGACGCCTCCCTCCCATCAGCCAGGCATTCGGGCGGCCGTGTTCGGACGATAGTCCAGTCATGGGCCTCGGTGTACCCATCCGTAGCATGGAACTGGTCCCATGCGGCCCTTGCGAGGTCACCACTTCCCTGTTCTGCGGCTGCCAGGGCCGTCAGCGTCGAGTGGCTCTGATTCCACCCCGTGGGTGGGAACTCGCGACCGTACTCGGCCATCTGGACTGCGGGCCCACCATTATACGCCCGACAGTACGGGAGCCACACTTTCTTCTTGAACGTCTCGACGTCGGACGAGTACTCCTCCTTGGCGTAGTCGAGCGCCTCAGTGAAGATCTCGGGAAATCCAAACAGCATGGATAGATGAGATATGGCAAAGTCCGGGGTCGGGGGCGCACACTCGCGCACCTCGCCCGTCTCCGGGTCTAGGAGGACGGCATTGTTGGCGATGCCGTGCGAGGTCCCGGAGAGCCCCTTGAAGAGCCCTATCAAGAGGTCCCTCGAGTGTTCCCAACCGGCGTTGCGCCGCTCCCAGGCTGTCAGCCACGACGCTGCCAAGGGCCCACAGTCGAGCCCGATGTTGACCATGGCAAAGCCGTTGGGGACAGGGGCATGCTGCTGAACCTTGCGATGAGAGTCTAGTTTCAGGAGTGCGAACTGACAGCCTTCCAGCTCAGACAAGAGGTCGCCCGTGCGCTCGTCACCCGAGAGGTAATAGTAGATGCGCCTGAAGAGGGCGTGCGATATCCGCAGCTGCTTGGAGCTGTCACTGAAGTGCTGAACACCATGGCGTGTACCGAACCCCTTGAACTCCCCAGCGTGATAGACGTCGACTTCGCCGGTGTGCTGGATCATGGCCTCGGCCATCCTAAAGACGTCCGCCCGACCTGTGTGCAAGGCGTACAGCCACAGCCACATGTCCGTCGAAAGCTCCGAGTTGTCCCACGCATATCCGCCGACATCATATCTCCAGGCGTGACGGTAGGAGTCGTACGTGTGCTGGACATCGCCGTGATCCCAGAAGCCGTACCACCGGTGCTGCTCCACCTGTTCTTTGTAATAGTTGAACAGGAGGTCCAGCCTCTCTTCAATAGCCAACTCCCTCTTTGACGGGACATGGCCGAGGATGCGATAATCGGGCGACCAACAGCCGTGAAAAACGCCCGTAGAGTACATGTGATCGGCTGTTGGAACGAGGCGAGCAGGCTCGCGGACAAGAGCCGAAAAGGAGCTGAGCTGCTCGTTGCTGGGAGTCGCACTGAAAGGTCTGATGAAGAGCTGGTTCGACCGGGCAATTCCGTTGGCCGTCGCGAAACCCGGCTCGTAATCCTCATATGTGACGTTGAGGCCCTCCAGCTGCTTCTCGTACGTATCGAGCCCTAGACCATCGTGGTAGGGCATCGTCTCCAGAGGCTCAGCCAGGGGTGAGTACAGCCACATCGTTATGGCTCCCTCGGGACTCGTCAGGTCCGCGAGTTCGATCTGCGTCGGGTAGCGCTCCCAGAAGTTGCTCATTCCTACGGCAAGGCCACCGTGGACTGCAGAGCCGACATAGGAAGTGCCGTCTGCTCTGCCGCCTCCGGTTACCTTCACCCAGGAGCAGCCAGGTCTGGTGCGTTTCTTGATAGTATGCCCGTCCGACGACAGCTGGGCGAGGGAGTAGTGGCTCCACGACGGGACACTAGCCAGGCCTCGTGTGAGACCCGAATGCTCCCATTCGGCCGCATTGAGTGTCACCGGCCTGCCAGCAGTCTGGTCAATCCTGTTCCGAGTGCTGGGGCCGAAACGGAGACCTGAGAGGCCGCGGACCTCCTCCTTCAAGATACCGCCGCCCGAACCCCCGAGTCTGACATGTCTGTTGTGGAGCTCCGTGGCATTGAGCGGGACAGTGAATCGGATCCCCAGAGACGTCAGCGGTTCATGACCTTCCAGATCGTGCACGAAGGAGTGGACGATGCGCAGCGACTGGCTGTGAGAGTGCACGTAGACGCGCACGTCGAAAGGGAGATGCTCCTGCCCGGAGGCAGCTACGACGGCCCCCGAGACCCTGACGACCACTCGGCTAAATGTGCAGTTCTCGATGGAGACCTGCTTCACCGTGGTCGAGTATGTCTCTCCGCTGACCGAGGCGACTATGGTGCCACCTGAGCATACAGTCCGGCCATTGATCGACACAGATTCAAGGAATGACTGGGGCTGGTTGCGAGAAATGCTAACCCGCAGACCGAGCGAAGTGGTCACCAATACATGGACCCGTCTGTCGGAAACGTAGAGGCCATCATTGGGGGTTGAAGTGACGGCAGTGGCGCCCCTGACAGTGTACCCCTCCGAATACTCCACCTCGGCACTGATCGAGTGAGCAGTCCACTTGAGTGAGCCATCGGACCAGAATGCAATCTCTCTCGAGTCCAGAGACCAGCAGTCCCTGCTTGTGGAACCTTGGATGACAAAGTCCTGGCCGGGGTAGTAGAGACCCTTGGGCCACGGCATGCCAAAGGATACGCCGTCCGACGGGCCGCGGGTGTTAAGTTCCAGCCAACGCAGGTTCTGGGCTGTCATTATGGGCGGATTGGTCTGGGGTCTTTCCTTGTCGCCAACTGCTGCTGCTACATATGTACGCTTGGTGTTGGGTGCTCATGGAGGGTGAGATCTATATCAAGACAGCAGCCCCGTCCGCATTCTGGGAGGGTGTGGGAAAAGAAACCAGATATTCCTCCAATGAGAACAAGATGTGATGGTCTATTATCTTATAAAGAGGGCTGGGATGGCCTGTGATTTCTTATGAGGAGGACTGAGATAGTCACGGTGACGTGGATGAAGCAGGGGCGCATTTCCCCTCATCTCTCGGGCTAACATCATCCCAATAGAACGAGCAGTCAGCCTCGACCACCAAGTCGAGGCTGCGAACCAACATCAACATCCAGACCATGGCGCCGTGTACATATCATGGAACATGAGTGCCAAGTCTGCTAGCCTGATTAGCCGGGTCTCCCCACTGTGGGGAAGTATCCGGGGTACCCCATATTGAGGAGCGGCCTACGCCGCATTGGGTCCACACTGACGCTCCCGGGAATGTGGTGTCCATTGGTGAGGGTCCAAGGTGTTGTACATGCATGCTCTTGATTAGACCGAGATACCGAAACGACATGGTCGGGCGGGGGTGGTATACGGTTCATTGGACTATACTACCCCAGATTTTCAAATAGAGTAAATGTGTCTGAGAGGTCATGGCGGCCGCTGGCATGAGTTAATGCTGGCCAGAGATGGAATAAAGTCGGGCGCTCACCTTCCCTGGAGGTCGATGTTATCCTCCTGTATCTCAGAGTCCCTCCTCTGTCCTCGGTCTTACTACCGTCACGTACATACATACACACACATACACGCGCGCATGCACGCACGCATACAAACAAAAGCCATGGCTCAACACCAAGAAGACGCCAAGGACCCCAAGACGGTTCAGGAGGTGCCCTCGTACGACGAGGAGAAGCTCAGCAAGGATGTCACGAAAAAACAGCTTCTCAGGGGCGCCCAGCAGGCCACGGACGCCGAGCACACGATGACTCTCCTGGAAGGTCTGCGGCGGTACCCTAAGGCGTGCCTGTGGTCGCTCATCTTCTCGAGCGCGCTCATCATGGAGGGCTTCGACAAGGCCTTCATCACGGCCTTCTTCGCGTTCCCGCCCTTCCAGGAAGCATACGGCGAGCTGCAGTCCACGGGCGACTACCAGGTGCCCGCGTCGCTGCAGGCGGGGATCCAGAACGGCGTGAGCGCCGGACAGATCATCGGGCTCCTCCTCAACGGCCTGCTGGCCGACTGGTTCGGGTACCGGTGGGTGATGGAGGGCTGCCTCTTCCTGATGGTGTGCTTCGTGTTCCTGCAGGTCTTCGCGACGAGCATCTGGATGTACCTGGGGGCGGGGGTGCTCCTGGGGGTGCCGTGGGGCGTGTTCCAGACGCTGACGACGACGTACGCGGCCGAGGTGTGCCCCAACGTGCTCCGGCCCTACCTGACGATGCTGGTGTCCATGTGCTGGAGCATCGGGTACCTGCTCGGGACCGGGGTGCTGCGGGCCTTCCTCAACATGGACGGGCACTGGGCGTACCGGATCCCGTTCATGCTGCAGTGGGTGCTGCCGGTGCCGCTGGCGGTCGGCATCTTCCTGGCGCCCGAGTCGCCGTGGTGGCTGGCTCGCAAGGGCCGCGACGCCGACACCGAGAAGGCGCTGCGGGCGCTGCAGTCCGGCGGCGCGACCGAGGAGGACATCCAGGCGACGCTCCACATGATCCAGTACACGGTGCGGATCGAGAACGAGGCCAAGACGAGCAGCTCGTACCTGGACCTGTTCCGCGGCACCAACCTGCGGCGCACCGAGATCACCGTTGTCACCTACCTGACGCAGGAGCTGTGTGCGCCCCTGGTGTCATACGTCGTCTACTTCCTCCAGCAGGCCGGCATGGACACGTCGTCGTCCTTCGGCTTCGGCATGGGCCAGTACGCCCTGGCCATCGTCGGCGTCCTGGTGGCGTGGTACCTGGCCCCGCGCATAGGGCGCCGCCGCCTCGTCATGAGCGGCATCACCTTCATGGCGTCCACGACGTTCGTCATCGGCTTCATGGGCGTCCCCGCCGACTCGTACGACAACGCCAACATAGCCTACGGCATCGGCGCCATCCTGCTCGTCGAGTACTTCTTCTTCTTCATGACCCTCGGCCCCTTCATCTACACCATCGTCACCGAGATCCCCTCGAGCTTCCTCCGCACAAAGAGCGTCGTCATAGCCCGAGCCGTCTACAACGTCGGCGTCCTCGTCTACGGGCAGCTGGTCCCCCGCATGATCCAGCGAGCCTCGTGGAACTGGGGTCCCAAGTCCGGCTTCTTCTGCGGAGGCATCATGTGTCTCGCCCTCCTGTGGGCCTGGTTCCGGCTCCCCGAGACGAGCAACCGTACGTTTGCAGAGGTTGACATCCTCTTCAAGAACAGAGTCAAGGCCAGGCAGTTTAAGACTACAAAGGTCGATCTTGCTACCCAGACCGTCTACAAGGACGAGTAGGATTGGCTTGTGGTTTTTTTTTCTGTTTTTTTTCTGTTTTTTTTTTCCCTTTTTCTTTCATTATGATATATACATACAGTTTGGCTCGTCTGGATCTTCGAGGGAGTGATATATATGTATTAAGTAAGACCGTGGCCTCCGCCCTGTTCCCCGTGCTGTACTCATCGAGAGCCTTCCTCTCCCTGGCCTTGGCCGCACGGTTGGCCAGCTCCCAACATACTACTTCGTATAGCCTCATCAGTATTGATTTCGAATTCCAGATAGGGTCAAGATGGGGGAGAAGAAATCACTCGACGAGACAGAACTATACCGTCCCGTCAGAGCCCCGCGGAGAGGCGCCGATGATCGATCGACCCTGAAAAGATGGCTCACCGTCCTCCCCTTCTCCCCCCATCTCTCCCTCCATGTCTCTCCTGCCACGATATCATCACCGTCAATCTAGCCAACAAAGAAAAAGTCTACTCCCAACAACTCACATGCTGCTAGATTAATATTCCCATCTATTCAGAGACGGCACGATACAGCACCCTAGATCGATAGCATGGGTATACCGGCACTTCGCCATCTAAGCCGGATCCGGCTCATCTGCGGGTTGCTGCAGTCTTGACACAATCTTAGTCCAGAACTCCAGATTCCACCAACTTACCCAGCCATCCTAACGTTTCCCTCCCCGCTCTCCACATACACGGGAAGTCTCCATTTTTTATTTTTACAGGGGGGGGGGATGCATACTCGTACGAGTATTACTACGCCCATGGTCATAATCATGCATTAGACAACACACGTGCGGTTATGATGGATGGGGTGCAAGGCGTGGGAAAAAAGGCGGTATCTGGTGTCTGCCACATCTCTTTGATGATAAAATAAGAAAATAAAGAATCTGGTAGAGGTAGCAGAAAATTGCAAAGCTAAAGAAGGTGTATATAAAGGTAAAACTCCGTGTCCGGCCAAATGGCTGCTTGGTATCCATCATCATCAAGACAGGTACATAGTCACATCTAGCTCGAAGTCGTCGTCAACACGTGGTGGACAGCCTTGGCGAAGCGGTCCAAGTTCTTGGTGTTCAAGCCAGCCATGCTGATGCGGCCATTCTTGGTCATGTACACATGCGACTCCTTGCGTAGACGCATCACCTGCTCCTCGCTGAGGCCGGTGAAGCTAAACATGCCAATCTGGTCGGTAATGTGGTTCCAGGTGCCAGGGGTACCCTGCTCTTCGAGTTTGGCCCGCAGCTGCTTGCGCATGCTAATGATGCGGCCAGACATCTCCTCGAGGTTCTTCTCCCACTCGGCAAAGAGGGCCGGGTCGTTGAGGACAATGCCTGCGATGCGAGCACCATAGATGGGCGGATTCGAGATCTCGGAACGCTGGAGGATGGCGAGCTGCGAAGCGACGCGAGCACTGCTGGCGGCGTCGGTACCGGGAGCACCGACAAAGTGGAAGCAGCCGGCGCGCTCACCGTAAAGGCCAAAATTCTTGGCAAAGCTCTCGGCAATGAAGAGCTCGAGGCCCAGCTCGACAAAGAGGCGGACGGCACCAGCATCAACTGCGAGGTTCCCCGAGGCGAAGCCTTGGTAGGCCGAATCGAAGAAGGGTAGGTGCTTCTTCTGACGCACCAGCTGAGCAATCTCAGCCCACTGGTCCGCTGTCGGGTCCACGCCGGTGGGGTTGTGAGCGCAGGCATGGAGGACAATGATGGAGCCATCGGGGGCGTCCTGGATGGCTCCCTTCATGCCGGCAAAGTCCAGACCCTTGGTCTTCTTGTCAAAGTAAGGGTATTGGATGACGTCGAGGCCGACATTGTTGAAAATCTGGTGGTGATTGGCCCAAGTGGGGTCCGACACGTAGACTGTGCGGTTGCCCTTGAAGAACCTGGCGAGGAAACCGGCACCGAGATGCAGGGCGCCGGTACCCGAAACGGTCTGCAGCGAGGCGACGCGGGACTCTTTGATGGCTGGGGAGTCGGCACCAAGCATAAGCTCAGCAGCCTTGGAGGTGAAGTGAGCTAGGCCAGCGATGGGAGCATACTCGTGGTCGAGTTCGGGGTTGTTTCGGAGTATCTCGTCGGCCTGGAACCGGGATGTCAGGATTCAGTATTCAGTAATCAAGCGTCAGGGGAAAGGTTGCGGGGGATGGGGCAGTGCGGGGGTGGAGGCGGAAACAGGATCCGCCGCCCTTGGCCATGTTCTGTAGCGTCACACTGCAGGGCTCGTAACGTCTCGGTCGAAGGGGAAAAGCGGGAAGAGAATGGCGTGTTTTATCAGGGGAAAGGGGGACAGGAGCGCGGGGGAAGAGAGAAGAAGGGGGGGAGGCAACGCGTACTTTTTTCACGACGGGGAGAACCCAGGGCTTTGCGTTATCATCACGGTAGGCACCAATTCCCTATTTTCGATTATTGCACGTCAGCTAGAGAGCACTTTATTTTCGGCCCCAAGGATGAAGTCGACGGGGAAAGTATAACTACTAGCTCAAGCTGTCTGCAGCTCGCGTGCTGTGCTGGACCGTAAAGAGAAGGAAAAACGTACCAGATCAATCTTGTTGGGGTCGGTGTCGGCCTTGAAAACACGCATGAGGCCAAAGAGAGGATCCTCCGGCGCCTGGGGCACCGTGTCGGCGGGAAAGTTGGTGACTGTAGAAACCATGGCGGGGGATAGATGGTTGACAATGTTGTTGATACGGGAAACGGGAGCAGAGGAAGAAGATGCAGCAGGAGCAGGAGCAGCAGCAGGAGCAGAAGTGGAAGAAGGAGAGACAGAATGGGTGGCTGGAGAAGAAGAAGAAGAAGAAGAAGAGGACGACGGAGAAGTGGATGAGGAAGCTCTTGGTAGCGGTGATGATGACATGATGAGAATGGAAAGGGCGACGTCGGAGGGACCTTCCGTATTAAAACCCCACCGAACACTGAAAATAGAGTAATGGAGATATAACGAAAACCAGCTGCAGAGAGGGAGAGGAGGAGGCCCTGAAAGCTTATGCTGAAGGGCGCCTGCTTGATTGAATTACAGCGATTCTCGTTGGCTGTTTCCCGTTTGGGGGGTGTGGAACGCTGATGGTGGTGTTCTTTTGTTTTTGGGGTTTTTTTTTCTTCTGTCTTGTCGGACTGCCGCTGCCCCGAGAAGCTGTAGGACGCGACAGTAGTAGCAATAGTAGCAGTAGTAGTAGTCTTGGAGCCAGTGATAACGTATGTAATGGCCTGTAAGTACGACCACTGTGGCGGGGTGATGGGACCGCCTGTAGGCAGCCTTGTAGGCGCGGGATGCCGTAATAGATGGATCACCTGGACGGCTTGGTCTTTCAGGCTATCGCGTCGTTTGTGTGCGGGAGGGAGGCAAGGGAGGGGGCGCCGTAATATGCACACCGTCCGTACGCCCGTGTGTGGAAATCTTACCCGCAACCTATCAGCAGCCTACAGACCGATGTCAGGTGAGGAGCCAAGGCGTCTCTCTTGTGTCAGAGAGATGGTAAAACAGAGGTTGGCGGTCGGGGAGAGAATAATCATCGACAGGGTGAGAGGAATGGTCGGAGGTGTCGGGCGGTCTTCAATGACATGTAGCAAATAGTCTAATGAATGGAGAAGACCAACTTGTAGCATGAAATGCAAGCGAGAGGGGGGGGCCCTTCTCCGGCCTTTCAATCCAACCACGGACCTTCTTATAGTAATCTCATTTTTCTTCCCCGGACAGATCAGCACCAAGGGGGAAAACCCCAGGATGCCGAGGCCCCCCTTCGGGTCCCAATTTCCCCACGTCATCCTGTGCCTGCTCTCCGGCTCTCCCCGCAATCTCCCTCGGGAGAATGGCCTGATCTTCAAACTGGCAGAGACGATTATAGTAATGCCGAGCGACTAATTTTTTTCTGGAGGGACAAAAAAAATTGTACAGCCACTTTTTTTTTTTTCCATATGAACTCTGCCATACGTTTCTCGACTTTTTTTTTCCCCTTCTTTTCTATTCACGCCATCTGCTTTCTTTGATCCCGGCTATCTACTCCATACATCATGTCTTATCAGCATGCAGCTCGGCTCAAGACACACCCAAGTACAGCATGTGTTATCTCGCCCGCTCGTCACATGAAGCCTATTACTAGCGACAACGCCCCGCTAATGCCGAGCCGCCAAGGCTGTCGCTGCCGCTGTATTCATTCATATCGGATTTTTCGAGTATGTCGTCATGTGCCTTTTCGTTTCCATCATCTATGTCATCATTTGTTTTTCTTTTTCTGTCATTTCATGTCCTCCATGCAGCGTATGTACGTACAGGGCGCGTATATACACACAAGGCATGTAATGTGCTACGAGCACAGTGCAGTGTTACATCTAGAAGAGTAGATCCCATGCCACCAGAAACGCACACAGTCCGCTCGTCGCGTAAAACGTCAGCCTTGCCGCGCTCGGTCTGCTGGTCGCCTTCTTGAGCTGCCTGTTCCCGCCCTCGACATTCTCCGTCGTCGAGTGCGACTCCGCCACCAGCACGTCAATCTGCTCCGTCTGCGTAGCGAGATGGACGATGAGGGTTGACTGGAGGTCGCTGATCTCGGCGAGAGACCTCTGTGCCGTCCTGCATAGTCGTGTTAGAGATAGGTAGAAATGGATAAGATGTAGCAAGGCGACCTCGGAAAGACGGCAAACATGGAAACAAGGGTCGGAGAAGAGACAGGGTAAAGATGCAGACGACGTACTGGACTGATTCGTTCATGCTTTCGAAATACTTCATCATATCCTGATTCCCCTCCTCAAACATCTGTATCTGCTCTCGACTCAGGCCCTGGTCATCACTGCTGCGGTACGATGGCGTCTGCGGATCCTGCGCCTCCGCCGCCGCTGCTGCTGCTGTCGACTTGCTGGGCGCCGGCGGGGCAAAGTCCGCAAAATCAGCCATGTTGAGAGCTGCCTGCGACCCGAGACTGCGGTTCATCTCAATCTCCCGCGTCAGCCTGGCCTCCATCATGGCCTTCTGCGTCTGCCCGCACATCTGCAGCTGCTGCCGGAGGTACCAGAGCACGCCGTCGCGGTGCGTCTTGACGCCGTTGGCCTGCTCCTCGGCAGCCAGGTATTCTGGCGACTTGCCCCCCGTGAGGGCGCCGCTCGCGCCCGCAGCCCACGAGCCCAGGGCGCCCAGGCTGCTACCGTACTTCTTCTGGATGGCCTTGGTCTCCGTCTCGTGCCGCACCTTCTCGGCCCCGTCAAGCGCTTCGATGCTCCAGTTCAGCTCACGCATCATGTCCTTGGCGTCGCGATCGACGGCCTCCCGGTCTCGGTCGGAGAGGACCACCAGTTGTGGCTGGCCGTCTGTCGACGGGTGGACATGGCCCTTGCGCGGTTGCGCCCGTGCTAGGTATGCGCGCCGTACGTTTCGGAGACTCTGATGAAGTCTGGTGATATGCGAGTTCTGTAAAGAGACGACAGCAGGTCAGACAACGAACGCACGATACATCCAGGGCCGTCAGCTGGGCCAGCGACGCCCAGCAACAAACGGTCCATAGCAGAAGATGGGGGGGGGGGGGGGGGGGGGGGGGACCCACGATCCGCAGTGCCTCCTTGAGAAACCCGTCCACCCTATCCAGCGACACCTGCTTGGTCGTCGTGGTGGGGGCACCTCGCTGCTTCAGCAGCTCATCAAAGTCGGGCGTGATGTCCATGGCGGTTCGATGTACGGTCGTCGGTGTCGGGTAAAATCGGGGTCTTGGGGGCAGAGGTGGACAGGCTTGCTTCCCGTTCAGAATGGAGAGTGCCCCGTTATATTGCGCCAGATGATTTGCATCCCCGGCTTCGGCGCGAATTCGTGGTCGTGACAGACTACTCTCGCAGTAGCTTGAAACAGCTGGTCAAGGATAGCTGCTACGTGTGCGAGTTGCTATGATGCTGACTCATATTTTGTTCTTCAACTACCCTATAGCATTTCCTTGCGCTTCCAGTAGGCGACAGCACACGATGAGCCGTAGACGCTGATACAGTGGTCTCTGCCTATGCATACGTTCTGGGTCGATATGTGTGTGTCTAGTTGCTTGATCCATTCAAACGAAGGGAATCAATCCATGAGACTATTTACATATGTGCGTGTAGCAGCAGCCTTTGGCTGCTCAGTCATGCAATATCCCGTTCCTCTTTTAATCGGGTATTCCCAATCAATTAACATACATAGAAGCCAGTGCTGTGAACGCTCCAATTATATCACAGGCCTTTTCTTTTTCTCGTATAATGCAAAAATTTCGTATTCATTCTTTCCTTATGTAAGAAGAGGAAGATCAGAGCCGAAGTGAAATACTTCATGACTCAGTTCAACTGTCAGTTGAAAGCGGCGGTGATAATGTATACTCGTAATCATGTTCGATTGAATATTATAGACAAGCTACAGGGATCTGTAGTAGCAATCGACACAAAGACGCGGGTTATGTGTGTAGCAATAAGGGCTAATCACCATTATCTCCATCTCCTAATTTCTTTTTCTTCCCTTCTTCAATGATTCAGAACCTGGGAAGTGAACCCATGTCAAGATTATGCATTGCCACGGTATCATACATGGTATGCAACCCTTTTAGAGTCACGCAATGATATGACAGCTAACCATGCCATACGCAACTATTGTCACTTGCTTTTCATGAGTGCAATGGCACTTCTGCGGCCCAACTCAAAGAATTAAAATTTTTTTTTTTTTTTAAAAAAAAAGAAGCTGTATGGCCTATTAGAACACCGGGAACTTGGCAGTGGCGCTTAACCAGAGTGATGGGATAAAGTGGACGATTCGGACGATGACCGATGACCGATGACGGGGGAGGGGGGAGGATGAGAATTTCACCATTAGCTGGCAGTGAAAGAGGCTGAGAGGAGGCTCAAAAAGGGACGGATGAGGCGAGAGCCAACGGGAATAGTAGCCGCCTCAAAAGGGTCCAGATTTCTTATCGGCCAAACCTGAGGTTCACCGAACGGCACTCTAGGGATTAAGCCGATATCGCCAACCGGTCACCGGCGGGCCGGGGTGGAGACAAAGGGCCCCTCTTTTTCTCTCTCTCTCTCTCTCTCTCTCTCTCTTCTCCCTTTACCAGAGAGACAATTCCTTCTTCCAAAAAGTCGGGTGAGAGTGAAAATTTGGGACTCTTTTGTCTTCTGTGAAAGAATACGAGTACCGTGCATATAAATCTTGACCGCCTCTCTCTCCTTCTCTGGGTTCGCTTCAAATTTTGGAGAGAAGTCTAGCAAAAAGCTACCGTCTTTAAAACATAATAGACCATTGAAAGACATGCCCTACGAGATCTCTCCTTGTTCTAGAATTAGAACAAAGTACTACCGTCGCTGAACCGCAATGAATAACGAGACCGCCCAGCAACGGCCCGAAGTTGGCAACGTTCGACGAACCATCCAAGAAGCCGTGTTAGATGGTATACAGCCCAAACTGCAACAACAACAACAACAACAACATAATAATAATAATAATAACAACGATGAAAAAAATGCGCAGAAAACGATTCTGACAAGCTTGATTTCTGACCCCGAGCGCCGTGGCTCATATTCATCCTCATCTTCGTCTTCTACTCGTACGTTGGAACAACACAGTCAAGGCCCCACATCGGCACCGGCGTTGGCAACCAACGTCCACGATGGCCAAGAGAAGAAAGAAGGACAAGAGGGAGAAGCAGACGATGGCACGACCGACGAGGAACAAGGCCACATGTCCCGCGTATCTAGCGGACCGCCCTACACTGCCTTCCCCAGGGGAATGGTGCACTGGATCACGGCCATGGTAGCCGTGGGCAGCTTCATCTCGCCGGTGACGGCCAACATCTACTTCCCCGCGCTGCAGGCCATAGCCGACGACCTGGACGTGTCCGTCAGCCTGATCAACCTGACGCTGACGACGTACATGATCTTCCAGGGGCTGGCGCCGACGCTGTTCGGCGACTTCGGCGACATGGCTGGCCGGCGGCCGGCGTACATCCTGGCCTTCACAATCTACCTCTTCGCCAACGTCGGGCTGGCCGTGCAGCGCAACTACGCCGCCCTGATGGTGCTGCGGTGCGTCCAGAGCGCCGGCAGCTCGGGCACCATCGCCCTCGGGTACGCCATGGTGGCCGACATCGCGCCCACGTCCCGGCGCGGCAAGTACATCGGCTTCATCGGGGCGGGCATCAACGTCGGCCCCACGCTTGGGCCCGCGCTGGGCGGCCTGCTGAGCCAGTACCTGGGCTGGCCGTCCATCTTCTGGTTCCTGGCCATCCTGGTGGCCGTCTGGCTGGTGCCCTGGGTGCTCACCGTGCCCGAGACCTGCCGCAACGTGGTGGGGAACGGCTCCCTGCCCGCCCAGTCGTGGAACATGCCGCTCATGTACTACTTCGACCACCGCAAGGACAAGACCCGACCGCAGGACCGACCCCGGACAGAGTTTCGCTTCCCCAACCCGCTGCGCACCCTCGTCGTCATCTTCGAGAAGGAGATGAGCCTGATCCTCGGGTTGAACTCTCTGCTGTACATCGGCTTCATCCTCGTCTCGTCCACGCTGGGCACCCTGTTCCACGCCATATACGGCTACAATGACCTGGAGTCGGGCCTCTGCTACCTCCCCTTCGGCTTCGGGGCCTGCATCGCCGTCATCGGCCAGGGGTACGTCCTCGACTGGAACTATCGCCGCCTCGCCAGCAAGCTGGGCATCGTCATCAGCCGCCGCCGTGCCGACGACCTGTCCAAGTTCCCCATCGAGTCCGCCCGCATCCAGCCCATCTACCCTGCCGTACTGCTGGGCGCGGGCGCCCTGGTGGGGTACGGTTGGGCGCTGCAGGCCGAGACCACCGTCGCCGTGCCTCTCGTCCTCGTCTTCCTCATCGGCCTGTTTGTGCCCACGTCCTTCAACGTCCTCAACACGCTCATCGTCGACCTGTATCCGCAGGCCCCCGCTACCGCCACGGCAGCCAATAATCTTGTCCGCTGCCTGGTCGGTGCTGGCGGCGCTGCCGTCATCGAGCTGGTTATCCACGCCGTCGGCCGAGGCTGGACCTTCACCATCCTGGCTCTGCTGGTGGCCGTGTGCGTCCCCGGATTGATGCTGATAGAGAAGCGCGGCCCCGGATGGAGGAGAGAGAGATACGCCCGCGAGGCTGCCCGGGCGGCAGAGAAGCAATGAATTTCCTGACGACCTCATCTCAACATAGACTGCACGAGCATAGAATCTACATCCCTCCCAAAAAAAAAAAGATGGAAGATGGACGGATTTGAAATTCGCTCTACCCATCTTACTCATTGATCTATCTTAGTATTAGCCCGGTATTACATAGCTACAGAGCATTAATAGCGTATTCGAGTGGCTGTCTCTGAGCTTCCCACATCAACCAATCCGACCGAGTAGTACTGAGCGTTTGCGTGTCAGCAGGTGTCAATTTCGTAAACCAAGATGGAGGTGAGTTTGTACGTACGGCAGTAGACCCATGGCGTTGATCTTCCAGATACCGACAGCCAAGGCGACGAGCTGACAGGCCACGTAGACGAGCTTGACCTGCAGCATCTGGCCGGCAATGGATTCGGACTCGAAGCGCTCAAAGGCCTGGTTGGTGTTGACCAACCCCATGAGGGGGTTCTTAAAGGCCATGAAGACCATCATGATGCTAAATATCTGCAGCGAGTTGCCCGACATGTACATCATGATGGCCGTCATGGGGAGACCCTTGACAGGCGCCAGGGCCACCTCCCACGCCTTCTTGAGCTTGAGCGTGTTCATCTCCTGTGGGGTAGGAGGCTTGCGCGGCTGCTGCAACTTGGAATCTTTTCCTGATTTCTATTACGCCCCCCGACCGGTGGACCCGTCAGTATATTACTTGGATGCGATGCGGCGCGCGCATCGTTCATGGCCAACAGACCTTGCTTGTTCCAGGCGAGCTGGCGAAACCGGGAGGGTCGGCGATGGGCGAGGACTTGGTGCGGGAGGTAGGGGGCGCATCCATCTGGCTGACCCACGAGGGCTTGGCCGGGTTTGCGGGAGACATGGCGCGCCGTGATGTATATCGTCTCGTCTTGGGAGAGGTAAGAGGGAGTGATGCCAGGTTAGCCGAGAGCGTGGCGGGCAGATACGAAGCCCCAGTTTGTTCGTGGTGTTGTAATTAAGTAAGCGGGTCTGAGCTGATGTTTATCGATAAGAGTTGTAAGAGTTGTGACGCCTGACGTCGCGAAGACCGGAGTTGATGTACTATGGAGGGAATCGTTCAGGCCTGGTTTGCCGAAATTCGAACGAGGCTAGAGAGAAGTACGGATTAATGGATACCAAGAAACGGGGAAAGTGTTAGCTAGCGGTAACCTACCGGACTAAGGGTTGTCTTTCGTTCTCACCTCCAGTATCTAAGTGGCTGTTCCATGTCGTTGGATGTAATGAAGTATTCTGTCAGTCGACTATCATGCTTTATGAACATCCAAACCAGTCTTTTCCCCAAGCCAAGATGTGCATGGCCACCTGCATCGAACCGTGGACTTGATCATTTTCTTGGCTTTCTTTTCTCACTTGAAGGTGAGCCAGGAAGCATTTACATGATGTGAATGGGTGCGTCGGCTAAAGGGACGTCACGTGATCTCGCTCAGCGGAATTCCAGTGTAGAAAGCTGCTCCGGTGGCAGCGGCACGCATTCCGCCGCTACTGCCCCTTTCCCGATTGCGACTCGTTCAACTCGCCAGAGAGACATCAACAAAACAACGACAACCCACCCACTGCGCTTCGATACGCAGGAGAAGAAAAGGGACGACGCCGGCCCTCCTGATAGCCTCCACTGAGCTCGGTACTTGTTCGTGAGAGGATTCCCGAATGTACATGTGACGGCATTTCCTGCTCTGCTTCTCCCCTCCCCTCCCAAGGGGTTCCGGAATCAGACCGACAACCAATTAGCCCCACGAAACGAAACCAACCGGGTGTGATCGAACGAGTTTTTTTTGGTGAGGGGCTGAGGACGAGGCAAATCGCGTGACGCGAGACACAGCGATTGCTGCAGCCTCTCGAGATAACTCTTCTGTATTGCTTGCTATCCTCCACAGGGGGGGTGACACCGCAACCATGTCGAGTTCAACCGGTGGAGGTGACTCCAAACTCTTCGCGAGAGTGAGTCTGCTCTTGTCCTACTATCATTGCCTTCGTTTCTATATCATCTCCCCGCCTCTGGATATGGAGGCTCTATTCCTCCTTCCTCTAGGGGGTTGATTTATTGCTTTTCTTTTCTTTTCTTTTATTTTCTTGCGAATCGCACTTTATACTCTATCTCGAAAACGTCATTATCGCCCATCATGTTCATTCCATATGTGGTCCCGCCGGCCTTTGATAATAGCATCACACTAACCTCTTCTCGACAGGGCAAAGTCGCCGAGCTGCGCCTCGAGCTCAACAGTGGAGGGAAAAAGGACAAGAATTTTGCTGTCAAGAAGACAGCCCTCAAGAAGATTGTTGCTAACATGACCATGAGCAACAATGACATGGTCGCCCTGTTCCCCGATGTTATTGGCTGCATGCACATCCAGAGCCTGGAGATCAAGAAGATGTGAGTGCTCTTTCAGGGCCCAGGTGCGGTACCTGTGTGCACGGAGAAGGGTGAAAAGAAGGGCTTACACTGACTGGTTCCATGTTAGGTGCTTTTTGTATCTGGTCAACTATGCTAGGTCGCGACCAGATATCGCAGTCAAGGCGATTCCGTTGCTTCAGCATGTGCGCACACCTCAACTCCCTTGCCTTGTCTGCTTCAGGCTTCTTTACTGACAAGCAGACGTCACACAGGACCTCGAGGATCCAAATCCACTCGTGCGGGCCCTGACCCTGCGGACGATGTCATATGTCTACGTGCGAGAGTACGTCGAGGCAACCATGTCCATCGTCAAGCACACCCTCAGGGACCCGGACCCGTACGTGCGCAAGACGGCGGCCTACTGCGTTGCTAAGCTGTACGACCACGATAAGCAAGTGGTGGAACAGTCGGACCTGATTGACCGTCTCAACTCGCTCCTGAGGGATGACAACCCCACGGTGGTGGCTAGTGCGCTGGCTGCCCTGATGGATATTTGGGAGAGGAGCGATGCCATCAAGTTGACAATCGACTACAAGAATGCGTCCAAGATGGTGGCCATCCTGGCCGATTGCTCCGAGTAGGTCGCGCACCTGCACACGCATACAAGTCCAATTCGCTGACATGGCAAAAAAAAAAAAACTGCAGATGGGGCCAGACATATATCCTGGAGGCGCTCATGTCGTACGTGCCTCAGGACTCGGGCGAGGCTCTACTCCTGGCGGAACGTATAGCGCCGCGGCTGTCGCACTCCAACTCTTCGGTGGTGCTGACGTGCATCCGGGTGATGCTGTACCTGGTGAACTACATTGCGGATGAGAAGCAGATATCGGCTCTGTGCCGGAAGCTGTCGCCACCGCTGGTGACGCTGCTGGCCAAGGGACCCGAGGTGCAGTACCTGGCGCTTCGCAACGCGTTATTGATACTGCAGCGACGGCCGGAGGTGCTTAGGAACGACATCCGGGTCTTCTTCTGCAAGTATAACGACCCGATCTACGTCAAGGTGACGAAGCTGGAGCTCATCTTCATGCTGGCCAACGAGAAGAACATTGACGAGGTGCTCACGGAGCTGCGGGAGTACGCGACGGAGATTGACGTGCACTTTGTGCGCAAGGCGGTGCGGGCCATTGGCAAGCTGGCCATCAAGATCGAGCCGGCGGCGCGGCGGTGCATCAACCTGCTGCTGGAGCTGGTGGCGACCAAGGTGGCGTACATCGTGCAGGAGGCGACAGTAGTGATCCGCAACATCTTCCGCAAGTACCCGGACCAGTACGAGTCCATCATCGGCATCCTGTGCGAGCACCTGGACTCGCTCGACGAGCCCGAGGCCAAGGCGGCCATGGTGTGGGTGATTGGGCAGTACGCGGACCGCATCGAGAACAGCGACGCGCTGCTCGAGGACTTCCTGTACACCTTCCTGGAGGAGCCGGTCGAGGTGCAGCTGGCGCTGCTGACGGCGACGGTCAAGCTCTTCATCCAGCGGCCGACAAAGGGCCAGGAGCTCGTGCCCAAGGTGCTCAAGTGGGCGACGGAGGAGACGGACAACCCGGACCTCCGCGACCGCGCCTACATGTACTGGCGGCTGCTGTCGACGGACATGAACGCGGCCAAGGCTGTCGTCATGGGCGAGAAGCCGGCCATCACGGCCGAGTCGGAGAGGCTGGATCCGGCGACGCTCGAGGAGATGTGCCTCAACGTCGGCACCCTGGCCACGATCTACCTCAAGCCCGTACACACCGTGTTCCGCTCGGCCCGGCCCCGCAAGCTCCAGGACTCCCCGGCCCTGCAGAAGCACAACACGGCCGCCTACAGCGAGACGCAGAAGAGCATGAGCATGTTTGGCCGCGGAGGGCAGCCCAACGACATCGACCCCCGCACCAGGATGCCCGTCGCCGCCGCGGGTCCGGACGCCGCCACACCTACGGGGAACAAGGCAGAGCAGGACGCAGACGCCTACTTCTCCTCGGTGAGCTCGACGCAGCAGCAGATGGCCGCCATGACGGTCAACCAGGGTGCCGACGACCTGTTTGGCCCTGCCGACGGGGGTAACTCGACGGGTTACGTAGTCAACGCGCACGCTCCGCAGGCTGTGCTCCAACCGGCGCAGGGGGGTGGGAGCAATGGGGATCTGCTGGCGCTGTAAAGAGCAAAACAGGACATTTGGATATATTGCCATGTTTTTCATGTAGCTCGACAGCGTAGCGGCAGTAGTAGTAGCAGTAGTAGAAGTAGTAGCAGCAGTGGTGGTTTAGTGGCAAGACTGAAAATAATGAGCGGTTGTTTTTTTCCCCCTTGATCTCTCTCTCTCTCTCTCCTTTTCTTCTTGTCCTCTCCGTACGTTCTTTTCACCTTGATAGTAACTTTAGTGGTTCCCAAGGGGCCCTCCTGACAGCAGTTCATGATACCACAATAAGCTTAATCGGGCAAGGGAGAGAGCCAAGGCGGGCAGTGCTAAGGCTTGATTGCGCGTACTCGTGATGGTCCAGTCTGTTCCCGATTGATCTAGCAGCTCGGATAGGACCAATCATGGGGGGCTTTAGGATCGTCATTGTCCTCCCTCCCCCCCGCAGGAACCACAAGTTTGTGCATGCATTGTTTTATCTTGTTTTATTTTCCTCCTCTTTTCTGAGCTCTCCTCCTCTTGGACCCTTGATAGGTTTCTCCACTTGTGGTATACGTATCACGGTCAATGCGGGGAGGTCTGACACACCACTCGGGGACGGGCTGGCAACTTTGTATCCGTACTACGGACCTACGGTACGAGTTACGGCGGTTGATAGCGTACAGCATCAAGATATGCAATATTACTATAGTAGTTCTGTGTTAATTCCTCATGCTCTCTCCCTGGCCGCTGTGTTTCATCGAGAGGACAGCAGAGCAGGCCGCGGTGGCGTAATGCGTGTCCTGGCGGAGGTCCAGAATGGATGGAAAGACGACGGGATCAAAGACAGTCTCCATGGTGGTACGGAGTATCGATATGAGAGAAATATTGATTACTTGAATACCCAAATACCCAATGGCCTTGTACACCTAGTTCAGTATGATCATCCGGCCAGGTAATGAGTATCTGAATTGCAATATCGTCCCCTTCGAGGTGAGGTGTCCATATGAGATGACCATTGTGCTGCATATACAGTATTATGCAGTGCCGGAGTATCGATACAGCACCGCTGGCTGCCCTGAAAGTATCATGTACAGTGGCACTGTACAGATTGCACGCCCCGTATCCCCTTGGCCCTTACAGGGGACTTTGGGCGTCCCACCATCAGGTAATGTGGATGGAGAGGTAGGATGCCTGCCCGGACGAGACGGTTTATTACATCCAAAGGTATAGACTATCACGGTACTACTGCAGATTACCATTGCAGATACTACTACTATTACTACTGCTATTACTACTGCTAAAGGCAATGGACGGAAATACGGGCCAAGATTATTGTCGAGCTTCAAGTAATCGCGTCGTAATAAAATACCCGTAGCAGACGCAACGCCTCCTACCAGTAATACGGGCTACTTGGCAATGCGCCGGCAGGCTGGCAATATTACAGCAGGTATTAATAATATACATACCACTGTACTACTACCGCTACGGCTGCTAATATCTCATACAGTATGTGAGAGTTTAGGATCTATATGAATACATACCTGTGAGCTACGAGTACGCCTACTGAGAGTACTTGTACAGTGGGTGCGTACCTACCTGCTGCCCCCCCCCCCCCCCCCCCCCCCCCCCCCCCGACCCAGACGCCCAAACACTCAACACCTAACGCTTCCTTCCTCACATCCCCCCATCCTCTTTCTAACCAACACACACTATCCTTCCTCTGCCTCCTTTCATCGTACCCTCGGCTCATCCTAACTCTGTCTTCGTCGCATTAGCCCTCCCCCCTTTTACCCTAACATACCATCTTAAACGTCCGGAAGAGGGGATATAACCCTGTCATCTTTTCTTCCCCTTCCCCTTGCCTAAACTTCCGTCGCTTTGGGGGGGCGAAGTCGACCGCTGAGTCTCGCGCCCGCCTGACGTCGATCTCTTCAACCCTTGCGAGCGCTACTCTTATTCCTCCTACGAGTGGTTCATACATCTTCCTCTCTCTCTCTCTCTCCCTCCTTGCCTCCCCACCCCCGCCTCACCCGAGATAGACAACGCTCTTTCGCTTCTGCATCCCTCAACCCCCCGTTTTCCTTCTCCTGCAATATCATGTCGACGACTGCCTCGAAGACAGACAGCCGAACCGCCGACGCCGTCGCCATGCAGAGCATTTCGGACTCCGAGCCCGCCACCACAGCCACCGCCGATACCAGCGCAGCGACGGCTGATGATGTCAACAAGAACGGGAACAAGACTTCTGCCGACACCAACGACCACGGTTCCGCCCCCGAACCTCCCATCAAGGAGAGGCAAGACTCCATGGCTATCGGCCCCGACCAGGTCGGCGACGGCGGCGACGACGACCACAAGGACAATGCCGGCCCCATCTGTAACATCACCCTGCTCCTCACCAGCGGTAGCCGGCACCCTTATAAGATCAGTGCTCGCTACCTCAGCCGCAGAAATGTACCCATCCCCGAAGTCACCGACGCCGGCCTGCCCGACCCCTTCAGCATCAGCGTCTACACCCTCAAGGAGCTCATCCTGCGCGAGTGGAGGTCCGATTGGGAGGCCAAGCCTGCTAGCCCCAGCAGCATCCGTCTCATTCACTTTGGAAAACTGCTTGACGACAAGGAGGCCCTCAAGAGTATGTTTTTTTTTTTTTTTTTGCAAACTTCCATCATCTCCTAGATATATACCTCCTTGTCCCTGTTCTTCACGACCTGTGTTGAGACTGGTGCCCCGTCGGCTGACAACAACCCCCACAGCCTACCAGTTTCTCCCCGATAGCCCCAATGTGGTGCACATGAGCATCCGTCCCCAGGATCTCGACGAGGAGGAGCCCAAGTCAGGAGGCAAGGCTACCTCTCACGGCGGAGCTGACGGCTCACGTCGTCGCGTCGGCGGCTGCTGCGTCATTCTATGAGGCAGAATCCGATCAAACGCCCAACTTTCCTATCAACAAAGTCCGAAGCAGCGCATACCCACACCCTCATTTCGCCATCTCTTCCTATCTCCCCGCCCCTCCAGACGGCTTCTTCTATCGGGGCAAGTCCCCGCTGTCGTCCAAGGTCTATTTTTTTTCTCCTGCCCTTTCGTCTCCCGGCGTCTACTTCCGCACCGTTGTACAAGAGCCTAGACTGCCGACCTTAACGTCAACCGTCTCGAGGCACCGAGACAAACAGCGGAAATCCCATTCGTCAGGAGGGACAAGATCAAAACGTCTACCCAAAATAATACATACACTCATTTGCATCCGTATTGGCTGGCCAGCCAAGAACGTCACCGCCCCACCCAAAGACTGGACCTCGGCTTGAGCGTTTCATGAGTTCAAGAACTCTGGGGAGGTGGCGGCATTTCGATTCTTCTCACTTTCTTTCCTGGTTTTCATGTCTTCTCTTCTTTTTGTTTTCCCTCGGAAAATGGCGGAGTCAACATAGGCGTTATCACGTTTTTACTCGTTACCCATTTGTATATTTACGTTTGATATTGTTGGTAAGGTGGATTTTCATCGCGTCTTTCTTCTTCCTTTCGAATCCTCACTGTACACGGGATGGGGGGGGATAGTTCGACACCGGGATGGGATATTTGTAGAGTCCGTTTTACGTGCCGACGCCAAACAAAAGGATAGAATGCAGTAGCATCTCATTTCATATCACGAAGCATATTTCAGAGATTCTGGTCAAAATCGAGTGAATCACGTCCCGTCGTCGTGTGCGTTGCGATTGCATCGTACACTGCCCTCTCTTGTCATGCCCCTTTGTATTTTGTATTATTTCATGTTTATGTTTGTAAGTTTTTTTCTTCTTCTCTTTCTTTCGTCACTTCCCTCACTCGAAACGTCGCTCAGACTTTTCAGATCTTAAGCTTCTTCTCCATCTCCTCATGCACACCGGGCACAGGCCTAGTCTGGTCACCGGTGAAGACGTCATCCCAGGTGAGGCTGTCGTCGCGGCCGCGCAGGATATCCTCGTGGACGCTGGGTAGGGCGGTGCCGGTCGAGAGGGCCATGGGCCTCCACTCGCTGTCGCGGACCATCTTGAGCTCCATGGCGCGGCGGATGGGCTCGCCCATGCCGAAGGTGCGGCGGAGCGTGTTCATCCTCACGGCGTCCTGGGTGGCCTCCCAGTTCTTCAGGCGGGCCTCGAGGGGGTGGGACGACAGGGGGATCCCCGCGGCCGTGTCGTAAGGGGAGGCGCCTACGCCGTGGCGGAGGGTGTCGTGGATTCCGGGGGCGGAGGGGGCGGATGTGGTTGTCGCGGTGAAGGTGGTGGGCTTCTCGCCCTGGGGGACGATACGCATCGACTGAGGGGTTGTTAGGTTTGGACGGGTGGGAGTGGAAAAGAGAGGGGGGAAGGAGGGGGGAGACGACGTACCATTGTGGATTTTTGAGTAGTTCCGCGCGGAGGAGGGAAGTTGTATGCGAGAGCAGAGATGGGTGGAAAGATTGAGGTGATGATTGATGTCCGGTGATGAAGCTCGAGGCTGCCTTGGGTACGTAACTAGAGGCGGCGGTAGTTTTGCCCCGCAATATCGTAATCCCGGGGAATGGCCGAGATCGGTACGTCGAGTAAGCTGTGACTGTAAAGCTACGGGACATGCATAAGCTTCACATCCGAGCTTCTTACTTCTACATATATAATACGAAAACAATGCGTCCAGGAAGAATGCCCCATTAAAGAAGAGGGAAATCAAAGTAAATGAATAAACCACAAATGAAAATAAATCAGAAATGAGGTCAATCACCAACCGTGCCCCCATCATCCGCATCGCCAATGGCACCTTTTACCGGAACCACCCTGGCACGTCCTCACGCGCGTCGCACGCCAACCCGCCTCTGTTCAGCGACCTGACGTTTGAGCTGCCGTCGTCGTCGACGACGCCTCACAACTGGTGCGTGGTGGGGCCGTCGCTGTCCGGGAAGACGACGCTCCTGCAGGTCTTGCGGGGGCGACTCCTCTGCCAGCCACCCAGCGCGCGGTCGTTCCCGTACCTGAGCGACGATGCGGTGCCTTCACGGCTCAAGACGCCCGACAGGGCGATAGAGTACGTCGGCTTCGACTCGGAGGGTCTGGGCGGCGGCGGCGGCGGCTCGGGTAGCGTGGCGACGGCGGCGTACCTGTCTGCGAGGTACGAGTCGCGGCGCGAGATCACCGACTTCTCCCTGCGCGACTTCCTCCTGGGCAACACCCAGCTCAACCCGCTGCAGCAGCTCCCTGGCGAGGAAAAGGACGCTCGGGAGGAATCCCGGCTGCTGGAGGGCGTATCGGCAGACCTGAGGTTGGCGCACCTGCTCGACCTGCCCGTCACGTTCCTGAGCAACGGGCAGGGCCGCAGAGCGAGAATAGCGCGCGCGCTGCTTCGCAGGCCGGAGGTGCTGCTGCTCGACGAGCCGTTCATGGGCCTCGACCCGCCGACGGTGGCGAGGTTGAGCCCGCTGCTGCGGTCCCTCGCCGAGAGGTCGGGCCCGCGGCTCGTGCTGGCCGCCCGCCCGCAGGACCCACTGCCCGACTGGATCACCCACCTCATCTACCTCCGCACCGACGCGCAGGTAGCCTCGATGGGGCCCAAGGACCTTGTCCTGGACGGGTTGAAGAAGTATGTCCAGGGCGTCGAGAGGGGCCGGCTGGCCGAGGACGCCACGCTCCCCGTACACGCCCTCGCCGACGTGGGCCGCGTCATGGCCTCCCGCGCTCCGGCTCGGTCCGCCGCCGCCGCCGCCACCGCATCCCCGCACAAACTGGATCCCGCCAACCCGGAGGCCGAACCCCTCGTCGAGATGGAGGGCTGCAAGGTACGCTACGGCGACAAGGTCGTCCTGGGCAACTGGACCGTCGAAACGCCCAATGGCAGCGCGAGGGAGGGCCTGGACTGGACGGTGCGCCGCGGCGAGCGCTGGGGCGTCTTCGGGCCCAACGGCTCTGGCAAGACCACCATCGTGTCGCTCCTGTGCTCCGACCACCCGCAGGCGTACTCGCTGCCTCTCAAGCTCTTCGGGCGCAGCCGCCTGCCGGAGCCCGGATCGGGCAAGCCCCCGCTCACCATATGGGACATCCAGGCCCGCGTGGGCCACTCCAGCCCGGAGGTGCACCAGCTCATCCCGCGTCGGCTGACGATCAGGCAGGTCGTCGAGAACGCGTGGTCGAGCACGTTCCTCACGCCGCCCAGGCTGGACGACGCCGCCAGGGCCAAGGTGGACGCCGCGCTGCGGTGGTTCGCCCCCGAGCTGAGGCCGGGCGGCGCAGCATCCGACGTCGGCGGTGGCGGCGATTCTCCCCTAGCCTGGGCGGACGAGCACGTCTTCGGCGGCATGTCGTTCAGCGCCCAGCGCGTGGCCCTCTTCGTCCGGGCCGTCATCAAGGGCGCCGACGTGGTCGTGCTTGACGAGGCTTTCAGCGGCATGGATGACGCCGTCCGCGACAAGTGCAGCCTGTTCCTCACCGAGGGCGAGCGCAAGACGCACGACCCCACCACTCACCGCGTCGTCGACACTGACGGCAACTCGCCCATCCACCTCACCGGCCTGACCGACCGCCAGGCCCTCGTCTGCATCGCCCACGTCAAGGAGGAGGTCCCCCCCTGCGTGCGCGAGTGGATCTGCCTCCCCGAGCCCAACACCGGTGAGCCGGCGCGGTTCGGCCGTCTGGACGGCCCGCTGGGCGAGGATGAGCAGCGCTGGCGCGACGTCTGGGGCTTCGAGGCGTGAGAAAAGCACGTGTACAAGCATACATATATATAATCAGATCAATTCCTCCACTTTGACACGTTCAAGTCTGAAAGCACACAGATCTGCTCATCTTGCCTCTGGCGGCCCTGCCCGGAGGGTTGAGACCTGTGGCACCCGAGACTGTATATGACTAAGCAGCCAGAGGCTGCTGCCACACTCACGTCTGTAGATAACCTCATAGATGGATTTCCTTTCCTCGGAAGGAAGCAAGCACCCAAGACACAACACACATCGACCCAGGACGTAAGCCAGCAGGCACAGACCAGACCACCGTGTTCACGTCTACGGGTCATCGTGTCTTGTCGCTAGCAGGAAGCACAGACCTCGCTGGTCTCGCATGGTGCCGTATATGTATTGTACGTACACAGTGTGAGGCAGTAACGTGATATGCGTGGCTAGATATGTATTGGTGAGTTGGGACAGTGTGGAGCGTGAATGAAGTCCCCTCCCCCATTGTTGAAAGCTATATTCAATCTCTCTTACTAACCAACCCTCTTAACGAGGAACCGCCCAACAACAACAACAACAACAACAACAACAACAACAACAACAACAACAACAACAACGACCACTATCGGACCTTGGCGCATGAAGAATGGCCTACTCAACCCGCTACGACGATGAAGATCAGACAGGCCGGTACTGCGTACCGCTGTCGTCGTTCACCGCTCCCGTAGAGGTAGGCGAGATAGGGTAAACCGTTCTTCACCTCTCCCCTCGTCTTCATCTCTTTGCCTTTTCTGAGTCGACCGTTGACGCTGATATCAATCGAACTTCTCCTCCGCCTTTTTTCTTTTTTTTTGGGAAAAAATAAATAGAAAGACTCGAGCGGGAACATCTGCCTTTTTTGCTTGGCCCTTCCTGGGACCGTTGCTGTTTGAGAATGAAGGTTCCGACGCGAGAGATCATTGCGCAAATGAGAGGAGTGAGTTTACGATCCTCCCCTCGTTGTCTCGTCCCCCTTCGTATGTTCCCGATGGAGGGAAACAAAAAGGGGAGGGTTCAGAAGAAAGATAGGATGAAAGGTGCTGACAAGGGGTATCGTTACTGAGTAGCCTTCCTCTCATATCTCCGCGTGTCAGTGTACATGTGCATCGTGTCCGTGGCCATCACCATCTCCTTCCATGTCAAGAATCAGCCTACGGATATGGAGCTGAGGATGGCGAAGCCGCTCGGGGCCGTGTTCTGGGTTCTGTCTGTCTTGATGCTGGCTTTGGGATTGGGGAATTATATACGTATGTGTTTTTTTTCTTCTTCCCATTTCTCCCCCCCCCCAAATCCACTTTCTCCCCTTTCCCCTTTACTCGACTCTTCTCTTCTTCTTCTTGTTTTCCTTCCATCATCATCACTGCCATCTCTATCCTGTTCTCTCAACTGATGATCCGGCTTATCTCGGAAAAAGGCACCGTAAACAGATATAGTCGACGCATGGCCATTGTACAGAGTGGATGGAAGACACAGGTGGTAAGTCCTCTCTCTCTACCTCCTTCTCCTATCCTAGTTTTTCAGCTCTCTCTTCACATACTCACAGACGAAAACAAAAACAGATCCTTGGGATATTGACCTTTTGCATCGTGGGCACATGCGCCATCTTGCTCGCCACGGCGTGGGGAGACAAGGATAGGGACTAGCACAGCGCAGCGCAGCACACGCGTAATTTCATCATCAGATAACGTCACCGGTATATACGATATGTGAAGCTGCGCATTCAGTTTTTATATCTTATTTCGTGTGTGTAATAACAACTAGGCACCACGTCACATACACAGCAAAGGCTCCCAAAGTGGAGGGGATAATGCACTGTTGTGACCTGTTGCTACTATTCCGTGATGAATCAAGGATGTCATCCTGCTGTGATACTAACAACATGTTAAATCCAATTTTTTTTTTCTTGCTCAACTTGCCCAGAAAATGACGTGATATATATAAGGAAATGACCTTGGAAAAAAAAAAGACAACAAAAACCGCAAAGATCAAACGCCTACGCTTTACATGACCCCATCACGTACAAAACAAGTCACTAGCAGTCCTGTCGTCGAGAGGCTTCCCATCCCCGTCATTCGTACAGCGGCCAACCTCCTTCCGGAAGCGTACCGAGTACACCTTTGCGTCGGCCTCGAGATCGCCCGCCTCCATCTTCTGCCCGTCCCACGCCAGGAGGGGCAGACGTCCAAGGTCGGGCAGCGCGCCGTCCCCGGGCAGGGTGTGGCGCATGTCGACCTGCCAGTGCGCGTCGAAGACGTAGGCGGCCTCGTCCTCGCCGTCGATGCTGTCCTTTGCGGCGTCGGCGTCGTCGGCGTACTCGTCCGGCACGTCGGGGACGTCGTCATGCACGCCCAGGATGACGGCGGCCGTATCGCGGCCCGGGTATAGGGTGCGGTAGCCGCGCAGACGGCACAGCTGGAGGACGTGCTCCGCCCACGCGGGGTACTTCTTGCTGACTTCCTTGTGGGAGAGGAGCGACTCGGCCTTGGACGGCACCTCCGTCTCCTCGTCACGCTGTCGCTCCATCAGCCGCGATATGTACCCCTGCAGCTCGGCCCAGCGTGAGCCCAGGAAGAGCATGGCCTCGCTGTTGGGGGCCTGCCAGAGAAAGGGAGACGACCCGGCCTCCTCCCCCTCGGAGGACGAGGGCTCGGGGAGACTGGGCAGCTGAGATCCATCCAGTTTCTTGGTGGGCGCGACGAAGCTGAGTCCCATGAGCTTCGAGGGCCAGTCGCGGACAGTTGCCGCGTTGGAGTACCGGTAGTGGAGAAGAGAGTATTTTAGGTCTTGGGGGCGGGGGGGAGTTAGAACAACACATTCGAAAGACGCGAAGAGTACGGAACAAGGCGGAATGAAAAAAAGAAGGGGAAAGAAAGAAAGAGAGAAAACAATGGCTGGAAGAGCTCACAGTGGAAAAATTGAGGCGTAACCTGCGTGTGGGGAGAGAGGACGAGAACATGCGAGTAGGCGGGGTCGTTGGGCCAAAACGACTCGAGGAAGCGCACCGAGCTGTCCTCCTCGGACATCTTCGCGGGGGAGATGCGGTGGCGTAGCGAGAGCATGTGCGGTCGGTGGCCGGCGATGCTGGTGCGCGGGGGCCACTGGAAGTCGGCGAGGAGCCTCTCGATGGGGGGGTTGAGTTTGTTGGGTAGCTCGATGGTCAGCTGGGGGGTGGACATGGCGCCCAGGTCGACCTCTGACAAGGATCGGAGGAGCCTGTTGAGGTTGCCGATGCCGTTGGAGGGGGCTTGGATGACGATGTCTACGTGGACCTTGTCCCATGCTGTCGTTTGTGTCTGTCAGTGACAGGGTAAAGAGATGAACGAAGATGAGGAGAGAAAGAGAGAGAGAGAGAGAGAGAGAGAGAGAGAGAGAGGAGAGAACGTACCAGCCAGAGCGCCGGAATCGAGCTTGCTGATCCAGGCGAGACGGGTCCCCGGTCTCTCGGGGAGCTCAACGAGAGCAGACCGCATGCTGCGGATCTGGTCTCGCAAACCGTCGAGGAAGTAGGCGTCCTCGTCTCGGGTGGAGTCGACAATGATGGCCTGGGGGTGCATGTATTCATTGATGAGTTCTGGGCGGGAGGGATTGTCAGAACAGGGGGAACCCGAAAGAAGGAGGCGGGGGTGGTCATCTTACTCAGTGTCCTCGCGACAGCGAGCTTCATCCTAGTCTCGGTGGACGTGGCAAGATGATCTGGCCGAGCGTCTGCAGTGTGGTTGGTCAGAAGTGAATCAGACGGAGAGAGAGAGAGAGAGTGAGTGAGTGAGAGGGAGACGACAGCAGCAATGGGCTAGGCAAAAGAGAGAGTGAGAGATGGTGATGGAGTGTCGTTATGCGCACCATGGAGAATGACCTGACACGAGGGATCGACGCCATTGACCTCGAGCATGACCTGGAGGGGTATGTCGCTGCGGCCGAAGAAGACAAAGTGGACGTAATTCTGTCGTTCCCTGGCCATCTCGCAGGCCATGGGGGCCAGGGTAGAGAAGCTTCTCAGGCTGGCGGCGGCGAACATGACGTTGCGGTTGGCGGGCTGCTTGCCACCAGTACGGCCGATTGCCTGTATGGTGCTGGCGAGGTTGGGCAGCTTTATGGGACCGTTGTAGTTGCGAGTCTGCTCCGTCGTCTTTGGTGGCCGTCCTCCTCCTCCTCCTCCTCCTCCTGTTCCTGTTTCCGTTCCTGTTCCTGCTCCTCCTCCCTCCCCTCCGCCACCACCTCCTCCGGGCTTGACCTGCTGCTGTCCTGGTCGCTTTATCTGCTGCGTAGGGGGCGATTTCTGGTAAGGAGGACGAGGGGGGGAGGATTGGCCGTCGGGGGGGTATGCGGCCGAGTGAGGACGGGTCGAAGCCGAAGTCGAGGATGAGCCCGCGGCCATGAGCTTGGACACGGTGACGATGAGCAGTATAGCGGCGGCGAGGTAGGCTACCAGGCGGAAGACGGAGCTCCGACGGGGCGTGCGCGATGTCGAGGACGGTTGCCAGTGCTGGGAGCTACCGTGGCCGTGGCCGTGACCGTGGCCGTGACCGTGACCGTGTCGTAGGTCGTCATCCTTCTTGGCCAGCTCCTCATCCTTGGACCATAGCCGCGACATCGCTCTGGCGCGAGACGGGGCGGGCGGGGCCATGAAGAGGGCGGGTTCGGTTTGGCTTGCCTGCTTGGTCGGGAGGGATTGACTGAAGCGATGGGAATGGGGGAGGAAGAAAGCTGAGATGGAAAAGGGGGAGATGGAGAAGCGGGAAAAACTGAAGAGAAGAAGAAAAAATATATATTATTAGGTGAAACCCCCCCCAAAAAAAAAGGATAAAGAATGGACGGAAAGAAGAAAGAGAGCGGATGGCGTACCAGAGATGGTTGTATTATAGAACTTGTCACATTTCGGCGCCGAGGACGGAGAGGGAGGAGGTCTGTCGCGTCTGGTGCTGAGCAGCAATCGATGTACGGGTGTAGGAGCTGAAGAAGGTGCCGAGAAGTGTGAAGTGTGAGATCCGAACAAGCGAGAGAGAGAGAGAGAGAGCGTACGCGCTTGAGGGGAATTGCTAGAGTGCTGAGCTGGTGAAGAAGAGTAAATAGTGGTCCAGCTACGCGACGTCGAACGTGGCAGAAGGGGGAGAAAGTCGATAGCGCAATCGACCCAACGAAACGCTAGCCGG